ATTTTACATTGCAGACTCAGAATATCCTTTGGACCAGACACTGGTTAAGTGCTCACCTGTCACATAACAGGTAGCATGTGCTATACTGGATGGCATTAACAGAAAATAATGACAGGCTTCTAACTCCTCTGGTAAGTTTGCTCCTAAGTAATATATAGTTCAAAATGTATTTCATGTGAAAAGAAAGGTGGTTTTTTAAATTGCCATTTAATCTTCTCAATATAAGATTAGGCTGAAAAGCTAGAAAGTTTGGCAAAAGCAGTTATAAAACTTGTGTCCCTATTTTTGTTTTTCCTAAGTCTGTACAAACTTTATGTGCTACTTCAAATTATATTAAAACACCTTGAGAGTTTTGGCAATGTCTGTAGTGGATGGAATAATGTACCAGAATTCACATTCCAAGTTTCCTGGATAGCAAAATTGTCCCACTTGAGTTACCAGGAAATCTCCTAACTCGTTTGGATTATGTATTTCTTCTCGGAGGAGGAGCGGCTGATAAATTTTCACCAGGCAGAACTAAATAGTCAGAATCTTCTCTACCCAGTTGCATTATGGAAGTGTAACACTGGAAGTATTCAGCTGTGGTTTATAGTGAAGTTTGTGTGGAACAGCGCACACACTAATGTTTCTGTCGATTGCTTTATTTTTCTGCTCTCATTTTAACCATGTATTAATATGCACAGGTAGTGTGTGCTTATATTCTCATTTTTCCACTTTGGATGTGGCAAATTAATTTTACTTAGTGATAGTATTATTGAAACAGAAGCAAAGGAAGTAAATATGTAGCTCAGGAAAAAAAAGTTTTTTGCTCCAAAGAGTTAGACGCTTTTACAAAATAGCTGCACATGAACACAATTCCACTCATTTTGAAATACCAATATGAAAATGAAAAGCATATAAAAATTTAACATATGCAAAAACTCTCCATATGGAAGCATTTGTCAGTGGGAGAAGTACCGGCTGGTTAAAGGGACTGTAACAGGGTGTGGTTTCCAAGAAGACTAGAATCAATAGCATCTGATGGCATTCTGTGGCCTTTAAAGCAAAATAATTTTCACAAACACATTTAGGAAAATTTATGTAAGCAGGAAATACATTAAAGATGAGGAAACTAACATTCCTCAGAATCTTTTAAGGCATTAAGAAAGACTGTTCTTTCTTTATTCTTTCACAGGAGGTTGTTTCTGTGCTGCCTTTGCCCATTCTCTGTCAGTCCAGGGTCATTCAGCTCTGTAATAAACAACTGTCTGATAGAATCTGTCAAAAGCTTTTATTGCTTACCAAGCTGTTCCATTTGGAATGTTGCACCACAGAAGCTGCAGTAAGATATTGTCAGCTTTCCTGGCCTTGCATTTTAATTTCATTCAATGGCACTTTAATCAATTGTAGTATCTGTTAGCCCAATCTGAGGCTTTATTTGAAGGCTGTACTAGCTGATTAGAAATCCATCCCTCAGTGACTTAAGTGCAGGAGTGTCTTTATTAGACAAGTGGTTTCCAAAGTGTTGAGTGCTCTTGGTGACCTCAGACGTGAGAAGGAGCTGGCAGTGCTGAGCAGGCTGTGGGGAAATTTGCATGTTTCCCCTGTGCGAACAGAACTTTCAAAAGCAAGAAATTAGAGGTGGTGTAATCATAGGTCTAGCTTGTCATACATAATATATGTGAAACACTTGACAAGTTCTCAAAGGTGTTTCAAGTATGCGCACATGGAGATCACGTGGCATCTGTGTCTTGAACCTTCAACATTGTTAATATAGCTGGTGTTTGTGAACTGAGGATTCTGTGTAGCCTCTCTCTGAATTACTCCTGGCCACAAAATTCAGTCAAAAGTAAAACAGTTAATAAGCATTGTGTGTATTATCCCCAACCAGGCCCTAGTTAATTCCACAGGCCTTGAATAGTAGTGGGATGCCAGATATAAATCAGGCTCTGTGATATGTACATAACACAACTTACGCTGTTTTGCTTTTAGGCCCATGCTTTCTCTGAGGTTCTTCTTTGAAAGGATAATTCTTCTGTGAAACTCTTTATGTTGGGTAGGAGTTTTCATTTTCTTTTTTTGTTTTTATTTTTTAATTGTCAGCCTTACCCAAACACCTTTCAATTTGTACCAAGTAAGTATCATAGGTGTGGTAAATTCTGAAAGTAACATGAAGGAAGGTCTGGGTTCTTTTGTGCATTGTGTAAAGTATTGGAAATTTCTCTTTTATTCACCTCTAGGATCACTTGGACTGATCTGATTAGAAGGGACATTTAAAGTAAGGCTAGCCTGTAGGATTATATTTCATGTTAAGTGTCATTTTAGAAAAAAATTGACATCCTCTACTTCTGCATGTTGTATTCTGCTTAAATAAAAACTGATACAAGTATTGGAAGATGGGATGTGGATGCAAATAAAGGCAAATTAATTTCCACGCATGCTCCTTCATACCAGTTTACATTACCACATATTTTCCAGTATTTGAGTTGGAGACCAGCAGACAAGGGAAAGGACAGAGTTGTCTGAAGTTGAGTTGCTTAAAAACTTAATTTTAAACACCATTACTTCATGTTTTAGCTCTGTCTCCAGTTTTGCTGCTAACACTTAGGGATTACTTTGATTTGTGAGAATAACCTGCTCACCCCATTGAAGTTGTCTTAGCTAACAGAATCACATCAAAGAAACAACTTTTCTTTTAATTTGTACTGCATACATCAAGCATTAAAAAAGCATATTGTCTGATATGCAGGGACAATGATCTTTGAAAGCACTGGGACTAGATACTTAAGCACAGATCTCTTTTTTATAGGTTAGTTCTGGCTATCTGGGGAGCCAAACTTCCTGCAGCAAAAGTATGGGTTTCTACCAACAATAGTAGTTTTTACATTCAAGCCTCTGTCTTGCACATGCCTGCAGAAGAAACAGAAGTATTGTCATTCTAGTCTGTTAGTATAAAAAAAGAAATGGATGTGAAACTTCAAAGCCTTCAGGTTTCAAGGAGTGAGTGATATTGCTACTGCCTTTTTCCAGATTTCTATTAGAGATAAGTTTTCTAACCTTAATGCTGGTGTAACAGTGAGGGAACATAAATCCATGTCTGCAACACTCTCTTACTGCTTATGGCAGAACAAGCAACACCTTCACTGAACTGCTGGAAATGGCTTCTTCATTACTGCTCCTCCTTGTATTATTCAGAGCAGTTCTTGTAACTTTTCCTTGAGAATGCCTCACCTAGCAAAGTGGTTATTGTTCACAATATTTATAGTCTTGGGACTTGGAGACCAGGCTAGGCTGTGTTCAGGAGAAGAACAATGTGACTTTTTCTATTAATTTCAACTGAATTGCATGTGGGATCAATTAACTCATAGGCTGGACTGAAAAAGCTGTCCAGTTGTAATGCATTTTTGCTTTGTTGAAGGTGATTGATTAGGAGTTGGAGGGACAAGAAAACCTACAATACTGTAGAACTATGCCACGAATTCAGAATTTGTAATTTCAAAGATGACTTAATTTTATTTTCTAGTTGTACATGAAAAATCTGATGCCAAAACTTAAATGGGAGTTTTCATTTTCTCTGCTGCAGGGTGTTGCAATAAAAGCGTTCTGTAAAAATCTTCTCTGACGAGAAAGATCAAAGAAAGTAAGTACCAGCTCAGGCATTCTCTATGAAGTTGTCTTTCCTCTCACCTTGTCTGTTTTCTAAATACTGACCATCTTGTTCTCTCCTTGTTCCCAGAATTTATCATGATGTATTTGTAGTGATGTATACCAGAATCACTTACTGAAATAACAAAATGACAATGTAACATAAATGATAATGTTGGAACTTCGAAGAAAGCTGTATCTTGTCTCCTCCAATAATGTGGAACACCCAGTGTTGGAAGCCCACAGAGTATTAGAGTTTTGGCGATCACAATTGTAATGTCACTCAAGAACTCAGCCTTGCTAGGAAGGATAGAGCACTTGTCTCCCCAGTGACAGACACTTCAAAATCCAAAGTCGATTGTTTTTCTTTCAGTGCGTTGTGGTTTTGCCTGTAAAAATAAGGTGAGCGTCATTCTTTGTAAAAAAAGAGAACGCTCAGAGTAGTATTTAGCCTGAAATCTTTCAGTTTTGTATAGGATTGCTTTATTTAGAGATGTTTGGGGAGGAATGGCTGAGTAACTTCCAGACATAAGTGACAATGGGTTATGTGGATCTCCTTGGTATAAGAACAAGTTGTATTTGATGTTTACTGTACTGGAAAAAGAATATGTTCCTTTTGTTGCAGAGAGTTTCTGAGCACATCAGGAATTCTGTTTTGAACGTGGTCTGGTCTTTGTTCTTTTTCATCCATGCATCATCTAATACATATTTTTTTTACAAGTGTTAATAGATATGGCTCAAGTTCTCAGACTGCCAGAATCTACAGCTAACAGTGACAAGTGTTTCACAAGAACATGGGGGGCCTCAAGACAGCAGTAGAACTTCTGTGGGTTTCACTGTATTTTATATTCAGCTTGTGTTTTGAGCTTCTTTTTCTCACGGATGTAAGCAGGTGTATAGAGCACTTCCGAAGCGCACGCTGGCTTAAAAGGTAAATATCTGATGTGGCGTTTGGGGTAAAACGCCGAGCACAGCACAGCAGGGCAGCTCCGAGCATAGCAGAGACCAGAAGAGCAGCAGAGGCATGAAACTGGGGTAAATTCCCTGAGCAGCTCCACTTGACCTTGACCTCGACCAGCAGGTGCTGGAGGCGGTGACGGATGGGGGGGACGCTGCTTTCCTTCCTCGGCTCGGCAGATCGGAGTCGAGGCCCGGCGGCCCCGGGTGAGCCCCGAGGGCACGCTCCTGCCGGATCCCGCTGCTCACCCAGCAGCGGCCGGCCCGCCCTCCTTCCCTCCCGGGCCGTACCTGCGGCCGCAGCCGAACCCGCCTCCCGCCTCGGCGCGGCCCCGGGGCGGGGCCCGAGGAAGTGACTTCAGTCGGCGGCGGCGGCGTTGTGGCTCGGCGTGGCTGAGCGGCGCGGAGCGTGTGCGAGCATGGCAGCCGTGGGGGCAGCGGCAGCGGCGGCGCGGTCGCTGCTGGCGGCGGGGCGGGCGGGCGCGGGCGGGCGGCGGTGCCGGGTCCTGCCCCTGCCCGCCGCGGGGGCCGCTCCCTTCTGCACCGTGGCCCCGCAGCAGCAGCAGCAGCCGTCGCCTGACATGAAGAGCTACCTGTGGTCGCGCTACAAGGAGGCCAAGAGGGTCACCAAGGGTGAGCGGCGCCCGCGGGCGGCAGCGGCGTCGCTGCCCCGCCGTGCCCGCCCACCTCCCCCGGGGGTCGGGGTGCCGCCGCTCCCGGAGCGAAGGGATGCGGGTTGGCGGCTGGGAGCGGGGGAAGGACGAAGGCTGTGGGGGCAGCGCGAAGGGCTCGGGGGGAGAGGCGCGGGTTCGTCCGTCCGCGCCTGGCGAAGCGCTCTCCCCTGCCGTGGTCTGCCCGGTGCCGGGCTGGGAGAGGGGTCGGACCGTCCCCAGGGCAGGTCCGCAGGGCTGAGCCCGTCAGAGCAGCCGCCGGGGCTGCAGCTGTTTGGAGGTGCCTCGAGGAAGGAGCCTTTCGTGCAGCGTGACTCGGGCCGGGCAAAGTGGCAGGTGCTGGAGATGCGTTGTGTGGGGAAAAGCGAGTGTAAAAAGGAAATCGAGAAGTTGGTCGTCTGTTTGAGGGGGTTTCTGCAGTAAGCTGCTCTTCCGAAAAGTTAAAGTCCTGTGAAGTTTTGGATGGCTTTTTTTCATTTTGCCTACGGTTCCATTATAACACTGTAAAGCGTTGTAAAATGCTCGTGATACGTGGATGACTCTGGGGAGCCCTATTCTTTGGCCCAGCTAGGCAAAAAGCTAGGGGACAGATGCTTGCTTACTTCCTTGCTTCTGCCTTTGCTCTGATAGGAATAGTATTACTAAGGTAATACCTGCTCGAGTGTAAGCTTGACTATGTGATCTTTTTTGGGAGCTGAAAGTGAAAGAGGCAGTGTGTGTTCTACAATATCAAGTGAAAAAGCTTGTCCCGTAGTGGCAATGGATAACCTTTAGATAGCATGTTTTGGCCTTATAAAAAGAAATTACTGTGTTATTCTGTACTTAAGAGTCCTGAATGTGGGCTTCACAATGCTGGGTGCAAATAAAGCATTTGTGAACATAAAACAGCATCAGCATTTCAGAAGTGAAATTAAAAACTGTGTTAGAGATCTCAAGAGAGTGCTGTGGGATTTCGGAGGGTCAGATAAGGGATAGGAAAAAGACAAGTCCCTTTTATTTTGAACCTTTTTTTCTTTTCCTGTTTTGGGAATTAACCTTCTCTTATTCTAAACCACACCCAAATAACACTTCAGGGTAATGTTATGAAAAAATAAGTTGGTCAGTGGGTGTGAGTTGGCAAAAGATGAGGCAAGTGCTTCTAGAATATTTCACACTCATATTACAGCCTAAGTTGCCCAATGGCTTCAAGTATGTGACGTTTCATTTAGGTATGATGTTGAGATGATGTTTCAACAACTCCCCTGATTTTTGAAATAAGGTTTATAGCACTTTGGATGCTCTCTGTTAGCCAGAATGTCTAATAGCTACCAAGTGTTTACACTGTCTGTTTTTAGACAGGCAGTACTCAAGCTCTTTTTTAGCTGAAATATCTTTTTATCTATGTGTAGCTATATAAAATATCTTTGTTTTTAAAACGAGTGTTGAGTCACCAGGCTGAACAATTGACATTTGAAAAAATACTTTAACTATAATACAGAAATGGGTATTGTAACGTGATTTTAGAAGTTCACAAAAAATATGCTTACGTCTTGAAGTTAATTGAATGATTCATGGCCCTTTTTATAGAGGAAGAGTATTTGCCTTAATTGTAGCATGTCAAATTGCATTTGATATGATTCCTGGGCTTTATTTGAAATTTGGAATTAAACTCGGTGAATTTACCTTTCTTCCTCTCTTAAGAATTAAAAGACTTGGGTATCTGCATCTGATAAAGTTGAATGGTTTCAGATTACTGACTGTAATTGGGCATCTCTATGATTCTTACTGTATCTGCCTGTCAACTGTGCAGCAGTCAAAGGCATTGCTTTTACAAAAGAAGTGTAATTTCCCATTCCATGAGTTGGCCAGTTTTCAAAATGGAGTGCTAACAGACCTAGAGTCTCCACACCTACCCCCACCTTGTTGAGATGGTTTCCTCTGGTGGTGGAACATCTGTACTCAGAGCTGAAGGTGTTGAGATAAACTTGATCAATTCCTTTTAAACCTACATAAAATGTAGCCAAACAGACCATATTCCCTTTAAACTCACCCTTCCAAGCACAGATTTAAGATGATAGTTCCCTTTTTTTTTTTTCCCACTAGTAGGGAAGTCTGGAATATATAAAGATAGTCTATGAGAAAGGAAGGAAGGAAAACGTACTCGTGTTTTATGCTGACAGGAGAGTAGTACTTAGCCTCCTAATGTTGCTGTTTCAAGTTTTGTAAACAAGAAATATAAACATTCTTAATGTTTAGTACTGACATTGGTGTTGGTTTGAAGTCACTTGAAATATTATGGACTTAACTTCTCCGTATACTTTTCCCTCAAATATCAAGAGAAACAGCCTTAAAAGTGGAAGTGGTTTACACACTCTAGGCTTGTTAAGTAGAGAATAAGCAGAATATTTTTGGTTTCCTGATTTGCTAGAAGGTTAGTAAGCATAGCAATATGTGTGTAACAGTTGTTTGGAAACTATGGCAGTCATATAAAGTTTACTGAACTTGAACTCAAATAAGTAATGTGGTAACCTTGAAATGGTGAAGGAAGAAAAAAATAAAGCAATGTCAAATTAAAACAATGTCAGTTCTGCTTCTGTGGCAGGACCTGGACCAAGTAATGGGAGGAGAAGACAAGGTTCCTAGAGGAGTAGTAATAATAATAATAATAATAATATCATTCTCCAACTCCAAATTAATTTTCAAAAGCATTAATAAATATGTTAACAGATTTAGCAAGACATTATGTCTGCCATTCTCTGATAAGCAAGATGGCAAAATGCATTTTCTTTCCAACTTGGACTGTGCAGAGAAAAGCGTGCTTCAAATAAAAACTGTGGGTCATCCAGAGAAGTTTGGGACAGCATGTTCAATAGCATCATATTGTTAAGGAATAGCTGCTTAGTGTGAATTAATTTGATAGTTTCCATCATCATTTATCTATATTTAGCAATTGCTAATGGATTTCTATGTCTTTATTTAAATAAAACTGCAAGGCTGATACAACTTTTTTTTTTCTGTTCACAGAGTTGGTTCCTTCAATTATGAGTAACATGCTGAATCCAGATGCTATTTTTTCAAACAATGAGATGAGCCTGTCAGACATTGAAATTTATGGTTTTGATTATGACTACACATTGGTCTTTTATTCTAAACATTTGCACACGCTGATATTCAATGCTGCTCGAGATCTTCTTATCAATGAACATCGGGTGAGTAAAATTAATGGAATAACAATAAATTTATGAATAAAGAGTATAATAAATAATTTCTGACTGAGAGGCATAACTCATCTTTTCATGGCTCAGTCCTAGCTTGTCTCCCTTGTAGCACATTTTGTACAACAGCTACATATGAACAACAGAAGTGCTGGTTTATTCTCAGCTGCAGTTTTGAGCAGAGCACAGTCTGTTAAGGAATACAGTTATTTTTGTCTTATTTTTTAATGTGTTGGTGTGGTTTGTTGTTTGTTCCTGACTGTCATTTATTGGAGTCACATTAATGAATAAAAAGCTTAAAAGCTACCATTACTCTGTTTTATCCACTGCTGTGAGTGCAGTGATTAATTTCCATATGGAGTATTTTTAGATTGACTTCTGAGCAGGTCTTTGATTGCACTGTGTGCTTGCAAGGTGCTCTGTGTGCACCGGGCGTTTCAGCTGCATTTGCCAAAGGGGCAGCGTGTTCAGTGACACTGTAATCAGAGCCTGGATATGAGTAAGTGTTCAGCTCAGTAGTCCCCTGATCCCTTGCCACCGTGTTTGCAGTGGTGACCAGTTGACATCCAAGCATTTTGGAGCTGGTTGTTGTGTAGTTTGGGCATGGGAAAAGTTCCCGTGTGTTGGGAAGTAGAGCGGGGGGAGATGGGTGACTGAGGAAACTGAAGGTATTGCTGGCACAAAGACTGGAAAAAAAAGGTGGACTAAAAGAGACAAAGCTTATTGAACTGTAGGACTTGCAGGAAAATAAAAGACAAAAAGTCCACAGGAGAACTTAATAAAACTGCTTGTGTATTTTTATACAACCTAAATCTGAATGGATGGTGTTATTCTACTTTCGTATTTGAATCTAAAGGTTAGGAGCTATATATAAACATCTATAAATATCATTGGAAGAACAAACAAAACTTCGTGGGTGCTATAAGCATACACAGCTTGATCCCCCTACAATTTTGGCATGATAGTGCCTTGGTAGTGATTTCTGTAGGATGTGTAAATACATTTTATTAAAGCTATGTGGTTCTTGCAAAAAACAATGTTACTGTAGGAGTCAAGATTTCTTCTTATAGACAAAAATTGAAATGGTTAAAATGATTAAAAAATGATTCTTGATTAAAGTCTCTTGAGTTTTAGTAAACAAAGCTGTAATTACTTTTTGAGACAGCTTACTAAAATACATTGTCTTCTGTTGGAATTTACTGAGGGACAACAGTTTTTATTGGTGCTATCTGTGTAGCTGCTTACGTTGCTAATGTTGTTTTTGCCTTTAACATTAGAAAAAAATTCTAGATATTATTGTCTGTTATGACTGTTACAGTCAGTCTAAAAGATGACCAATTTTGGTCATTGCAGTCTGAGGTAATTCATCAGAAATTGCAAAATGCAGTGTAGGAAGCAAGGAATTTTGAAGTATGTCCAAGAGAATAAACATCAGTTCAGTGCTAATCACGGAGGTGGCAGCAGGTGCTCAATGTAAGCTCTTGTTCTTGGGTTTATTTCTTTCCTAGCATACAGGCCTTGTGCCATCCTATTGGGACTGCTCTTTCAGTCCAGTTATGTTTATCCCTACCAAAAGTGGAGTAAGCAAACAGTACAATTTTTATAATTTTTTTGTTTGGTTGGTTTGTAAGGAAGCTTTGATTTGTGTGCTGGGGTAGGCTCAATCTTTATTTCTTATGTACTGCCATATATGTGAAAACACAGCCTTCTAGTAGAATAAAGTAGGCAAGTCAAATATGGAGAAATTTGATAAAAGTCAGAAATAAATTTCATTGTACATGCTTGATGTGGTTGCTTTGGGTCATGTTCTGCACATTGTAGCTTTTAATTGATCACATTCTGTATCCTTCATTGATGTCCCTTGTGCCTCTGCATCGTGTTCCCTGGCCAAATCTTCACGTCTTCTAAACTGTCTGTAGGCTTTTGATGCTATTTTTCATTCAGATCAGTAGCCTACCCCATGTTTTCTTGAAGTGGTAGTAGGGATGATAGTTAGGGGAAAGGGCTGTTTTCTTTAATTGTATATGCCTGTGCTCAATGCAAGCACAGTCTACAGGGTAAGTTGCAGAGTAAGTCCTCTTCAGCAAGATAAAAACTTTGGGCAAAATTGTAATTCATTTATTTATTTTAAGAGTGGCTAGAGCTTCCACTGAAGCTGCATGATGTACCCTTACCCGCCCCCGCCACGGCTTGTAAATTAGCCGTACGTGCATGGAGACTGTTGTAGACAAGGTGAAAAATGTGCCTGAGATGAATTTGTCAAGATCTAGGACTGCTGTAGCCTGTGGGAGGGAAATGAAAGATTGCCTTTCAGAGGGTTAATCAAAGAATTGATAATTTTCTCAGGCCCTGTTGAAACGACTGAAGCATTTTACCTTTTAAAAACAAACCCCTTAGCCCCAGGTACACATCTAACATTTTTTTTTTTCGTGGCAACCTATGGTTAAAGCAGGACAAAATTACAATGGACTGAAAATGAGCTTGTACTGAAAAATGCTAGAAAATTATATAATAGTGGTGTGAGCTCCCTACGTTACATATAAAGAACATGAGGAAAGGGTACGTGACAAAGTCATTCAATTCACATACAACTCTAAACAATGAGTTTTTTAAATATATTAAGAATATATTAAATTAACTTTTCTGAACAAGAGGCTGATGTTCAAAGTTAATCATTACAGAGTATACCTGGATGTCCAGCTTCAAGTACCATGATTGACTTAGGTTTAAAACAATGACCTTGGATTTTTGGAAAAATTGTTGACTTGTCTTGCACTGTGTATACATATGTTCCTGCAAATCTTCACCAGCCTATCAAAAGCCTCTTAACGATTAGAGAAAATTAAAAGCATAGAAAACTTAGACTTTTAAAGTTCTACAGGAACAATTTTTATTTGTTTCTAGTATGGATTTAAAATAATTGCTCTCTTTTCTTAGTATCCTGCAGAAATAAGAAAATATGATTATGATCCAAATTTTGCCATCAGAGGACTTCATTATGATGTGCACCGGGTATGTATAAATAACTTTGTGATGTGTTACTTAGTGCTGAGAACCCAACCAAAGAAAATAAATAGAGCTTTTCAGTCTTCCAGCTTTCCACTCTACATTGATTTGTAAGGATTTTGTTTCATATTTTCCTCTTTCATAGCAAGCATCATTATTAGTAGTAGTTGTATTTGAATATCTCCTAACTAGAAAACGTTTTGAGTCTTTTGTCCCCATTGTGGGTGGGGGAAGGCAACTTAAGAGTGCAACAGAATAAACCCAGGTAAAAGCAATTGATAAAAGTTTTTTGGAAGCTATGAAGGAAGTTGAAGTGAGGGTGCTCAGGTGTTCTTGAGACAGGTTAAAGGTAAAATCAGTTTGACTTTTATAATTTCATGTGAAATAGTTGATGTGATAAAAACTGTTACTTTCTTTTTTTTCCTACAAGGCATTGTTAATGAAGATCGATGCTTTTCATTATATTCAGCTGGGAACAGTTTACAGGTGGGTAAAATTATTTTCTATTTATAATAAGAATGTTTACTCTTATTTTTTGGATCTTTTAACTGCATTTATTACTGTACATCTTGGTTTCGTGTCAGGAACTGTGTCCTGACAAGCACAGACATGAATGAACATTGCAGGCTTACTGGAAGGGGGTTTCTTTGCACCTCTGTGTGTACACACAGACATGTGTACACGTTTACTGACTGATACAGTACAGCTGATTCCCCAGTCCAGCTGGGGAAGTTGGCAGGCTGGTTGGTCACATAGTGCTGACTCACTTTGTTTCCGGCTGTTAAATTGTGCTGAAAGACATCTAAAAATACACTGATGACTTCTCTGCTGTTGCTTTCTATGTAAATAGTCACAGAGTGCCTGTTAGCGTGACTTTGGTGTGGTTGTGGAGACATTTGAGAGGTCTTACTGTGTTTGCACGGAGCTTTTAAGTTTGGACACATCGACCATGTCATACTTGCAGAAGAAAGCACAACACAGCCTGACGCTTTTTGAATTTACTGAATTGATGTAAAATGGGTAATCTCTGTGCTGTTCTTTGTTGCAAGATATAGACTTACTATATGTGAACTTTGACAGGAAAGTTTTTAGTATGGCTCAGTTTGCTGTAATGAAGCAGTACACATTTGACTGACTTGAACACCACACACAGTACCAGATTTTAAATCAAGCAAGAAGCCAGACCACCTTTCTTAAAGTCATTGGACAAAAAGTTTTCATCTGGTGCCAAAAGATGATATGACCTTGAAGTGATTTACTCTGGGGGATTGTATATGGTCGTACGAAATGATGATAATGTGCTCATTACTTTTTTATTTGCCAGTTGTGCAGGTAGGCAAGATGATTCAGCCATAGTCATTCATCTGTTATTTTACTAATTTGGCTGAGATGCCTTTTGGGAGAGGGTAGAGGAAGGCAAGGAAAATAAAAAAGGACACAAGATGGCACGGACCAGCATTAGGCTCCTACTGTCAACACAGTAGCTATCTAAATCTACCAAAACAATGTGTTCTGTATGTATCATCAGAGTCTGAGGGGAACTTCATACCCGTTATTTGTGTGTGCTGATGTAGAATAATTATTGTATGTTTCAACTGACAAAGACTGTTGTGGATTTCAAAGAAATCATTTATGCTGGGCTAGGAGAGAATCAGAGAACTCAGTGTAAAGGTTACTGATGGCAGGATTTGCTGTGAAAAATGCTGGTTTGTTAGATTAAAGGCTAGGTGAGGCAATGAAAGCTATGTTTATCTGTAGCAGTATGTAGTAGAAATGTAAAGATTGGTGTGGATGGAACCATGTATGTATGAGAGCACCACAAGAAATGTTGATAGAGGGGACAAAAGGATGGCATGTGTTGGTGGTGCCTGCATGAGTTGGTCATCAGGATTTCACCACATTTGCATGCTGTTTCCCCAGGCACCTGTACAGTCATGAGGGGAGGAAAAAAGAGGCTGAAGGATGTGAGAAATGATGTCAGGAAGAGCAGTGGTAGGACTGGAACTGTATAGGTGTCCTTGATGAGAAGATGAATGGGTGGTGAGTCCATCAGCAGTGTTGTGTTATGGCTCAGAGTGAGACAGAATGAGGAGGCAGAAAATCAGGTTGCTGTCAACTCCTAGTACAAAAGGCACATCCAAAGCCAAAACATGATGACCATGCAAGAAAACTCTAGAAAGATGTTGAGATTTATGAAGTGCTGGTGACCCTTGTTCTCCTTGTCACCCAAAGTAATTCTGGATGGACTGCTAGGCTGCACATCTTGTTATTTATGAGTGTGTGTGAGTGTGAGAGTGAAAGCTACCATTTCACTTAGTACTCTCTCTTAATTTTGTTTAAAATGATATTACCTTTTCTCTTCTGTACCAACACTGAGCTTTGCTGTCAGTTGCTGCATATCTGTAGTTGTTAGTTTTGTTGTTCCCTATGTTCTGTACGTGTGTAGATCAGTTACACAGATAAAACACTAGCCCAAGTGTACAGCCCCATTTGCACTGAGAGGTGTAAGCAATTCTGGTGTCCCTCTAAAAATGCACATCTCCAGCAGCAGCAGTGGGAGCGCTGCTTAAGGTTGAGAGTGATGCTTTTAGTGCTGTCTGTCCATGCTGTCAGTGAAATAAAACAAACTTTTTAGTTTTACAGCTGGACTGTGAACTGTGTCAAGACTGTGAGTCTTCTGGTAAAACTAATCTGCAGCTTTGCCTAGACAGTCATCTCTCCACTTTGGCTTTAACATACGTCTGTTGTCCTCTCTTGATTTGTGCTTAAGTAGTTACAGATCCACAAGTGTTTTCTTTAGCAATATTCAAATACCACTTGGCATAGCTGTCTGCAGACCAGAAGGTACCTTCTCAATTCTGATGGTATTACTTGGTATCCTTTTAACATTTGGTTGCATTTAACGTTTGTGTTTTCTGCTGTGGAATGGGTGATGTTGAACTCTTTATGTTACAAAACCGAAGTATTATCTGCCCTGTTTGTGTGCAATACTGACTTGAATGGTGGAGTCCTGCCAGGAATAGCTTAGAGTTATGTACCAGTCAGTGTAGCATTGACAAGAGCAGTAAAGGAGCTGGTTAATGTGGGACTCTGCTACCATAGAAGCCCTGAGGAAGTTGATGTATCATGCCTTTTCACTGCACAGCCTGTGTGGATGATAAGCACTGAAAGTACTAGGCTAATAAATTTATTTATTTATTTTTTAATGCCTGAAAACACTTCTTGGTGAGACCAGGAAAGGGAGGCACTGAAAAAACAGCCTGTTTTAAAAAGCTGCAAAACACCATAAGTAGGCATAGAAAAAAAGAGACCGGCTGATCTGGTTTTCATTTGGGTTTTTTATTCCTAAGCAAAATCTCAACACTTCTGTGTCCTTTGGTGAGGATATTTGCATGCCTGCAGTCTTTCAGATGCTTTTGTAAAAGATGCTTGATGCCGCAAACATCTAAAACCAAACCAAAGCCTTTACTCTCTTAATAGTTCATAAAGAAACTCTGGGGAGAGATCATATCTCCTCGTTCCCTATTTGTTGTTGTATTTTTAAAGTTTTAATTACTTGTCAACCATCCTTCAAGTAATCTTAAATTTTGTGAAACTGAAATGTTGGTACAGTTTAAAACAAATTCTTATTTAGTTAAAGGCTGTGTATGTTTTTCTTTCCCTTGAATCTTCAAGGTCATGATGCAGAATAATCTGGTTTAAACACTATCACATCATCGATACTCTGTGAAGGGAAGGCAGTGAGAAATTACTTTGTGATAAGAAACTGTAAGCTCTAGCTACTTACAAACCCTTGAGGCATAATTTCAATGGACTAATTAGCTCTTTTCCTGTAAGAAAGTAAAGTCAAATTTTAAAGTTAAAATTGGAATGTGTTCTGTGTGTATCAGTCTGTTAAAATGTTGCTTGTTCGGTAAGAAAAGATGCTGGTTTAGCTTATAGACAAAAGTGTTCCTGTGACATTATTAGTATTTTAATAAGGTCCAGATCTAAGTGTTAATCTGTTGGACTTTGGTGATTACTTGAAAATTTTAATGTGACTTTTGAACTAAAGCTGATGTTGTTTTCCAGAGGCCTCAGTGTTGTCCCAGATGAAGAAGTTATTGCAATGTATGACGGTTCCCATATCCCTTTAGAACAAATGAGTGACTTTTATGGAAAGGTAAAAACACAAACTGATCTTTATAAATGGTTGTGGGGGTTTTTTTTGTTGTTGTTGTCACGTGTGGGTTTTTTTTTTTTTTTTTTTTTGTTTAGGGGTTGTGGGGTTTTTTTTTTTTTTTTTTTTTTATTTGGGGTTTTTTTTTTTTTTTTTTTTGGTGTGAGGGTAGTGGTGTCTAAATTTTGTTCTCATTATAACTAGCAGTTATATTTTCTCAATATGTGATTGACTTATAGTACTAGATATGAAGTTTGCCCTCTAAAGTTTTTTTTTTTTCCTGCTTGCTGTAGTTTCTTCTTTGACTGCTCCTTTGCCCAGTCATTCAGACAGAGTAGTGGAACATAGAAAATCAAGTGACTTGCTTAGTGTTGCACAGCAAATCTGATAAAAGCTGGGAAATGAACCATATCTAGTGCTTTACCCAGGCTGTGTACTTCTTCCTGGTGGTCTGATGGCTTAACTGATGTAGCAGCAAGTAAATGTGTGGAGACATCTCCTGTGTGCAAACTGGCAGAGTGACAGTAAGGGGATCTGACAAAAGATGAATGATAAAAGATGAAACATTTAGGTTTAAGATCTGACTTTCTCAGGAAGATTAATCTTTTGCTGGTAGGTTCCTTCCTCTTTTCCAAATGAAGAACGGTGCTGTCTTTTTACTGAAAAGTCAAGTTTATTTTGCACCTTTTACTTAGGGGTGTTAATTCCATGTTGACATGAAAGGACCTTCTTTGTGCTGTGGAGCAGTTTATTGTTCTTGCACTTGTTCTTTTTTTAAGGAGCTGAATTTAGAATTCCCCAGTCTGTTCTCTGCAGCAGTTGTGAATATCATCCTGGCATTCCCTGTGGGATGCCTTGGTCTGTTTAGGCCTATACTTTCTTAGATCTTGGAAAGGAGAGTGACACGACAAGAGGCAAGAGACACAAACTGAAACACAGGGTGCTTCCTCATCAGGAAGATGATCTTCCTTTACTGTGAGGGTGACCTAGCACTGGCATGGGCTGGTTATCCAGGGAGGTTGCAGAATCTCCAGCGTGGGAGATTCAGAAGCCACCTGGACAAGATCCTGGGCAACTGGCTCCAGGTTGCCATGCTTCAGCAGGGGGCTTGGACAAGATGACCTCCAGAGGTCCCTTGAAACCTCAGCTATTCTGTGTTTCTGTGATCTTGAGCTGGTTGCTTTACTTGTCTTCCTATTGAGAAGTATTTGAGTTGCATTTGCTCTTGTATAATGAGACTCTCTACTTTTGTGATACTTAACTATCATTAGCTTTTGCAGACTAGAAATCTCTTCCCTTGTTACTGCATTAGCTGTTGTAGATTCTTAAAGCTTTTTATTATCTTATTTTAAGGAGGTGAATTGTTTTACAATCCCAATCAGTATTCCACTTACTAAAAAAACCCCAAACAAATAAGAAAACCTCCATTCCCCATCACAGTACCCAGTGCTCCTTATTTGCAGAAGTGCAGATTTCTAGTGAAGACCTCTAAGGGCTTTTCTTGACTTTAAGCTGAGCGCTGTCTTGTTTTTATGAATTAAAATACTGCTTTTAAGAGTAATGAGTTGGATTTATTTGAAGAATTAATCACAATGCTTTTGTTGGAGATACTTTATCGAAGGTCTTAGTTCAAGAAGAATCTGAAGCAATGTGAAGGGGATGGCAAAACCTGAATATCTGCAACTAAGCTAAAATGTTTATATGGAATGAATGAAAGTGTTTTAATCTGACAAATGCCTGACTTTTTTTTTTTTTTCCTCCCCACCACTGTAGAGCTCACAAGGAAATACAATGAAGCAATTCATGGATATATTTTCCTTGCCAGAAATGAGACTCCTTTCTTGTGTGAACGAATATTTTCTGAAAAACAACATAGACTACGAACCTATTCATCTGTACAAAGATGTCAAGGTAGTAGCTTTGAAGATTTAGGTAAACCTCTATATTTGTGTGTCTTCTCTGTGAACACTTCAGGAAGCTTTCACCTATTGTGTCAGCCTCAGTGAAATACCTCACCTTAGGTTTTGTATGGAGTGATTATTGCTATATAACCTTAAAAACATAATTAAAATTAAGGTAGAGCTTGGAAAAGAAACACAGAATCATTTGAAATTTTTTTGAAATCTGACGTCCTCTAGGGCTGTTGCTCTTTTTGTAGGTTTGAGGGGTGGATAGGGGAAAAGTGGAGAAGTTCTTGTAAGTTCATAAGACTTCTTTTGCTTGTTATTAAACAAAACCTTTTTCTCACTATCAGGAATGTGAGAAGCTATAGGGTATTCCAGTTTGGAGCTTTCAGTTGTAATGCCTCTACATCTTGGCTAGTATACAATCACTTGCTATCTTATGCTTCTGGACTATCTGTTTTGCTTGTTTATCTCTCTTCCTCTTCCAGAAAAACTCTAGTACTAATCTAGTAATTTGACCCTCTTGATTCCTCAGGATCTATCCTGCAGAGGAGATCATTTTATGTCATGGTTGTGTAAGAACACAAGAGATAATGCCCAAGGTGATAGTATTTGTCTGCACAGGCATTCCATCCAAAACCTTTTCCTGGCTCCTTGTTGGCTTGTATTCAACTTGCATAGTTGTTCAACACATGTGATGCACTCATATGTTGAATTTCTCACTTTTTGAAGTAGATCACATGGATTTTAAGAAATTTTTTACCTCCAGAGTAATTTTCGCTTCTACCTGTGGTTGCATAGAGTCAGAAGGCTAGTTCATGTAATTCCTGCTGAAGTATGTGTAGAAATTTCTGTACTGTTCAGCGTTACCAGCATTTTGGAAGCCCTTTACTGGTATTTTTTGAGGATTTTGAGGATGTAGCTCATGTAAGTACCAAAATGGCAGCGCCACTGATCTAAACAAGGCAGTCTGGTGCAGAGCTGGCTCATGAGAGCTGCTAAATGCCTCCAGAGCGCCTTATGAGTGTTTTGCTCAAGCATTTAGCTTCTTTCATCTGTTCGTAAATTCCTTATTTAAATAACCAGGGCATTTGTAAGTGATTGTAATCTAAAATCTGTCAGACGTAAAACTTTTGGGTTGTTTTTTTTTTTCCTGCAAGAGGAGAGGAATGTGTTCTGCTCCAAAGGTCACTAGAAATCTGTGGTGACTCTGCTGCTGCAGAGGGCTTTCACCCCACTTCACCCTTCACAACAACCTTTCACAGTAGTTATGTAAAACAGCCCCTCTGCTATACAGTTTTGTACTTCCCAAAATTATGAAGTTAGTGTCTTGGAGGACAGGCTTACTCTTCTAATGGTGACATATATTCGATGAACATTACATGGCACTTCTGTAAAGTGCAATTCTGAGAAAGGAATTGTTTTAAGAACAAATTACTACTGCTATGCAGTGAGCGTGGATTTTATACTTGAAAAGATTTTAAATTTGTCTAGTGCTCTGTTGCTTTCCTTACAGGACTCAATCAGGGATGTCCATATCAAAGGAATAATGTACAGAGCAATTGAAGCCGATATTGGTAAGTACTAATGGTACAATCTATCAAAGCTTTTTTCAGTGATTAGTATACTGATCTTTCTGGCTTCCATATTTAAGGTTACAAATTCTAAATTTTTAAAGCTTGAAAGCTTGTCAAAGGTGCCTTTAAGTGCCTTGTGTTCTGAACCCCTTGGTTGAATGCAGAGAAAATTCTTTTGAAAAACTTTCTCAATTAATACTGTGTTTTCCCCAATCCTGACAGAGAAATACATCTGCTACGCTGAGCAAACTCGTGCAGTGTTAGCTAAGCTGGCTGATCATGGCAAGAAGATGTTTCTCATCACAAACAGTCCCAGCAGCTTTGTGTAAGTGAGCAGTTGTTTTCTGTTTAACTATACGTTTTTAAAGGATGGGGAGAATGAGGTTCTCCAGTGTAATTAATTATATTGCTTTGATAACTGCACATCTGTTATGCTTCACTGTTAATATCCCTCTGTCCTTTCTAGGGACAAAGGCATGAAGTTCATAGTTGGCAAGGACTGGAGGGATCTCTTTGATGTGGTCATTGTCCAGGCTGATAAACCAAACTTCTTCAATGATAAGCGAAGGTGGGTGTTTAGTCGGTAAAGAATGATTCAAGCAGCTTATTCCGTATAAGGCTGTAGAGAGTGTTATGAAATATTTTACTTTGGCTGCAATGTAAAATGAAATCATACTTGGTGAAATCCTGTATAAGGTCACTACAAAATGCAGCAACATGCAATTCTGAAGTCTAAATATTTACCATTTCTTACCTAAGACAGTTTCAGGAGCTATCACAGCTACTGGAGTGAGTTAGGGTCACAGAAGCTATTTTTAACGTCTTGCTTGTAAGTTGGTGACGTGTGCTTCTTTCCTAAGAAACCTGAGAAATTTTGATGCCTTTCAGAATCATCCCCTGATCTGGAAATGTCTTCCATTGCTTCGGTTTTTTTTTTAGTCACAAATTGTATTTAAAGGGTGTCTCTCTGGCTGACAGACTAGAATATTTGGACTAGTTGTTCAATTAAGTAAACACATTTGTAATGTGCATGCACTGTTATTACATTTAAAAAAGTCCTGTTCCTTTATGTGTAATTATGATTTGAAAGTGCGATAGAGGGAGGTGGGATTTTTTCCCCTTTACTTTTCTTCATTTTATTTTAAAAAGAACTTTGCTGTACCATTTGCCCCCAGTCCTTTACCCTTTTCTTCAGTTGTCCATGTGTAGAAAATGAGGTATTGGGCAAGATTTTTACACATCTTCCGTTTTTTTGTGTTCTCTCCTTCTTGGCAGACAATTCATACTGTGTCTTCCCCTCTGCCTGGGGTCCTTGCCTTACATCTCAACAGCTGTTCTCAAACTAACAAACATCATAGGTATACTGGAGAGATACATTGCTTTTCACTGGTTAAAATGGAAGTTTTGGAATCTTGCTGCTTCTGTTACACAATGTTCAGGTGCTAGAGTGCATGTTTTCCTTTTGAGAGATGGGTATTGTTAATGTTAAGATTTTAATCTCCTAAGAAGTGACAGAATTTCTACAGCAATGTAACAATTGTATATCTATTCTAGACCATTCCGGAAGGTGAATGAAAGGGGGGTGTTGCTTTGGGACAAGATTCACAAGCTGCAGAAAGGTCAGATTTACAAACAGGTATGCTTTCAATAAACTTTTTTGGTTCAAATTTAACACCTATTTCCTAGAATCCCAATCTTCTTTAGACATAAAAGTTTCTAAAATGTAATATGTTCTTTAAGACAGTTATTTTCATGTCTGAAATTGTAGAAATTCATTGTTGGTATTGTATGTCCTTGCCTCTTGAAGTGATAGTATTACTGAAAACCACTTGTAAAATTTGGGCTTCATAATATGTAAACTGAGAACAAGATTAATGATATGAAAGTGTTTTTAGGGGTGTACTAAATTCCTTTTTCATGCAAGTTTTATGCTTCTGCAATGTACATGTCATTGTTTCTGCAGGGTAACTTGTATGAATTTCTGAAGCTTACTGGATGGAGGGGCTCTAAGGTGCTCTACTTTGGTGACCACATATACAGTGACTTGGCAGTAAGTAGTTTGCTTTCACAAAATAAGATAAAAGAAGAGGCTTTTTGTTAGTTTTCCTCTCTCCCTCCCCAGTTATTCAGTATAACACATTTTCATTTGAGATTTTGAAATACAACAGAATTTGGTTTGTGGTTAAGCCATATTGCTTTTTTCTGAAGTGAAGAATGTTGATTTCTTTAAAGGCCAACCATGTTTTCCACCTGACTTGTAGCATTTAACTTGTTTACTAGCTGTGGTCGGGAATGTGTGAGTTTGTATACCTGATCCAGATACTGATTGTGTCAGATGTAGCAGAGTAAACAGGGATATCCAAATATACAGGATGTGTGTGATTTGGATGACATTTACTGCCAAGTGTAATAAGAGCTGAATGAATTTCTGTTTTGAATGCAAGAGGAAATCTTCCTGTCACTAATGGTAAAGTTCCTTCTTAAGACTTTGCTCTGGTTTGTATCCCAACTCTCTGAGCATTTTCTTACCACCTTATGAGAAAATGTATTTTAGCTGTTAATTTAGGGTAAGTGAACACCATGTAAGTCTTTTGTAATTAATATCATATGAATGCCTGGGTAGGACTTTTCCACTGCCAAGCTATGGTAACATGTTTCAGCAGCAGAAGATGTTAACATTTTTTTCCCCAGTCTGCTTTTGAAAAGAAGAGTAAGTTTGGGTGCTTCAGAAGACTGAGGATCAAAAAAAGGAGGATGCAGCTGTGTTCTAGTCTGGCACAATGCATAAGAAACCACAGGTGGCATCTGCCTTGTGTTGTACCTGTCAGGAGGAGTTTGAATAGCTGGGGCTCCTGATAGGAGCCTTCTGTCAGCTGAATGTGTGGGTAAATATCACAAACCCAACACATGGTTCCTCTAGGTACTTCCGACAGCAACAGTGGTCTCATCTACAAGAGAAATGTCCTGCTGTTTGTTTTAAACCTAATGAATTAGTGTTTATTTGCAAGTGCTTGTGTGTTCTTTATCTCTCTTCAAAAATGCAGGATTTGAAGCTTAATTTGAAATTAAATTTTATTGCTTATTGGCACAGTTAAGCCCCAAGGTTTCATATTCCTGCTTATACATAAGAAGCAATTAGTGCCCCTTTGGGATACACAATAGTCAAATTCTTCAGTTCTTTTTAAGCGGTTCTTCTTAAGACTAATACCTGTATTTTGTAATTCTTGGTAAATAGGACTTGACCCTGAAGCATGGCTGGCGCACTGGTGCAATTATTCCAGAGTTACGGTCAGAGATTAAAATCATGAACACAGAGAAGTACATTCAAACCATGACCTGGCTGCAAACCTTGACAGGATTATTGGAACACATGCAGGTTTGTTCTGTGTGTGTGTAATCGGCTCTGTGTAGCAGAAGGGATCCAGCCAAGTTTCTACATGCTGGACATCGATGTTGCAAGTGCTTTGAGTCTCATTGAAGTGTTTGACTGTAGATAAATAAATGCAGTTATTTGTGTGGCTAGTTAATATGAGTTTTCTCAAAATCTCATCCCCTTCCTCCACTGGTTAGCCTGGATCAATTCCTGCTTTTGTTTGTTTAAAATGCATGTGGATAACTTCTGTATACTGGTCTCTGAATGATTGCTCATGTCCTGTTGGCTTATTAGGGTTAATTAATGGAAAGGCTTATCTGTGAAGGTATCCTTAGTTACAGGTTATCCATATTTCGCATTCCAGGTTCACCGTGATCCTGATTCACAGATGATTTTAGAAGAATGGAAGAAGGAAAGGAAGGAAATGAGGTAAGACACAGGAGATGAAGATTTGCAATATGCTTAGTGTGGCAGTTTGAGCCAAGGTGATAGCCAAGAGTTCTATGTAATGTCTTCCACAGGTTTTTTCAAACTTTCTCTCCCCCCCTGATTTATATTCCCTGGTAGTTACAGACCTTATAAAATGTTTTTCTGTAGCAGTATTCTACCTCTCTTGTGTAGCTCTTCTCTCTTCTGACACTTTGTGCATATGAACCCCTTTTCCTTGTTCCACTTCTTTAGAACAGATATTACTTCTCTGCATGAAAGGGTAACATCAAATCAAATACTTTTCTTTCTCATTTTGGTTTTCCTCTCCCTCTGTGTTCAGCTGTCATTGTTGATTACACAGCTTCTGCACAATTAAACAATGTGTTTCTTTGTCAAGGCTTAGGTTACTTTTTTGGTTTTTTAGATGATTTCTTCAGATTACATGTAATATGTTTTAGAATACATAGAAACTGGGCTCTGCACTAGACTGGATTTAGCAGTGGATTTATCACAAAGATAGGTAATGGGACTAAAAGTGTAATAATCTGTTATCATGAAGGAGAGGAGTAATCCCTAAATGCAGGGGGTGTGAAGGGCACAATTGGCAAGGCCAGCAGCTGTACCAGCAGCAGCCTTCCCTAGAAACATGGAAGTAAATGAAATAGGAGTGATACTTGGCAGCAACTAATGACAGAAGTTAATTCCAAGAAGTGTTTAAGCTTTTTGTGTGCATTAGGCCAAATATTTGACTTTTTTTAAAAAGTCTGTTATCTTTGGAACAAGTAGATGTCATTAGGATACAGATAAAAGTCTTCTTTACAGTCTCTAGAAAGAAGGCTTGAGAAGTCATGTTTCTAATGTCAGAAGCAACTTGTCAGAATGTCAGAAGTGTGAAGCTCTTCTGTTTACAACTGTGATTTCTAGATTTGGGCTACGTGTGTGCAAGGAGTGAAAAAATTTCTTATGTGGCACATTTAAGTGTTTAGAAATAAAATGGCAAGAGAACAATGCATAGACCATCTTACAGGAACTGCTTGCTTCAGGTTCTGGATGCTGGCTAGTGAAGAGATGTGTGCAGGTGTGTTCACTTCATTGTCTTTGTTTTCTTTCTTTGGGGGACAGGGAGATGAACAGGAATTTCTTCAATGCGCACTTTGGAAGCATATTCAGAACTGATGAGAATCCAACTTATTTCTTAAGACGTCTCTCTAGATTTGCAGATATCTACATGGCATCACTGAGTTGTCTCTTGAACTATGAGCCTGATTACACGTTTTATCCAAGGAGGACTCCTTTGCAGCATGAACTTCCAGGCTGGTCAGATCAGCTGTGCACTGGTACATTCAGAATACCTTTCCTACAAGAGACAGTTCAAATCAAATGAAAACTTGGTGACTTCTGTCTAAAATGGACAAATATATCTTGGTTTTTTTGAACGTATGTGTATTTTATTTAAGTCACTTAAATCTGTTACCTTGGTTTAGATGTATCTCATACTTAATCTCATAAGCATTGTAACTGTTTTCTCCTCTTCTGCTCAGACATGTGAAAACTCCTCTTACACACAGAAGAGATGATGGACTGCCAAAACAGTAGTAGGCCAGGAGGGAGGGCACATCTGAAGGGAAGGACTGATGGTGTTCTGAGGTGGTTGTTTTTGTTTATTGGAAACTTCAATCTGCAGCCTTGTGGTTTACAAAGAAATACCTGTACTCTCACTTCTGGCCCTTTTCAGCACTCCAGCTGGAGCCTCTAATGGATCTTGGCACTGAAAAGCTCAAATCCAGTGTTAGTAATTCAGTGATAAACAGCTAATAACCAGTTCAGGGTGAGACTCAGAGGGATAGTGTACATATTGTACCTTTCCTTGCTGCTGTGGCTGGAGCCTGACCTAACTGAGCTGAGGGCTGTAGTGTTGGCGTGGCTGTGCTGCACTGACAGGCTCAGGCTAATGGGCTCTTTCTCCTGTCTGTGCAGTTTCTGTTCTTGTGATGTTTGTGCTTGGCTGCAGGTGGACCTGAGCCTAAACCCGAAACTGCCGGTAGGTTGGGCTGCTTTGGCTTCCTCTTGTTAACTTTTAGGCACCTTTTGTTTTTAAGTTCCAAAACACTTCAAATATCCACTCTCTAGTAATAAAGTAATTTCAAGAGGTCTTGCATTTTGCATTTCAAAGTGGAGACAGATCTTTCCATCAAGCTTTAGTTTGATCCTAAATGCTGCTTTTAAAATTTTTAACAGTGTCTTATTACAGTGGTATGCAATGTGGTTTTGCTGTTTGCTAGGAGAGAATGTATTTCATATAGCCTTTTACAGTCAGAAGTAAATACGCACAATGGGCAAAGGAGTTAAAAGAAAAATTAAGAAATGAGAAAATGAAACCCAGAGTATTTTTGTTGGCATATTTTTAGCTCAAGCCCTGAAAGCTGAATTAGGGATGATGCAGATTTTGCATAAAGAAAAATAGTTTTGGTGGTGCAGATTAAAAGTTTTATTGAATTACTGAAATTGAAGGTAATGCATAAACATAAACTCTGGGTAGCATATATTCCAAAGATTTGAGCTGAAAAATGTCTACTTTGCACAAGGAAAACATCTGTTGATGTGTTTCCTCTAACAGGCACTTTATAGAACTGCTATATAATTGTTTTTAAGTAAGAATTATTTTCTTTCTCTGGATCCAAAGGAAATGGGTTGGTTTTTTGATTTTTTTTTTCTTTTTTTTTAACTGGTGCTTCCCACCCCAGCCATGATTAATAACTTCCAAATTTTAGTTATTAAAAGCTTGATTTTTTTAAAAGCATACATTAACAAAACATATAGCATCTGGTGTTCTTAATTTCACTTGCTTTCTCATGATTGTCAGGTAAACAAACTTTTGGTGACCAAAAGTTTTCTCGTTTTGGCTTTTTCTTTTTTAACCTGTCTGTATTATGTGCAATTACCTAGATTGAATTTCATATACAGTATCTTTCATGTTTTTAAAAGCATGTTTGCGAAGTACAGAATGTATTTTAATCTAGTCTGCACAATTTTATAAGTAGTTTTCCTGTATGCTTGAAATCAGTATGACATCCTCAGAGGTGATTGTGGATTTTGTTTTCTTGTGCTCCTATTTGAAATTTGACGTGAAACACGCCTGAAGTGTGTTTGTGTATTTAAACAGATGAATACACTTGAAATGAGGAAGTTCATCTGACCGTCCTGCTGTTTTGCTGGATAGAAAGATAAAGTTTTGCAGGAAGTTAGTTTGACTTTATCAGGAGACTTGTTGGTGAGGCTGTGCAAGAAATATTTAGCATAACTTGTTAATGAAATGTGGGGATGGAAATATCCCGATTTGCCTTCAGTTCTTTATTCTAATGCTCAGCTACAACCGAACTTGGTGTTACAGGTGTGTAGCATCACTCATGCTCCAGAGATTTCAGTTCACTCTTTAAGAAAAGAAAAAAACCCACCAAAACTACTCTACATTCTCCATCTTACTACCAGCAAATAAGAAGATTGTATTATTCAGTTCTGCATTATTGAACTTGATCATGTTTTGTTGATTATAGCTCTGTGATGGTTATTCTTTCAAAGCTGGCTAGGAGCCAGTTTGTTTGCTTAATTTTCCTGTGTTAAGCAGGAACAGTTTAATTGGCTTGGATGGTGTTATCCACATAATACGCATTTTGTTTCAAGATTTTCTTCTTTTACCCTTCTGTTCTCTTCACTTAAAAATCAAACTTCTGTACCAAGCTATGTTACAACAGCGAGCTCAAGTAAAATACTGTTTATATTGCATGAGTTCTTGAAATAAACAACGTTGCATGAAAAGAATTAAATATGGCAGGGTTGTGTTTCTTTAAAACAATCCAACTATATGGAATATGAATTTAAGTGAGAATATTGAAGTGTATTATTTATTTTTCAGTGCTAGAATACAGCTCTTTAACTTTTAAAAATATCTTGCTTTTTTTAATGATTTCACCTTGGCACTCTCTGTGTTACTTATTTTAACCTTGTTATGCTACTGACTTCAAAGAGATTTTTGAGCATGTTTAAAAGGCAGTGTTTCTTTATATTAATTTTGAGAGTGTAGTTCATTTGATCACCAAAGCAAGAAGAAATTTTTTTTCTGTTCTATCAAAAACACAGAGGTGAATAGTCTGTCAGTAAAAGAAAGAATTTTATGAACTGTGGGGCTTTTTTTTGTGATAAAAATATTTAATGATTATTACAAAAATAAATGTTTGGACTTTATCTTCTGGTCTCTCTGAGCCTTAATATTTTGGGTGACTGGGGAGAAGGAAAGAACATGATCTGTATTAGTTGCAAAATTCTGGGGGAAAACTCCTAGATACATAAGTATGTGTTTTAACTGTGTTTGTGTTCTAAACTTTCTAATATAGGTAAAAAAAAGAAAGCAGGCATATGTAGAGGTGCAGGGGAAGAAGTTTGGGGAATTACTTCAGTCTGTCTGTTTCATCCAGGTGTATTTACACATTAGATTCCCTTTGTGCTTGAAAGCTGCATCGACAACCCTGGGTTTGCCTGCTTATCTTGTTTTGACAGTAGGCATCCTGGGGTGACACCACCTAATGCCCCCCAGCCATTAGGGGGACGTTACTGCTACCAGCAAGAAGATCTTCCTTTGCTTGCTATTTTGTGGTTTCTTTTGTGTTCCCACTGTATCACTATGATATGAATATTTTGGTTGAAGGAAACTTATTTGATTCACTCCCAATAGTGTGGTGCCATTCACAGCTGTTACTGCTGTGCTTTATAAAAAACAGTTTGTGAAGAACCAGCTTCTGTTCCTCCCGGACCTGAAAAACTGAATATGGGCATTGCATGGTAAGGGGATGTTCATATTCGTTGTCTGTCACAAAAATGGGTCAGGTAAAGATTGATTGGCATTTAAATGCTCTCACATCACCTGCATGTCTCGCTACAGATGCCTCAATGACTACTTCCCTTTGTACAGTGAGATGAGATGTAAACAAAACAGCCAAATTCAAGGAAAGACAGAGGCAAGTGGGGCAGACGGGGTGGTTGTGTTTCCTACTGCTGAATATCTTACCTGAAAGTACACTAGCAAAAAAATCCCCTCAGTTTAAAAATAGATGTTTAACACATATTGCATTTCATGCTTGTAACTGTGCCAAATGAAAGCACAGACCTAGAGAACTAAGAAATATAGGATATTTGCCAAGTTAGCAGCCCGGTGTGTTTGCGGCCGTTTTAAAGTCTGTGAAGAGGAATAAAAGCAGTTAAAAAGCAGGCTAGTGAAAGTTATCTACTTTTCCCAGAGAGGAGTCTGTTTGCTTCTGGTTAGGTTTGTTGAGACTCAGTCTTGCATCTAGCACTCATAGTTGGTACTGCTCAGATACAGCCAACATGTCTGAGGTTGGTAACTCTGTGAGTTATATAGACTGAATCTTAAAGCCGTGCTTTTTTGGTTTTTAATTTGTAACAAGATTTTATTCCCTGTAATGTGTAGGTGCTGGTTTTCTTCACAGTAATTGTAAATAGAAATGTGTTTAATAACTGACTAATGCCAAATTCAGTCTTTAATTCTGATCATGAGGACCACTCATCACAAGCTGTTGGTCATCTGAATCCTATAAAATAGAACAAAAAGAAAATCAGACTTGCACATTATGTTAAGAAATGAAAGTAACTTGTTGGCACATTTGTCCATACAGATGGCAGAGTTGGCACCCAACATTTCTGCATCAAATGACTTTTTACTGGGTGCAAAAAGGTGTATTTTGATTTTAGACTCTGCATGTACATGAGGGTATTGCTAACTTAGACCACTGAAGCTATTCAGATACTCTGGCTTTACTCAATCCTTTCTTCTCTTGATCCCCAGCCCCCTCCCTCTTTGTGTTTCAGATTTTTTGGAGTGCTAGCATGGCACTCGGCTATGTTTGCAGCAAGGAGACATGAAGACAAAATTAGAAGGCTTTTACAGTTTGTATAGACATATCACTGTCATCCAGAGGCATTTGGAGTCCAGTTTAATTCAGCTCTCTTTGAAGGTGGACTTGAGATACTGCTGTAGACCACAGCCTCAGTTTTGCTATGACACAACCCAATTCCCCACACTGGTGAGACAGGAAAGCCAGGAACTTATATGTTGTTTTCTTGAATTAATTTATTATTTTTCCAACTAGACATTGTCCTTTCATGAAGTCATTCCCTCTTAACCTTATATTCCTAGTTTCTCAAACCAAAATGAACACTTACTGAGAAAAGATCATAAGTAGGTTCTGGTGGACTTAGTGCAGAAGAACTTTCATATGAGGGGTTGGTGATATTTGAAGGCTGTGACTTGTCCAGTGATGATGAGTCAGTGTCATCTTTTGACTATACAAAAGCACATAAGCCTGCTTAAAATTCATCCTCTTCTTCCAATGCATTAAGTGGGGCACTTAAGCTTCACTACCAGCCAGTGCAGTGTTGTGACTGAACTGGCTGTATCATCTAACTCACTATCTCTGAGCATAAACTATGTTTTGGATTGTTATTGTATTACTCAGGTCACTTAACACTGATTTTTTTTCTCTCCCTTCTTATTTTTAAGCCTCAGCAAAGAATGGGAGAGGAAGTGTGGCCCTGACCTTGTGCCTGGGGTAAAAAGTACCGGATTGGTCCCAAGTGCTCTCATTGCAACTATATAAAAATACAGGCATTTCCCCTGGCTCTTGGGTCCTGTGTTTTGTTTCTAGAAGATGATTCATATTATATGCAGGGGCTAGAACAAGAATTTGTTTACTTAAAGGTGGACTTTCTTTGGATTGGTTCTTTGTGTATTCTGTAACTTTTTTTTGTCAGCCTTCATCTCTGAGTAGCTTGGCTGTTGCTGGCTGGTTTCACATCATCATATGACGTGAGATAGCAGAGTTAGTTAAGAGAAATCAAACATGAGAGCACATCAATATAAAAACCTACACTCTTCAATCCTGCAGTCATTTAAATTTGCTTGTCTTTTGAGTCTGGCCTTTTTCCTATCAAACATTTCAACCTCCAGAGCAACAGAATGATTAGCTACGCCACAGAGGAGGGGGAGGAGAACTTTCAGTGGTTGCAATTACCTGCTGGAAGTTTCCATGCATGCAGGAGCCCATTGGGCACCCTGGGGGGAGATGTCTGGGGGCAAATGTAAGCTTGTGCCCAAGACCAGTGTGGGAGCCTTCTCCACTTTCTCTGTCTCAGTCTGAACAGTTCAAGTGGGAAGTGATGGGGAGTATTTCTGTCTTAACAAAATACACGGAGAAACTGGAGGTTGTGAATTTGGGAGATGCAATGGGTCTGGAGAAGCCCCCCCGCTTTGTGTTCCTGTCTGCCACCTACCTTGAAGTGCTGGAAGCTCGTGTTTCTCTTCCTGAACCTGAGGTAAGAATATCCGATAAGAGCCACAATTCCAGCTACTAGACAGATGCCAAAGAATATTCCTGTCCCGGTACTGGCGTGGAGAGGAACCTGGAAGCAAGCAAGAGACTGAATGAGCTGTGGGTGGGTACTGGTCACCTTCTAACAGCCAAACACATGTAGTGTTCCTTGGAGATATGCTCTGATCCTGAGCTGCTCTTGTGCTTGAATTCCTGGTACATGTTCCCTAGAGACAGTTGAAGTGGCCTTTTTGATAGAATCATGAATTGTTTAGGTTGAAACAGGTCATTGAGTCCAACCATTCACCCAGCACTGCCAAGTCCACCACTAAACCATGTCCCGAAGTGCCACATCTACACATCTTAAAGCCTTCCAGGGATGGTGACTCTACCACTTCCCTGGCAGCCTGTTCCAATGTTTGACAACCCTTTTCATGAAGAAATTTTTCATGATATTCAGTCTAAACCTCTCCTGATGCAACTTCAGGTCATTTCCTCTTGTCCTGTTACTTGGGAAAAGAGACCGGCCTCCACCTTGGTACAACCTCCTTTCAGGTAGATTTTTTTGGGGGTACTGGAATTGCCTCCAGTACACCTTCATCTTCTTTATGGTTTTAAAGTTTAAAGTTTTGAAGAATGCCTGAGGCATCTTTTCTGGTCAGGTTTTTCAAAGGAGGAACAGGGTCTACAATGAGACTTAAACCTTCCTGGCTTGAGGAAGAGAAACAGGTACCAGATTTGCCTGAGTAGTTCTGTAAACCTGTCCTACAAACTCTAGAGGGCTTTGCATGGGTTCAGGCTCACTCCCCACTGCTTTGTGCACTGGGGAAGCGATGATTATTCCCAACTATCAGTAGCCATACTATCCTCTAAGCCCTGCTTACCAGGGCTCAAACCAAACCACATCTGAGACCTAGGCTTGTCTCATCACTGGTCAGAGGGACTGTAGCCTGTGCAGAGGGGTTGTAGGGCTGGTCTTGGCTCTGCCAGTAGCCCAGCACCTGCTTTCTCTAGGTCCTTTTGCCCCAACGCATGCAAAGCCTTTATCCTGAAATCATTCTTCAGTCAAGCTAGTAAAGTGCCAATCCACATAACTGTATATAATTTTTATAAATATTTTAATAAATATGTAGGTGAAGGACTGAAAAAATTCTCACGTTATTTGGATTTAATCTAAAGGGAAGAAATGCTTCTAGACTCTGACTTGGTTTGCCTTCTGCAGTTCTGTGGCCTGACAGACAGGTATCATGAAGGTGACTGATAGTTTAGGGGTCATGGTAAGCTTTAGGGGCCCCAGGGCGTGCAGCCACTCAGACTGCAGTCTCCCCAAAGCATTGTGCTCTTTGCTGACATTCTGGGAGATGAGGAGGGTCTGGAAACAGTTACAAGGTTTGTATTGCTTTTCATACAATGTCTTAACCCTGTGGCCTCGTACTTAGGAAAAAATTTATTAAACTTACCCTGACAAAAATAATCATATTGTTGTCTTAATAGATATGCTGTCTTTGTGTTTTGTTTGTTTGTTTGTTTGTTTTTGTTTTGGGTGTTTGTTTGGTTTTTTAAAAAACAATTTATATGGTGCAGCTGGACAGCTAAATATTAGAAAAGGTTTAGTTGCCCTTTAGCATGTGAAAGGTATTATAATGAGTGTAATATCATGATGCTGTAGACTGACAGAAATTGCCTATTATTTTGAATCATTTGCAGGCATTAATTAATACTTTTACCCAAGTGTGTCGTTTCCTACTTCTGAGAATTGCAGGCTGCAAGAGGTTTTTGTGAACTGAGATTGTGCAGGCATGTTACTGGGCTTCTAGCAATATGCCTGCACATAAAAAGCTGGTTTGTAAAGGAGAAAGGGTTGCTCAGAACAAAATGAAGGTGAGAAATAGGGTATCGGTAGGATTAACCTTGTGGACCAAGGAGATGGCTGGATAACTGGAACTTTTGCAGAAATTCATGCAGGCAAAAAATATCTATTTTTAAAACACCATGTTGTTTTGGATAGGAAAGAACACCAGGGCAAGAGAGTAAGCAATGTTCCTTAGAAGCTTGAAAGATCTTTTTGGAAGAACTAAAATGGAGCTTTATGAAATCTCCATTACATACGTGAGCTCCATTATTTTATATAAAGAAAATAAATTTATAAATGTGGGAAGAAATTGTTCAGATGGAAACATTTTGAATAAGCTTCACTGGCACCTTGTTTTTAACTTCCAGTTCTCTTTGAAAGTAACCTTTTAAGCTGAGAACTGCATATGTGACAGGGAAACTGGGAATATATGAAATTCAGCAATGAGTTTAGGATGATATAAGCCACAGCCACCTCCCATCACATCAAAAAACTAAATCAGTATGTACTTACAGGTTCTGGTGGAGCCTTTAGAGGTTCTGAAATGATGTGGATTATTCCATTGGAGGCAATTATATCCCACTCAACGATAATGCTTCTGTCCACATATCGGATCTCGCTCTGACAGGAAAAAGAGGAATGAGAGCTGAGCTTTGATGCTTCTCCCTTTGGGACTGAAATAAACATTGTCTACTTCCTTTGAGTTTTGCAGGTCAGAGCTTGGCTGTTTGCAAACTTGTAGATTTGCAGTTTGCCAGTTGTTATCCCACAGTCTCTGGGCAGGAAAGAGCCTTCTGAATTCAGTCTCTCATTGCTGCCCACTCTAACCTTATCAAATTGCTCTCCAGAGCAGTGTGCTAACCGATTACAGGCTATAGCATGAGCAGGGGGAAAAGCAGGAGGACAGGAAATTTATTACAATGGTACCTGTTCAGCAGTGGGGGCTTGATGTTCCCGGCCCCTGGTGTTTGTAACGAGAAGTTTTTTCCCTAGATGAGTTAGAAGAGTGGTTCCATTGGTCAGGTCCTCGTAAAACACTATCCTGGCATTAGATAAATGATACTCGATGTCTCTCCCTGAAAGTGTCTGCAAATGAGGGCAAAATACAAGGAGCGTTAATGGATCTCATTAATCCTCTGGATTTACTAGTAGGCTAAATGCCTGTGACCTTTTTCCCTCTCTCTGCTGTTAATGCTGCAGCAAGTGCAGCAGCAATTGGGGCTATGGGGAAATCTGCATGTGAACAGTGGGAACTTGGTCCCTGCTGGCCTCTGACGGCTGCCTGCAGCAGGCAGTACCTGAATCCCTGGAGGAGAAAGGATTTTACTCTTCTGTATGATGAGCTGAAGTGATGAGCCTCAGAGATCTTCCAAACAGCTTAACGATGTAAGCCAGTGCATAAACTGATGTGAATAGCTTGAGACAATGTTTAATTGAAGGAAGGAAAGAAAGAATAGAAGGGATAAGCATAGAAATGAAGCTAGGACCAGATGCTTTTAATGTATTTGTGGGAAATACCAAAGCGGGGTGCTGCTTTCTTCAAATAACTGCTCAATATTAATAAGTCAGAACAGACTTCATCTCAGGCAGACTCCTTCATAACTGGGTAACTAAAATCCCTGATGGAAAAGTCTCTGTAGTTACTCAAACACTTGATAACCTTGCACTTCTATCCGTGGAAGGGAAATGGAAACAATGAATTCACCTCTTTCAGGAGCACAGTTTAAATTATATGGAGTTACGCAGAGGTCACATCATACTAAGATTTTTTTTCAAGCTTGAATTTCACTGGGATATAGAAACCCATAATGGCTGTTTAAAATGTGTTATTAAAATGAGGAAGGAAAAAAAAGAAAAAACACTAACCTCATTTTCCTTTAACCCACTGTCATTTGGAGCAAAGAGAGTGGCATGCACTGACAGGTCTGTGAGGTACTGGAGGAACTCTCTCCCCTTTCTAGAGCTGTTGGAGTAAGCCATGATGTCCTAGGCAGAAACAAAATCCAGCTTTACTAAAGGCAATTGTGCACTCCTGTGTGGAGAGTGGAAAAGATGAGACCATATAAATAACAAAGGAACTTATTAGCCATGAAGCAGATGTGGAGTGACATTACAAAGGAAGTTTGTATTCAAACCCCAGCTTTAGCTGCTGATTTGATGAGCACATCTTAAACTGAGTTGCAGTTGTACATATAATGCCTTTCCGAGTACTGGCAAGGAAAGGACCCTTTTAACATTTTTCCTTTTCCCAGCAGCAATACAATAAGGTTCCAAAGCACTGTGCTCCTTGTGATGCTTAAAAAGCCAGGAGCATTTGTGTAGAGAATCTCCTTTATGCTAAAGCTGCACCAGAATTTTAACTCCAAATACATTTTAGAAACCAGAAAGCAGTTTGGAGCCAGCAATTACAAAAATAGTAACTAAGTTCTGATTTTGATGGTGCAGATTTAGACCATACCCCCTTGCTTTACTAGTGTGTTGTGGTTATGTGTGTTTGCTGTGCTAGTAAAGCAAACACTGAGATACAACCCACAAATTCCCCTTTGCTTCCCTCCCCCCCTAAGCAGCGTGTCATCCACGGGCCTTACCGACAGGAAGTTTGTCAGCGTTGGGAAGGACATCAGCACTTGCAGCAAATTCCCACTGCAGGAGAAGCCGTCCCCCACGTAGCCTGGCTTGCAGGTGCAGTTCACCTCTGAAAGGTATGAACACAGACAGCTGTTTGGGCAGACGCCCTTCCTGAGAAGGCTTTAGGCTGCCCTGTGCCTGAGGAACAACTTGCAGGCAACATAAATTTTTTTTTTTAATTAAAAAGCATCAGATTCTCTTGCAGTGTTGTCTAGCAGCCTGTGGCTGATGAAAGGAACCAATATCTGGGCTGCTGCTCCCATTAGCCCAGAGGGATGTGGCAAAGGACCCTCTTACCTTTCTCCCTGTAGCAGAAAACATCCCAGGTTTCACTCAGATTGACTCTTTTCCCATAGTCCACGATGCCGACGTACCCAGAGCCACAGTTTGGAGAGGAGAAGCCGGTCGGGTAGCCCACTCTTGCCCCATCTAGCCAGCCAGCAGAGCACAGGTGGTACCTTGCCTGTGGTTGGTGCAGCCATAAGGGGAAAAAACACAGGGAGTTGCTGGGTGGTGGGGTTGGAGAACTTTGGATGAAATGAGCAATCCCCCCAGGGTGCTCAGGCAGCACCTGCCCTGCCAGCACTCTTTCTGTGCATCTGAGTAGTCTCTGTCCATCCATCTGTCCTGCAGCCTGCCCTGTGCAGAGCTAAGTGGCTGCAGAGACTGGAGCCCCTCTGAAAGTTGGTGTTTCCTGGTACAGACCAATAGATCCTTTCCTGGAAAAGCTTCTCTGAGTGCAATATCAGAGGTGGATGTGAAAGCCAAAGGTGATGTGCAATTCCACTGTGTGCCAGCCCACCTTTTGCCAGTGGGGGAAGGACTGACAAAGTAGCTCAACACAGAAAGTAAGTCACCAGAAGTTCTGGACCCAACCCCATTACCAACTTTGCTGCTTCAAGAAAAGTATTTAGACTATGGAGCACAGGGAACCTGCAGCTCTGGCTGCAATCTGAGTCTCCTTGAGCAGCAGAAGGAGGTGTATGTCCTGGCTGAGGTCCGGCCTCACATTTTGCTAAAGGTGTCTCTAAATGGTGAGTGTCTTTCTTCCTTCTGTAGGTGTGAAGGGGCCAGAAAGAGGCAGTCAGTCTGACCCACTCTTCTAAAACAAGTTTTGCAAATCCAAGTTGTGATGCTCATCCCACTGACATCAGCCATGTGTTGTCTATAACATACTCAAGGAAAATAATATGGAAATGGGTCTGCTAACTTAACAGCATTTGGGGAAAAGATTCCTGGAGACTTACTTGAAAGAAATAAATTGAGCATAATTCTGAGGTGCACATTTCTCTAAGAAGCATTAAAACCCCCGTGAAAATACTCTGAAAATCTGACTCTACCTCTCACCCCAGTATCACCCGAAACAAGAACTTTTCAAGTGGTTTCAGTGCTGTGTGAGCAGGCATGAAACCAACAAACAGCCTGAAAACTGCTCCCAACCCGAACATACCCTGGGGCATGAGGGAAGAAAAGGAAGGAAAATGAAGCTTATTAGCACAGAGCAGCCCCCTTGCTCCTCCCTCTCCATCTACGTGTGGCTAAATCCACTCAGGGGATCTCCTCCCACAGAGAGGCTGCCTCACCTTCTGCGCGTACAGCAGCTGGGTATATGTAGCGATGGTGGCTGACTCGTTGGCACAGGCCTCCTTTGCCTTCTCATAAGTCATTTTGTACTGCCCTTGTGGGGACCGCAAATGGAAAACCCCAACTGTGGTATCTGCAAAGAGAGAGAACCAGCTCTTCCTGAAGGGGTTTCCATGTCTGGATGCAGAGTCAGCTGCCCCACGCAAATACTCATGAATTTTGTGAAATGTAGTTAGGACAGATTGATTCCTTAGGGGTAACATTCCCACCGGGAATGCCCTCATATCTTGCTTCATAAATCTGGTATTGCAAGATACATTAGCACACGTTCTAACTGCAATCTTATCATGGTTTCAAGGGGACATAGGTAAAGGGCTGAGTGAGCTTACAGATCCTGGCCACTGGCCTCAGTGCAGCGGCTCAGGGATGATGGCGTGCATGGAGTGCCATCCTCACCTTGGAAATGGAGGTCGGCACAGTCAGCATCGGGGTGGCACTGCCCATTGTCTTGCAAGCAGCGGTCAAGAGGAAGCTGCATCACGGTGCAGTTCAGCCCATCACCAATGTAGTTATTTTTACATTCACACTTACGTTTATCCTGGTCAGAGAGAGAATGAAAAAGGCCAAGCCAAGTACTTAGCTGACATAAAACCGATATTTCAAGCAACATTCTGAACTGTTGGAAGAATTTCACTTGATATAAACAGGAATAAGACAAACAGGAGAATTGCTACTAACAACTAACCAAAATGTTTACACATGTACTTTGGTGCTTTGCTGAACTAACACCAAGGCATAATTTCATTCACAAAGTTAATAACATGCATTGCAGAGTTATATGACACATAATTTACAAAAATGGATGGCAAACATATAAAAATTATATTTAAATGACTGGGCATGGAAGCAAGATAAAAATTTAACAGCCCACTGATAGTAATAAATGAGACCAAGCAGGAATCGGTGACATCCAGGGGTTGTGATGGTTGACAACTGGAATGGATTAGTGGCAAGACTTTTCTAGATCACTCCTGGAAGGCAGCTTAGGTAAGACACCGAAATGGAACAGATAGGTGATCCTGAAAGCACCAGGACAAATGCTGGGTCAAGTCACCAGCACAAGTTTCCTAAATCACATTGACCATGTGGGCTGTGGAATTTTTATCATGTGGCTGCAGAGCTTTTTATTTGAGTCCAGCAAGTGACACTATTCCCTTGACCGTCCCTTTATTTAGCTTCCAAATTGTATTTAATTTCAATCCAACAAACTCCTACAGCAAATAAGGCTATCAGTTAGGGTGAGTCAAGAGTGGGACAGAAAAACTGCATGCAAAATATCCCACCCTCTGTGGTACCTCATTCCCCAGAGCAAAGATGTCAAACTATTTCTCACCCTTCAGCTGAAAGGATACCAAACTGATGTGGAAAGTAGGTGAGAGATCAGTAAAGGTTGTTTTGGAAAACAGGGACTTAAAGGGGTACAGAGCATGATCCAATCAGAGGAAAAGCTTCTCCTGGCACCAGGGAGAAATGCCTCAGACTTCCCTGCTGGGGTCTGAAATCATTCAACTTACAGGTCCTGTGACAGTGCAAATGGCATGCTCATGGCAGCCTCCATTGAACCCATCAGCACAAGGGTTTATTGGAAGGCATGTAAATCCATCTCCCTTGTATCCTTTCTTGCAGTTGCAGAAGACTTTCACCCCAATTTGTGTGCATTCAGCCGCCTTGTGGCACCCACCATTGTTTTGTTTGCAAAGTTCTGCAGCTGTATGGGAAAAAGAAAGCAAGTGAGTAAAGTTTACTTTTAAAGACAGTATTCTTCATAAAGACAAACCTTCACCGGTTCTTTTAAGGTACACTAAAGTACTAGAATAATTTTGCTGGGGAAAAAAGGACTGTTTCCTTTTCCTGAGGCATTACTGAATTTCTGTGAAGGCTATCTTTTAGGTCTCTGAAGCTCTTGTCAGGATGTTCTTGATTTAAGAGACACAGCATCACCCTGCAGACTTCTGGCCAGGTTGACTTTGGAAGATGCAGAATACCTGGCTGAGAAAGAACAACTGTTTCTGCAACAGTGTTACCAGGGTACTACCTTGATTAAGGTCATCAAAGAAAATCATAGAATCATTTAGGCTGGAAAAGGCTTCTAAGATCATCGAGTCCAACTCTAAATGCTGTAAGGGAAACCCTGCTTAAAACTCTGTTGTCTTCCAAACCTGACTGAGGTGCACTTCTTGCTTACGCTCCTGGTTGGTAAAGTCTGGCAAAATCGGCCTTATGCTTTAGAAAACCTTGATCTCTACAGATTCTAAATTTGTTTCACTTGCTGCTCTGTGGAATTTTTTTAGGTTCAACAGGCAACATTTCATACTGGACATTAACTGCATGCATGTGTATGTGGCAGAGGGAACAACCTGCCTTCCTGTTGGGAGTGGGAGGGGGAGCTCACCTGTGCACGTGATCCCATCCCCGTCATACAGCGGCTTGCACTGGCACGTCTTGTTCTCTGTGCAGACAGCGTTGGGGGAGCAGCTGGGGGAACACACAGGTGGCAGAGCTGTGGGGAAGGCAGAACAGCTGGAATGAAAGAGCTCTTTGTATCACAATGCCCTTGTTTTCATGCAGAGGGAGAACCCCTCATACTAGTCTTGCTAACTGGAAAACCTATACAAATTTTTTTTTTTTGACTGCTTGGCCCTGGGGTGATACCTTCTCTCATGCACCTCCACAGGGGAGGTAAGAACTCCTATTCCCATATCACAAAGGAGGAGACAGTGGGGTGAAGGGACTTGTTCACAGTCCAGAGTCCCTTAGTGTTCTTTGATGGCTCCTGACATTACTAACTTTCTCTCCCTTATCTATGGAAACCTTCTGTTGAATTGCAAGGGCTTTCAACTCATGGTTCCATGTGACAGAGTCTGATGAGAGGAGGCAGAGACCTAGCTTGGTTTCACACAGCCGGCCAGTCCATCCTGTTTCACAGAAACATCGTCCTGTTCCTGAATATCCTTCATCACACTGCCCATTGTTCTTGCATTCGCAGGCTGGAAAAGAAACACAGAGAGATCACTTGCAGAGCTGCCATTGGGAAAGGGGAAGACCTTTCTCCACGGAAACATCACCTAGACTGTCAGTTTAGATCCAGTATTATCCAGCAATAATTTGGATGAGTCTAACCTCATGGTTTTTCACCATGAGGCCAGTCAACAGAGGACTAGACTTTCCAGAGCGATTGAGCAATCTCCATCCTTGGAGGTTTGCAAGTCCTGAGAGGATAAATCCTGAAAAACATGAGCTCAGGACTGACCCTGTTTAGAGAAGAGGGTTGGACTTCAGACCTTCTGAAACCCCTTCCAGCTTGATTTATCCTGTGGTCTTATGATTTTGGAGCTGGCATTAATTTAATATGCCTCTGAAAATGAGTATTGATCTGCATTGTGGTAGAGTAGCAAACTCCATAAAGGACTGTGGCAGGAAGGAGTTAATGGTTGAGCTGAAGACCCAGATGGATTAGTCCTAATGAGCAGCAGCTGGTAATTGTGAGAAACCAGAGAAAACCAAGGTGTGTAGAGGGAGAGGGTTTGATTGCTGTGTGGGAGAAGATCTAGCTGAGTAAGGAAGCTGGATATGAGGTTAGTGAGCTTTGCTGTAAAACATGGACAAGTTACCTGTAATTTTTTTTTTTTTAAGGTTTTAGATATTTTTGTGACTAAAAGCTTTTGGATTCCTTCTATATATGGGATGTTACTCCTTATGCCCTGCAAACTGAGGTACGAAGGGGTGATTTAATCTATAGGTGATGTTTTTTGCCCCACTCTTTGGGTCCTGCAATAACTTATATGCTGAGTCCTTCTTAAGGAATTATTGATGGCTCTCTGCTTTATAAGGTAATGCTGTAGCATCCTTTCTTGCCTTATCTGTCTTCCTGAAATATTGTTGTTTAAAGAAGAAAACGATGTGGGGTTGGTGGAACTGATTTTTTGAAAATCTGTCCTGCTGAAAGGGAGCTTCACTTGCTGGCTTCATTTCATTTCACATGGTTACTTAATTTCTGGCTGACATATAAATACACATCAAAAAGAAGGGGCTAGAAAACTTTTTTTGCTTAGAAAATTTGGGTTTCAGACTAACAGCTCATACAGTTTCTGTTATGGTGTGCTATAAATTGGATAAATTGTAGGTAAGCATAATCCTGAACATTGGTGTCCAAGGCTGTTTTCTTGCATACGCCCCAAGAATATCTAGCCTGTAACCTCCCCATCCTATGGGCCTCAGGAGAAGTACAGGTGTACATGGTTAGGGTGGAAGGTTTAGTGTTACAGCTTCTTATCTGAAGGCTTTATGTCAGGAAAACATTGAAGTCTAAAGGGTGATATTGATCCTGCTTCCACCTACTTTACATTTAAAACCACAGAGAAGGGGATTACATGAGCAGTTGCTTGACTGTCTCTCTTCACAAATTGCCTTCATCTTGGTGTCCTTTTTCTTCTCTGCAGAAGTAGTGCATGGCCTTGGCCTCCTGCAATCCTTGAGGAACCACATTACTAAAACGCTTAAGAAGTCTTAAGCTTTACGTGGATGGGGGAGAAGGGTGTGCTGTAGTTAAAAACACTTGTAGCTGGAGGCTCTGCCTCTATTCCCTGTTGCTTATGTACCATGTAAGAGTAGGAGGTACTGTGCAGAGACAGCTATGCAGCCTCTGCATCCCCTGCCTTCTCCTCCCTTCTGAGACTTTGTGTCATCTCTCCATGTGAGGAGGCACCCAAGAAAAATGTTGGTGTTAAGTGGGAAGCATTTTTTTACTTGCTTAGAAACTCATTGCTGACGAAATAGTTTAGGCTTGACGTGGGCATCAATGTGGAAAGGAAACTTAAACGTACGTCTGCAGTTGAAGCCGTATCTGCCTGGCAAACACAGCTCACATGAAGTCCCGTTGAAGCCCCTGTTGCAGTGGCACTCTCCTGTCCCTGTGTACCCGTCATTGCAGAGGCCGTGGTTATTGCATGGGGTCTCTGAGCCACCAGGGCAAGCTGAAAGGTTTAAAAAAAAAAAAAGAAAAAGTAGGTCTTTACCTCAAGTGTTTATTCATTGTCACTGTTGGTTATTTACTGTTCCGTAAAAATAATTGAGCAGGGAAATGCTTCTGAACGCATCTCTGGTGAGGCACGTAAAAGCAGCTGTGACACTTATGACTACTGCAAGCCTTTTGCTCTAAATTCCTTGTCACACTTTTACAACTCCTATCAGTAAGGTGCTGAGGACCCTTCCAGCCCTGGGTCATGAATGCTGTTATCTGGCTGCTTGCTCAGTCAGACCCATCTGTGAATGGCACTCCCCAGACTCTGCCCATTTCAAGCCTTGCTTGTGCACATCTGTGTGTTTATGTGCTGTATGGGTGAGCCCAAAGCACAGGTCAGGCTGGCCTGGCCAAAATTACGTGGGATCCGCATGTGTCTGTCTGTGAAACTGGGACAGAGCAAGCTGGCAAGACTATATGTCACTGGACCTGTCTGCCAACAGAGATTCTTACTTACACTCTGACCCTGTGTGTCCTGGCAGGAGCCTCTGTACTGTTCCCCTACAGGGCTGGGGGGTGAAGGAGCAGTTTGTTAGTGTCTGCTAACTAACAGCTGAGATAAAGCCTCTCAAATTGTCTCACACCTCTTCAAAACTACAATTTCTGATCTCACTCTGCTGGTGTGTGCACCTGCATGTGGCTGAGCGATCCAGCACTGTGCCTCAGGTGTGTGCTGGTGTAAATGTGTGAATCTCATGTCTGTCTGTGTATAAATGACTTTCAGCTGGTGCCTAATTAGGTCTCTCTAGGCTTGGTTATAGCAGGACAGCCTTTACTCTCTATAGCATTCACTTTGCTACTACCATGGACTTTAAAACTTGCTGTAAATGTGAAATCAGATTATTTGGAGCAATAACAATCTCTGTGTTCTTCAGCTCTTGCAACCAACTTCCCCCACCTTGCAGCTGGTCTCCCCTCATGCCCTTTATCCCGACTCTCAGTTCAGCCTGATGGGCACTATGCAGCTGTACTGGAGCAGGCCACAGGCCAGCAGTGTAGGTGGGAATCCTACCTTGGCAGTCTGGTCCAAAGTAGCCCTTGCAACACTTGGCTGTGTGGATCACCATGGAGCAGTTCCGACGGCAACCATCCCTCCGCAGCCCATAGGACTCATATGTGCACCAGCTGATTCCTTCCTGGGCACCACGTGTGCCAGCACAGAAAGAGGAAGGGGGAAACACAGGAAAATGAGTGCTGTGTGGGGGTTTGTTTTTTTCCTCTGATGTACATTGAATCAAAATGTGATGTGTGAAGGGTGCAGGTGTGACACCCCCACCTTCTCTTTGATTCCCAACATGTTAAGCACCATTAATGAGAGTGGTGGGGCTGCTCTGATGTCAACCAAAGCACTTGCTACAGTGGGTGCTGTGTGAGACCAACAAGCATCCCCCATCACCAGCACCTGGCTGTTTGCCCAGTGACAGCTTTGTCCTTGAGGCTTTATGGCGTCACTTAGTAGTGTGGTAGCACTGTCAATGGTTTCCTTTTAATTTATTTATGATAAGAAAATTTTTCTAGTTTGCTTGTATGAAGTACAGAGAAGAACAAGTTAGACAGCTTACATGCAAGATTTGAATGTATTACCTTTGGTTTTGTCCCTGGAGGGCATTTGGAGTTACTGAAACAGCTAACACAATGCCCCTGTTGTATAAAATGGAAAAGGAGAAAAAAGTATGTTAAAATAATGGCTACAGAAGGCTATTTGACATAGACAAAAAAATCCATTTTCTGAGAGCAGCAAATATGAGAAGAGGTAGGGCTTATTACACTTGAAAAAGATCATAAAAAGCTCTGGAGAAACAAGAGAGGAGAATGACAACAAAATAGATGCAACAATTCAGTGCCACAAAATACGAGAAAGTAGTTTTGATACCAGAATATAACTTCTGGAAGAAAAAATTTAGTTTCGTTTAACAAAATTGTGAAACAAAAGCTGACTTGAGCAGATAGTATATATACAACTGTTGGTATTATAATTGAAATATATATTCCAATAAGCTTTTTTTAAGACTGACTAGATGAATTTTTTTTTACTTCTAGGTAATTTTCTCATACATTCAAATTAAACTGAAGAACATTTGGTCTTGAAATTGTTTCAAAATGGCTTTCAAAATATCCCATTTTTGGGACCTATCAAAGTTCACAGAGGAAACTTCCTCCACTCTAATGGTGCCTGTTCAGGTGTGTTAAAGAATATTTCTGTGAAAGCAAGAAGTGTCAGAGACCAACACAGACTAAGCAGTTCTTTATCTTGTGTCCTTCATACCCTGTGCTGTTGGGACAGCAATATTGTTCCTTTGTGATAGGGAACTTTGTAAATGCAATTTCTATGGACAAATCCAGAGTGTGAACTTCTACTAATTTAAAAGCACTATCAAAAGATTTGTCCTTGCTCAAATTTTTGCTTGCACATGTAAGATTCTGTTCTTATTGAAAACAGGGCAGGGCTTGCTAATGTGGTCTTAACTGAAACCTCTTGTCCTGTATGTTGCTTAATGTGGATGCAGAATTTCTGTTGTTTATCTCTCAGGTGTGGTGCTGCACTTCATAATTTCGGCTCTAACCACATGAAGCCAGTCTGAAGTGGTGGGACGTACTCTCTGTAGAGTACTCGCTGTAGAGCTGCAGCGTTACCCCAGTCTCTGTGAAGAAGTTTGGCCCTTGGGCTATGTCTTTATCAGGGTGGGAGACCAAAAAGGGGGCTGACCATGAAATCCACAGTGAAGAAGCTGTCGCAGCGTCCCCCCAGGCTGGGTTCCATCAGCAGGCAGTTGATACCGTAGGCGATGCCCCCATCAAACTCCAGCTGCCGCTGCACTATTTTGCACTGTCTGTCATTCAGGAAAAGGGCACCCTAAGAGACAGGATAGGGAGAGAAGGGTATGAGAGGTCATGAGCTGCTCTTCCTTGGGGCCAGACTGAATCCAGAGCCTGAATGGGAGTTGAGGACAATCTTTCCCCTACAGGAAAGTTCTTGGTGCAAGTTGGTGTGTCAAACTATACTGTAGGTAGCATTGAAGGCTGTAGGGGCTTGAAACTAATTTTGCGACCTCTCTTCCTATAGCTGGATGCTATAACCTCATAGATGAGAGATGTGTGTCTGGAGTACTGTGTCCAGCTCTGGGGCCCCCAAACAGAGGGAGGATGTGGACCTGTTGGAGAAAATCCAGAGGAGGGCAATGAAGATGATTAGAGGGCTGGAGCATCTTTCTTACAAAGATAGGCTGAGACTTGAAGCTCTTCAGCCTGAAGAAGAGAAGGCTCCAGGGAGACCCTAGACCTTCCAGTCCCTAAACGGTGGCTGTAAGAGAGTTGGAAAGGGGCTTTTTAGAAGGGCATGTAGTAATAGGACAAGGAATGATGGCTTCAAATTGAAAGAAGGTGGGTTTAGATTTAGCTATTGAGGAAAAATTCTTAACTGTGAGGTTGATGAGGCAATAGAACAGGTTGACTAGAGATGCTGTGGATGTCCCATTTGTGTAAGTATTCAAGGCCAGGTTGAATGGAGCTTTGAGCAACCTGGTCTAGTGGAAGGTCCCCCTACCCACGGCAGGAGTGTTGGAAGTAGATGATCTCTAAGGTCCCTTCCAACCCAAACCATCCTATGATTCTATGACCTTTTTTCTTTGCTGAAGAGGACAGAGTATGCCAGCCCTATGTCCACAGGTTTACCTTATGCATATTTAGGCTTAGATGCTTGTCAGATATGATCTGCTACATTTGCAAATTAAAATGTGATGCTGTTCTGGTTTAACAGGCTATGTGCATGCCTGCAATCTTAATTTGTAGGTGCTTACAAACTAGAGTTTGCATGCAGATGCTGCATTCGTGGAGTTCAAAGCCAGGTTAATCTTAATGGGTTTCCCTTGGTATTTCATTGTAGAAGTTAAAATATGCTGGTATTTCAGTTTCAAGGTAGCCGAGAGCTGTTTTGAACAAATAGAATCAGAGCAAATGACTGCTCCAGAGAGCCCCGCAAACCAACTAGTTTGCTGAATCTGTTGGTGTGGCCGTTGACATGTACTGGAGATGACCAATGAAGTTTTGGTGCTTCTGACCCTCTTTGGGGGCTGTGGAAAGGCACAGTGCTTTCTGCTTGAGTGGATTCTGCAGCAAGGGCGAGGGATAAATGTGCTGGCAGAGTCAACACTTACAATGTCCCCATTATCCCCACAACTGACACTGAGGTTGGAGCCTTGTAGGGTCTTCAGTGAGGTAGAGCTGGGGAGCTGGTAAGCCAACACCTGGGAAGGAAGCAGAGGAGATGCAGGTGTTTGGGCTTGCATATCTTGACCTCAGCAGTGCTCCTAAAAAGCAAGGGCTTACCGCAGCATCACGGACAATGTGGAATTTGAGGTACTGCACCAGTTTGTCAATGTTGGACTTCTTGAAGAGGAAGTCCTGCTGCTCCTGTGGGAGCCCACGGATAGCTGTGTCTGTGGGCCAGAAGAGTGTGACGGGTTTGTGAATAGGGTCGGAGATCAGCCCAAGCAGGTTGTTTTTCTGCAACATACCAAAAATTGGGGTGGAGGATTAATGTCCTATCTAAAATGGCACTGACCCTATGGGGTGAATGCCTAGTATCACTGGGATACAATGGCCAGTGGGCTGCCTGGTCACCAGCCTGCAAACACCATGACTTTAGAATACAGGTGTCTGAACTGAGCTGCCCAAGTCGAGTTATATGACAGAATTCTCAGGAATGCTACTTCATCACCCAGGACTGCCCACCAAAAACCAGTCTGATGGCCCAGCTTTGGGTTCAGGAGGTCATACTTGGGTCAAACCTTGACCATGTAATTTGATATACAGTAGGATAGAGCTGAGCGAAGAGGGGAAAGGTGGCTGTGAGTCTGTGTGATATCCTCTCACCTCTGTGGGAGAGGAACTGCATGGTGACCAGGATTGCTGTGTACTGTGTTGTGAGACCTTTGGCTCCTCTGAACAGCATCCTGCCAGTGATGCCATGTGCTATGTGTGTGCTTTTGTCTTTAAAAAATATTGTTTGCAACCTTTGTCCAATAGCTCCCATTTCTGGTGTCCTTACCTCTAGCAAACTGCTGAACAGGATGTATCCATGTTTGGCTGCAACCATTTTAAGGCTTTCCTACAAAGAATGAAATGTGAGTAATTTATCTGAAAATTACAACATATGGATATTTAGAAAGCAGATATGAGCTTACTTTTCCCTGTAAGTCACTTTTTGTTATATAACCAAAGCCACTGTAAAAGTCCTGTGCGAAAGTTCCTCTTATACTATTCTTACTTTGTCTGTAATTCTGGTGAATTTTAAATGTAACAAACATTTAATTTATGCAGCAGTGTTAGACAGTGCTTGCATAAGGTCTTTTTAGTATCACTTTTTTTTCCCTGACTTATATGATTTGTATGTCTAACAGTAACTGTGGAAAAGCCCCCGGGTTGACAACGGCAATGGGCTGTACATACCTTCTTGAGGGGAAAATCCTGCATATGTGATGGGACCAGAATTTGGTTGATGACATGGATCACACCATTTGTACCAACAGCATCACTGACTATGATTTCAGCTTTGTCGTTCAAAACCAGTGAGTCCTGGAAAGGCAACGAAAACATGTTTTCTTTGGAACCTTGTGGGACAATAAGGCTGATGCTGAATTGCTTTGACACAATGATTCCAGACCATCTTTTCTTCGCAGCAAAGAGCAGTTTCAGCTTTAATAAATTTCCCTTTGCTTTTTCAAACTCTCATCAAGCTTGTAAAACCAGAGTCTGAGGATAAAATAATGTGTAAAAGCAAGGGTTATATAACTCCACTCTTGGCATGCTGGGTAAGTGCTGAACACTTCAACTGAATAAGCAATCTTATTTGAATGCCATTGATTTTTGTGCACCAGAGAAGGAAAGGGAATCATTCAAGTTTTTTTTAAAATAGCTGAATGAGAGTAGGCTGTTTAACAACTCTTTTCCCTTCTTCTTCCTGTTCCATTACCTGAGAGTAGCTGATATGTATCAGGTCACCTTGGAGAGAGGTGACGTTTGTGATTCTTGTCAGGTCGTTGTACAACAGATTGGCACAACCCACCATATGGTACCGAAGGACTTGAGCCATCACTCCTTTGGCAATCCAGTCCTTGACCTGCAGTGGAAAGTGGAGGAGTTGAGAAGTAGTTGAACAAGGCTTCTGAACCCCAAAAGCTCATGTCCAGCTCACCAAAAACATCTGGCCCTTTTACTTACTCGTGGGTCGGTGTTCAGTATGTCTGTGCGAGGTACAAACAGAGTGAAAGGGCCAGGGCCTGCAATATCTTTGATTGACAAAGCCTGCCAAATTTAAGAGGACAAAGCAGTAATGAGTTAATACACCTAGTGCCATGCAGTCATGGGGAGGTGATGCCTGCAGCCCCAGTGCTGCAACGTGTTGGGTTTCCTTCCCTGCAACACAAGGGTGAGAGAAACACTCTTGTGTGGACTTTCATTCCTATCCCCATCTGTCACCTCTGCTCACAAGAATGGAAGATCTTACTCTTCCAGCTTAAAGCCAAGTTCTCTGTCTCCTTAACAATAGCAAACAGGAGAAGAGGTAAAGCTCCCAACAGACAACAAGGCAGGGAGGGCAAAGGGGGCTTCCCTTCCCTTCCTGTGCAAGGGAGAGATGAAAAAACCCTTTCATCTTGGGAAAGGCGAGAGTGGATAACGTGTTTGTGTGTATATGCATTTAGCTGATACATGGTTGCTTGTACCTAGGAGTGGATTAATTACTCTTAGGGGTACAAATTGACCTGGGGTATTGCAGCCGCTTTGCAACGACCACTGACAAGCTGAAATAAGAAGAGATCTCTGCTAAAGTGAGAGGAAGCCATCTGTCTACCATGATAACAGAATTGAAGCTGGAATACAAGTCTTTAGGCTAGCAGGTCAGTATAGAGGTCTGTGCTGCCCTGAGGCTTGGGGTAAACACAGAATGGCTGGTGTCAGTCTCCAGAAAGCAATGAGAGCTGGTGGTGCACACTGGCCCTCTCACAACACACATGGCATCCTGCGATGTTTTGGAGAGGCAACTGAAAACACTGCTGTTTGGAAATGCAGAGTTAGTAAATGAACGGTATTTTATTGCTTCAGACTATGAATGGTTAAAAGCTTCTGTTTTATGTCTGGTCTGGAGGCCCTACATTCCCCTGGGATCTCGGTCTTGATCATTAATACTCTAGATTTTAGTGACAGTTAATAGTTTAAATTAGAGCATCTCAAGTATCAGTGACTGGAGATCCAAATCCAGTCCCAATTATGTTGAAGGATGTTGGTACACGCCAGGTTCTTGCCTGCTCCCCTTCCCTCTACACCCTTGAGTCAAGAAAAAAAAAGAAAGTTGAGTGGGTCTTTTTCTTACCTCTAAATGGAAATAAAACTTAGATGTATTGGAGTTCCTGAGAAGTTCCTGCAATTGAAAACAAGACTCTGTAACAGTACTGAATATGTGAGGCAACATCCGTGGAGTGCAAAACAAATGCACTACTCAGACAAGAAAGGGAACTTCTGGTTTGGAATAAATATTGCTCCTATTCTTTTCTTACCTTGCTCTGTCAAATAGCAGGCTTTGAAACCTAAAACTCCCTAGTACTGCTCTGGTACTGCAGTCATAATGATTGATCATCAGGGATTTTTTTTGGTTGGTTGTTTGTGTGGGTTTGGGGTTTTTGTGTTGTTGTTCGGTTTTCTGTTTTCTGGGGTTTTTTTGTTTGTATGTTTCATTTTGTTCATTTGTTTTTGGGTTTTTGTTTGTTTGTTTGTTTTAGGCAGTTATCTTGCAGCATCCTGTCCCTATTCCTTGTTTCTTGGATTGGGACAATTTCAAATTCTGGGGTACAAATTTGTCCAAGAAAAAATGGCATGTTTCAACTACTGTATTAAGTAACTATCTGAAGGAGAGTAAGAGCAAAGTGCAGCACTTTACCTGGAAGATATTGCCTCGGCACATAAATCCATCCCCAATGTAGTTAGGTTTGCAGGTGCAGGTCCTTTCTGTCAGCTCAGTGTCATTACAGATGGCGAATTCACTGCAGCCTCCATTATTCTGGTAAGATCAAATTTTAAAATATAGAATTGCCAGGTTCACAGAACAGTTCTAATTCAGCACTTTCCTCCTCCCCCATTCACATACTTTATAGTTTAGAAAGACTTAATCACAACAGCTTTTTGAAATCGCATCTTACTGGCACTTGATGACACATACTTTCTTGCAAACACTATAGAACATTTAAAGTTTATAACAAATAACTCTCATTTTATGCAAAGGATATAGTTTTGATTCACTCCTTATATCTTTAGTTCATGATGCTATAAGGATGCAAAATATTTACATGCAAGTCTCGTTCTGGATCTTCAGTATGAGTCTTAGCTGCTCTGCCAAGCAGAATTGACTTACACTAAAGGGAACTACTTACAGCTGTAAATCACTTTAACAGTGCCAGAAGCCTGAATTTATGGAGGAGCATTAGGACAGGACTGTCTGTTGTTCCCTGTCTGCCTGATGGCCCAGGTCAACTGGAACAGGGAACTGCTACAGGTCTTTGACTCTAAAACATCCCCTATCTGCCCCTTGGGTCCACTGCCATTGCAACTTTGGGCTTGGAGCAGCAGATGCATCTCACCCATCTGCCTGCCTCCAGAAAGCTCTCTGTGCTAAAGTGAGATGTTCCTCATTCAGGAGCAGTGTGCTGGGGCCCAGAGCTCTGCTCAGTCACAGGCAGATTCTCCCCAGTTAGCACCTCAGCTTGCAAATAAGTTCCTATCCTGCACTTGAGAGCACATTGGGAAAAATTGAGAAGCTCTCGTTTTCTTTTTTGTGCTTGTTTCATGGTGCCCTTTCTGTTGCTGGTCATCTCAGGGATCCTTTCCATTGGGGCATAAGTGGGAGCATACCAGTGGGGCCTGACTTTACAGGTCACAGAGCAGGCTGGCTGTTAACAACAGGTTTGGGTGGGCTTGCTATGTATTTTTCTAGGTTTAGACAGACTGCTGGGTGTCTTAGCTACCTGTGAAGCTTTGCTGCACAGAATTTTGGTCACCATGAAACCAGATAAGCCTCTGGTCTGACATTGATGCTTCTCAACACTATCTTTTTTTCAAATACATAATTAGCCTGGCTTAATTAGTCAAGTGGAAGCAGAGCTGCTGGAACAAGGCATAGGAAAAAGCAAAAGAATACAAAATCATAGAGAGCAGTGGCTCATAACTCTAAATTCCCCTTCCTCCAGCTTCTGGTTTTGCCTTTGCTCTTTCCTCTCTGCAACCTTTCAAGGTTAGATCAAGCCTGCTGACAGACCAGGCTGCGAGGGCAAGAATTATTGTCGCTGTGCTTAAAGCACAGAGGATTAATGTACACAGGAGAGTGGATATGTCCCTGCTACAGCTTGCCAAGAAGCAGAGTAATACAGCTGGTGTAGAGAACCATGTTGCTTGCAAATATGTGGTTTGCAGTGTGTGAGGTAGCTTGTGCGAAATCAATCTGGCTCTAATTCTCAGCCTGCAGTGGCAAGTGAGGGACAGAATGAAGAATGTCATGGGATGTCCTGGGTTGTGCGTTGTGGATGGAAACAGTTAGTTTTGGCTTTTTGTATGAATTCTAGCAACAATAAAAAAAGATATGACTTAAGTTTTACCACTACAAACTAGGGTCTGTTTCTCTGGATTGGATTTTAAGTTGTTTTTCTAAGACTTAATGATGAGTCCAGGACCTCACTTGTATTACGTCCAGGCTGTGGTCCAAGAAAAGCCCTTTCTGCATATTTAGTTTCTGTCATAGCAACAGCACTAAAGCATGTACCAAACTAAGAATATTTATAGATTGACAAAGTTAATGTAAGTTGGTTCTTAGCATACCTGACTTAGTTAAAATGCATACAAACCCCAAAATTGTAAGGATTATAATGAGACCTTAAATGGATACTTACTTGTGAACACAGACTGATATATGTGCATCTTTTACCATCTCCAGAATATCCCTTTAGGCAATTACATACTGCCTACAAAACAAAACCAGAAAACATGCATACATGGAAAAATGCTTCATTATTATTTTTTTTCGGCACACATATATTTAATTTGCTTTTTTTCCCTGGATCATTTAATAATGATGTGCTGTTCCCAAATCTTCATTCACGAAGCCTAGCCATGATGATGCTGTACAATTTGTTAAGCTGAAAGCACATCATCTCTCCTGCAGCAGTTTCTTGGCCAGCATGAGCAACTGGAGACTGAGACTGGGGAGTAACAATTTTCAAGAGACTCCATCTGTCCTTTCCTTGCCTATCCATTTCTGGTTTCCTCTCTGCTGCCCTGGTCATTTGACATGACCCCTTTGACATCTCCACATAATCGTCTTGCTGGCAAAACAGCCTAACCCTTAATTTGTTTCCCTCGTTTTATTTGCATAGTTTGGTGTTCCCCACTCGTCTCTTTCCGTTCCCTGCTGTGATGAAATGTATCTTCAAAACACACCTGGAATTGTGTCCTGATGTTCCCAGTGGGAATGCATCTGACACTTATGTCCTGATTACTCTATTTTGCACTTGCAGTTATCAAAAAAATGAGAAATTAACATAGCTGCAAAGAAATTAATTATCTTCTCCAATTCACTACTTAATGGTTCTCAATTTAGGATTTACATTTAATATGCATCAGAAGTAAAACTGTAAGGTGATGCAATAACAGTGTTTTATGTATCTTCTGGGTGACTGACAGCCCTAGAGAAAGCAGACACATTTCTGTCCTACAAGTTTACCTTTGCAGTGCTGGGATTTTGTAGTGGAGGTTGTTATTTCTCTGATGTTAATTACATCCTCACGGGTAAGGAGGAATAAACAAACATGTTGTACCTACTACTTCTATCCCCAGCAAAAGTGTATGGGGGAAAGTAGCCATCACCTGTCTTGTCCAGAGGGGTGGGGAAGACGGATCTGTGCTTTCACAGAAAATGTACTGGCTTAAAAATAACAGTCAAGGCACAGAGTTATTTGCTTGGACTGGCAAAAAGGGCTAATGGGGTTGTTGCCCCTTCTGTCCCTGAACAACTGGAAGTCAGGAGGTGGTCTCTGACTCCCGGTCTCTGTTTCCTGCCTTGCTTCTGAAGAAATACTGTTGTGCAGTACTCGCTGGAGGATTACAGTCCTGCCAATAGCCAATATGAAACTACAGGAAGACGGCAAGAAGTGCTAGAACCAGGGAGTTCAGCTTCTTCTGAAACTGTTAGAGAAATAAACCCACTAATCTCTGTCACCTGCTTGCCCTGACCAACTTGCTTCTCCTTTGTCCCCTTGTTCTTTTATGTTACTTTCTCTTTGGAGAGTATGTGGCATTTTGCAAACAAAAGGGACAAAACAAAGGAGCGAATGAGAACAGCAGAGGAGTGACTGGATGCAGGAGTGCTGCAACCCCTATGGAAGAACTATGAATCAAGCCATGTTGTTTCCTTGTGATGTGTTTGATCTATGCTGGGAGAAGGGCTAGTCTAAAATGGAATTTCTCCATGGAGAGTTTCTATAACAATAAAAGAAACATTATCTGGCAATACTTTCAAACTGACAGGTTTTCACATCAAAACCTCCCAAAAGAGAAAAACAGCTACTTGAGATAGCAAAACACTGCCTTCCTCTGCAGTTTTTGATTTCTTTTACTGAAATTAATTTCTTCAAGTTTTCCCACCCTCCCCCTCAAATACCTTTTTGAAGAAAAATATACTTTTGAGAATTTTTGTTTTGAAATCCACTTCTCTATTTAAAAACAAAGTTAAGATGGGCAAATCTTTCTTTACACAATTGTAAGACTTGGCCAATCTTATTTTTCTTCACAAAGTACTCACTTGATTGGGTCCAATCTGTGTGCATTCTGCATTTCTATCACATCCACCGTTGTTCTCCAGACAAGGGTTGATTTCTTTATAAAACATAAACAGTGTAATAAAGAAAGAGTGACTTCTGAAGACCCAAGAAGGGAGAATTTTTAAGCAAGGCATAACAGGAATGCAGGTTTAGGACAACTGTGAATCGGTAAAATTCATTCCTTTAGCTGCTTAGTACCTCAGTCTAAGCCTTTAGTTGTCTTGGTGAAGACTAAAACTCTGCCATCAGCATTTCTAAAACCTGGGGACATGTGGTACAACAAAGCCTGAAAGTCCTAAGGTTTGTGATGGTCAGAGAAGTGTGAGTGTATCAAGCTCGTGAAGATGGGGTTAGCCTTGCTGAGAGGTAGATCTCGTTTAATGCTTGGTGTCACACCACACTGCTGTAGTTGCGTGGTTTGCCAAGTAGTATCAGCCACGTGGCAGATGGAGGTGCCTTTGGCATCAGCCTATAGAGTGTCAGGAAACTGCACTTCTGGGTCTTAGTTGAAGAAGGATCATCCTCCTGCAGGAAAACTCACTCCTGTGATGTTCCTCTGTGTAATATGTGAGACACACACACGCTTACCGATGCAGACTATTCCGTCTCCCGTGTACCCAGCGTTGCAGACGCAGACTCTGTTGCCCGGCGTTGTTCTCCTGCACTCTGCCTTGGCAGAACAGCCACCATGGCTGGTCTCACAGGCATTGATAGCTGAACAGTGACAATGACACAGATTAAACCAATGTGCTTAACTGGCTTTTCAGGTTAATCTGTCTCTGTGTTTTAAAGGGATTAACTAACATTTTCAGAACACAGAGTCTTCCTGATTTAGGAGGCCACAGACTTGACTAGTGACAGATATTTAATACATTTTATTGTTTAAAGAGGGAAAGCTGAGAAGATATTTCTAGTTTGGAAGGTAAGAATTCATCCAGGACTGACTTTCAGTAGCTTCCCATATTCCAATTCTACCCATTTCAATGAAGCAACAACAAAGAAACCTTTGCATTCTTCTCTAGTTTAAATGGCAATTTTAAGCTTTCCCTGAGCTCAACTTTTTCTGCACCCGATCATACTCCTTCTCTCTTGCAGGAAGTCTAGAGTATAATACCACCTAGCCCCTCCTGTGACAGAATGTCCTGGTTGTTATTCAGATGGATACTCCTACTGTTTCTCGAACTCTGGGTGAGTTGGAGAATGAATTTGTGTGGATTACCCTGAGACCAGGGAGGGAACCTTCTCTGAAGTGTGAATAAAATCAGCCCAAACATTACTACAGTTTTTGCCTCAAATGATCCTGAATTGCTGTTTCAGCAGCCTTAGCAGCCACACTAGGGAGCTGACTTTTCCTGTAACCAGTTTTGCTCAGGAATCCTGTATAGGGGAACAAGGGTGAGGGCAGAGTCACTATGGATGACCTCTGTCACTCAGCTCTTCCTGCACATGGGGAATTGCCCACCACTAGATTAAAATGGATTTGGCTGTTCTGTGCCAGAAGAGAAAAGGATTACGACCCTGTCAGCCACAGTGAGTAAGGAGAAAAATATGATTCTGTTCTCAAAAGCATTAGTATTTTAATGAGTTAAGGATTAAGAAACACAACTGTAAAATTAATTACAATTAGTGTAGCTGGAAACTGTCTACTTTGTAAGTCTGGATATCCCAGACTCTTGGAGGAACACCTAGGATAAGCTGCTATAGCCCCTTTCTGAGGGTCTCTCAGAATCTCTCTGGTCTAAAGAAATGGATTTTACCATATCAGAAATCTGAGCAAGTTCAGAAAGCTGAGGAAGTGGTAGGGCTATACAGCTTCCAATAGCTGGAAGTGTTACTGTACTGTGAATTGGCCTCTCTTTGCTGGTCTTTGTTGGGAAAGGGAGTAAAAGTCATAAACCAGGTTTCATTACTCTGCAAACAATGGGGCTGGGGTTGTGCACGGCATGTTCCCTTTTCTCTGGTCTCCCTTAGCACAATGCCTTGCAACTTCGAGATTTTGAGCCCTTTGTCTGCTATGAACCCACACCTGTTGGGCTGTTACTTGTTTTGAGTGAACTGGCAGCAATTCCTGCTTTTTAACTGGTGCATAGGGAAGTGCTCATCTCTCACCAACTCTACCGTGACCAGAGAATGCTTCAAACTTGTTTCTTTTTCTTTTTTTCAAAAGGGAATAAACAAAGTCCACTTGCCTGTGCAGAACGTCCCGTTCCCCTCAAACCCAGCTGCACACTTGCAATAGGCAGTGCCATTTGATAGGAGAAGGCAACTAATTAAGCAAAAAGAGGGAGATGACATTTAAAAAAGAGAAAAAAAAGGAAAGAAAAAAGGTAGTCAAGTCTTTCGTACTGCTGTGAGTTCTTCTGAGGGTAACATTGCATAGAAATAACAAGGCATTTAACTATAGCCATAAAACCGAACCTAGTTGGACCAAGCTTTTCAAATGTATTTTGAATGTTTTATTTTAGGTATTAAAATTCTACACTTTGGTCATGAAGTGACCTATTTTCTCATGCAGAACTCCAGAGTTCGCATGTCTACTCCCTCAAAAACTGTGCATAAATTTATGGAGGGATGCAGCAGCCCTGCTGTTCAGGGGCAAGAGCCAGACATCTGAATTCTCTGGGTTTAAGTTTGTTTTTTTTGTGGACAGTTTGGCCTTCTGAATGCAAGTGTGAGCTTATTGCCCTGTGAGCCCTGTGCAATACAGGGATTGCTCCCTGGTGTTGCTCAGGGATAATGTCACAATGCAGTCAGCACAATTCTGCCATGCCTGCACCTATCCTTGTGCCTACAGGTGTACATCAGTGGATGAAAAATACTCAAGAGAAGAGCAGTCTGCTTCTGTCAGAAACATGGTCCTGATGACAGAATGTGTGGGGTTCCCATGAGCAAATTTGAGAGTGGAGTTTTCCAAAAAAAGCCTGTTAAAATATCACTCCTGTGAACTGCTGTTCACTAACACAAAGGGGAGAGAATCACCTGCATCAGGAAAAAAAGGGTTTGCCCCTCTGGTTTCTCAGCTCCTACAAAAGAGCTGTGGCTGAAAATGAGGAGTCTTTCCAGCCATCTTTTCTCATTTTTTTAAATGTCCTGGCTAGTGTAAATCTTGCTGTCTGGTCAGTGATGAGGGGCCAGATGTACTCAGTGGGGGTCACTTCCTCCTTTGAAAACTAGTTAGTGTCCCAATATTGATGTGCTGGACTGGTGAGAGCATTTTTTTTGTTGTTGTTGTTTGCATATTTTGATGTGAAGAGGAGAGCTGTTTCTTGTCCAATGTAGTTTTCTTTGGTGAAGTCCCTAATGCCAATGGCATTTCTCAGTGATATGTGTGGTGGTGGATGGGGCAAATAGGAGGAGCTGATAAAGGTCACTTCAGAAACCCACGTTTGCCATTAGTCTTGGCCTCGCCTCCTGTTCTCTTTAGTGCTGCAGGCCCCATTTCTGTATATACTGCATGGTAGGACGTCTTGCTTTTTTTTCCCCTCTCCTTTTTCTTTTTTTTTTTCTCACCCCAAAAATCCCATTTTTCCCCCCTTTTAACATGAGCACTTTGAACTTCTTGGCCTTGTCATTGTGTACATTACATTTGCATTGCTCCTTATCTCTGTGACGGAAAACATGAGTGTTACCTACGCTGCTGGGAAGTCATGAGCAAGATGGACTATGCTTTTTGCCTTGCAAGAGATCCCCTTTTTCTCCCCTCTCCTCTAAATAAGTGGATTTCATACATACTTAGCACTGGTATGGCATGAAGAGTTACATGCGTCGTCTTTGATTTCTGCAAGTGGAAAAAAAATGAATCAGGGATCAGAACCTTTTGGGTCAACATCCTTTGAGGCTCAGAGTCTTTTGATCCCATCATGTGGAGCTGGAGTCCGAGTTCTGCACCAGACAACTGTGCTCTCAGTCTGTATAGAAACTCCATCTCTATAGAGAATCCATCTGTATAGAGACTCCGTCTGTATAGGTCAGTGGATACCACTTAAATTCAATTGCAAGTAAGAGTCATGTCATCATATTGCCAGGAAAATATTTCACCCCTTTTCATTTATCTGTATTTAGTCTGGTGAATCTTGCATATTATTAGTTTAATTATGTAGGTGTAGGTTTTCTCAGATACAGCAACACTCTTATAAAATTCTATTCATTACTAATTTTTTCCTTGGGAAAATTTAAAACTGATATTGAATGCTATTATTAATGTGTTTATAGCATTTTTTATTTTATCCTATTATAGATAGAGTTCTGAAATAGTTATTGAATACATTTTAATTATGTCTAACTAAAATATAATGTGATTGGATATAGGAGATGGATTTAGCCAACACAAAATTATTTATTTGCTAATTTTTTTTTATTGCATTAGCAAGAACATAATTTAATAGACAGTGTGGTATAGCTAAATCAACTTACTGAAGCACTTGAGAGGCTCAAATTTGATCTGAGGATCAAAATGTGTTAGGTAATCCTATGTAGCTTTTATAAATGGGATGTTCTTCGGGACAGATACAGGGTGACACAGGTAGAGAAGTACCTAACTAGGGAGTTTCAGTATCATGAGCAGTATCTCAGCTGGCTCGCCATTAATACAGTAATTAATTGGCATAACACAGGAGTGTGACCCGTATTTCACTCTGCGTGGGAAGTTACTGGGTATCTGGTAGTGCACTGGGACCTGATCGTGGCTGTAGTTCTGTCATTTCCTGAAATGCTCACTTCTCGCCTCAGAAAAAAAAGGAGGGGACACTCACCAGTCTCACACATCACCCCTCTCCAGCCAACATCACATTCACAGGAGCCATCCCCGTCGATCCCACTGCTGCATTTCCCATGGACACAAGTGCATGCTGTGGGGAGAGATGGGAGGAAGCCACTGTCCCTGTGCAGTGCGCCAGCATGCACAGCAAGGGGAAGGGAGGGCAGGAGAGAGGGCCCAGATATCATCTGCTGATGGCAGCATCTGCTCTAGGCTATTTCAAGAAATGCTTTGTCTTGTGTTTTTTGGCTTCTAACTACAGAATAAATCTAAATTCACACTATGCTTATCTTTCCTCTGTCCCCAAATACAGGGACGGAAACTGTATTTTGATGAAAAAGCATTGGAGGAATAGCAGTGCTAAAGGGGATTATTCTTGTTGGATGCTGTTCTAAGCCTATAGTGCACCAGAGTAGGAGGCACTGTCTGCAAAAAAGGAATTAGAGAGAAAACACCAAAATGAGGAAAGAAAAAGGGTTAATGGTGTTTTAATGACTGGCCTATTACCCCCAAAGTGCTGTACCTTTCTAGAATCTAGAATAGACATGGTTAGGAGATGTAAGGGGAAGGTTTTGACATGTGACAAGACTAGTAGAGCTGCCTGTGTGGTTTGGGGATGCTCAGTACCTTGATCACAGTTGTGGCCGTATTTGCCTTCAATGCAGCTTTCACAGGCTGTACCGACAAACCCCTCTTCACACTGGCAGGTGCCTGTGCCATTGATGCCATCCAGGCAGACGCCGTTTCCGAAGCAGGCGTTCCCTGCTTTTCCTGGGCAGGGCTGGCACTGCTGCCCGAAGAAACCTGCGCAGCACTCCCTTGTCTGGAAACCCAGAAATGCTGTGTTGAGGGTCAGGGTAGCAGGCAGGGTGAACTAGAGATCTGGATTTTTACAAGGGCATGTAGTGATAGGACAAGGGGTAATGGCTTCAAACGGAAAGAAAGGTGGATTTAGTTTGGTATGAGGATGAAATTCTTTACTGTGAGGGTGGTGAGACACTGGAACAGGTTGCCCAGAGAAGTTGTGAATAACCCATCCCTGGAAGTGTTCAAGGCCAGATTGGAGAGGGCTTTGAGAAACCTGGTGTAGTGAAAGATGTTTCTGCCCATGGCAGGGATGTTGGAAATAGTTGATCTTTAAGGTCCCATCCAACCCAGGCCATTCTATGCTCTTGTGATTTTTAGCAGGACTTTGCTGGTCTGTGACCACACTCCTCAGTGTGGCAGGATGCAGGCTGCCACCCCGAGTCCTTGGTGGGCCCAATGTGCCCTTCACCACTTCAGGGAAAGGTGGACAGGATTGCTAGGGACATGTATAGGGTTACCCTTCCCAAACCTGTGCTCCCTCTACACCCTCAGCTCCCAGCCTTTCCTGTGCTGCAGCTATCAGTCTTTAATGTTGCATTGTGTTGCATCCATAATAAAGGTCAACAAATATATTGTCAGGAACTGCCTTGACATGTTGTGTGGGCTTAGCAGGGATTATGAGGAGGGCGAAGTTCAGGGATGGGGGTTCCTGGCTTTTACCTCAATAGAAGTAATGTACTCACAATGATGGTTTTAGCACACTTTGGCTTGCACCCGATCTGGATGGTGTACATTCTCATGTGGTTTTCTGTGAGGACACAGTATTTCCTCTCCCCTGCCTGAGCAAATATTGGAGAAACAGATGCACTTCTGGGTAATAGTGATCAGCTACTTCAAAATATTTGAAAAAATGGGACATTAACTTTGTGCATGCTGTGCACTGATTCACATATTCACAATGAAAATGAAGGAAGTACTTTTAGAAATAAAAATATATTAGCTAAAGGATTTTTTTCCTAGTGAACATATAATCAGTTTAACTCAGTATCTTGTGGTGTTTTAAACATATGCCCAAATATTGCCTTTGCTCAGAATTGAACAGATTGTTTTTCCTGAAGTTTGAAAAACATTTCTTTTTTATTTTTTTTCCTTCTTCTCTTGCACGTTTTCAGATCTTTCTAGTTTTTGGAAAGCTGAGTTCTGAACTTGTGCAAAAATAGCTGTTGAAACATTGTCTTTCAGGTCTGGACACAGTTGGGAAAGATTTCTTGCTAAAGAAAACTTTAGATCTCACTGTATACTTGTGAGGAGATTGAGATAAGCAGCCACCCAGCTGTTCATTGTAAAGGAAATGTTAAGGTGTTTGGGTTTTACCCATGAGTACACAGTTTGGTTTTGCCAGTCAGGTACTCTAGTGAGGTAGATGGGACTAGATCTGCTTTGGAATACTATTACTGGCATAATTAATTAAAAAATAATAAATAATAAAGGAAAATATGTAATTTCAATGGAGGGGCTTTCCCAGATAAACTTAGATACTAAGAAAATCAGAATATCTGCAGTTCTCATGTGTTGGATCCAGGTATTCAAAGTCTCTACACAGCATATTGCTGGGGATGGGTTGAGTTTGCCCTTCTGTACATCTCTGATTTGAAGGGCTCAGAGCCGCTTCTGTACTTCAGGCATACTCCAGATCACGTTTAATTCCCTCAGTTTTGCATGGTAGAGGTAAACTTTGCAATTTGAGAAATCTTCAGTTTTCCCAATGCATACTAGAAACTGGTCTTGAAGGAAAAAGCTATCTTTAAGCTGCCCTTCTGCTACCCTGACCAAAGGCAAATTTTTAATAAAAATCTCTAAGGTCAGGGTGGATTGAGTCTATTGGCTGTAAGCAATGTATGTAGCAGGCTGAAGTAACTATGATAACTTTTGTTGAAACTGAGGCAATTTCATTAAAAATGGGATTGAATGCATGTGTGCTCAGTTTTGATATAAAGAAAATAAATTAGCATTAATGATAAAGTACTTACTATTTCTTTTGTTCCTGGGGGACAACTTGATGGGTGTGAACAAATTCTGCATTTTTCCTTAAGCAACAAAAATGGAAAATAGTTAACAGACTGTATAGAGCTGCAGACAGGTTGTGTCATAGAAAATGCGTGATTTCCAGCTATATTTCTAAACCTAGCCCTTGTGGTGCATAATTAGGATAACCTCTTTGGTAAAGGTGCTCAACAAGGAAGAATATCCCTACCGGTGGCTTTGTAGGGACACCCCATGGGAAGCCTTCTGCCAAGGGGAAGAAGAAAGAAAGAAAGATAATTTGGGAAATTTTATTTGCTCTTCTAAAGTGACGCTTCCCAAAGGTCTTCCCATCTAAACCACAATAAGAGGCAAATCTTGAGTTTGGATATAGTTTTCCTGTGGTGCAAGGGCAGCTTGGAAATGGAAAACTCATGCTACATATGTGTGAATTGTTCACACATGTAAGGTTGGTTTCTGCAAAATGCTTAGGTATGTATTGTACCCAGTACAGAGTTTTTAATGCTATTCCTATTTGCTTAGCTACATCCTTACCTTCAGCAAGACTTAAGTGAATGTTTTGGTATGCTTCTGCATTTGAATAAAGCAGGGAAGATAATTTTCCATTGGAAAACAGAGGACGTGACACAGCCAAGCTGTAGAAAAGCCTTGAGTGAAATATGGAACTGTTTTCCAAGGAAAAGCTGCAATAGTTCATGCCTGTTAACTTTGCTTTAACTAAAGTACAAGTCTGACTTTTTCTTCCTTGTCTAGTTTGTTGCATGCTCTATGAAAAGGGAGGAAAGCTGCCTGTTTGCTGTCCAATTTGATTCACTCAAGAGAAAAGACAAAGGACACCTTCGTGAGGAAGTCACATCCTATACTTTAGAGGAATGTGAAACAATTTATATTTCAAATGTAAAGGGAATGAAGGAGGGAGAATGCTTTGCTCAGAGGGTACCAAGGAGTTCATGTGTATGTACGGTGGTAATCTACACTTAGAATGAAAAGAAATTCTTTTTCCTTACAAAAAACATTTGTTTTCCATTCCCCCCCCCTTATTTACTTTATAGGCAAGTGGCCTGGCTAAGAAGATGTATTAGAATAATGCATTACTATTATGTCCTGAAAATTATAACTCAGGAATTGCTTATTCCTGTGTTACTCTGATTATATTATACCCAAGCTGATTATATTATACCCACCCAATCCACTGATTGCAGGATTAAAGCTGTCTTAAGAGATGCTAAAACTCATTTTAGGAATATAACTTGTAGAAAATGTGTGTATTCCTTGCTGGGAAGTAGTGTCACATATTGTGTACAGTTGAGGTGTGTTTGGCCATAGATCTCTCTGATGGGCCTTTAAGCATCTGTATGAACAGAACCACTTACAGTGATCATGGTATCGTTGATATCACATCTGTTCTTCTGGATTTCCAGGACCTTTCCCAGTCCATGAATAATTCCTTTGTCTGTTGCAATATTTGTATAGCGTATAGGTGCATCATTTATGAACAGCTGCAAAAGACATGCAACCAGTTAGAAAGCAAAGCTGTTTGGTGGCTGTATGGTAACTAGAGCAGTAGCAGGTGAAAGAAGGAGCAATGTATAAGTATCACTTCAGGAAAACCAATAAAGGCAGTTAACATCAGGCACTTGCTTGTATTCCCATTGCTGCATTTAACTACTCCACTGGACTGGAGGGCATGAGACGACTTGCAGCCTGTTGAAGTTTCCTAGCAACAGGATTTGGGGGAGCAGCTTTTTCCAACAAGGTATGTTAAGGTAAAGGGTATGAAGAAGCACCCTATAGCATGCCAAAAGGTGAGTTTGCTGTCTGGGGGGTGAGGGGCTTCTGGGAAGTTCTCCTAGCAGCTGCTCTTTCAAGGAGGGCTTTCATCACCTCAATGCTACCCCACACTCCAATCATGCTCTCACCAGCAACAGCCCCACTGCAGATGCTTTTCCAGGGCTCTGCTGTGAGCAAAGAGCAGGGCTAAAACTACTTGGATAAGAAGTTTTCTGTCTTCCTTTGCCTATTCCCAGAGGGAGTTCTGGGACAGAGAAGGAGGAAGAAATTCCCTTCCCGACTTTCACTTAATCTTGCTGTGCCTGATTTTTCCATGAGTGGTGTTGAAAGACAATTGATATTTGTTGCCCAGTGCTTTGAGCTTTTAGGTTTGAAAGTGAAGTCAATCCACAGAAAATAGAATTAATGTTGTATAATTAAGGACAGGTTCCTAATAGCTCTTGGAAGTCAGATTAATGACTGCTTTGGAATGCAGGCTTGTAGTTGCTAGAGACAGACATCTGAAATGCAATGCTAAATGTGAACAGCACAACTGAAATCAAATTCAGTCAAAGATCCCTTCAAGGGTGACTTTGAATTAAGCAGATATGAGGCAGGCCTTGCATTTGAGAGACAACTTTTGTGCTGTTATGTTGCAGAAGCTAATGGGGGATGCAGAGCTCCTTTGGATTGCATGTTAGTTTAAAGTTGAAGCTGGATTTGTAAAAAGCAGGAAACCCGTTACTCCAAGCAAGTGCAGACACACAAGTGCAGTACCTGACTGTCGTGGAGGAAGAACCCAACCTGGTAGGAGAACCCTAGCATGGTCTCCCTGTGCATGCCATTGTGCAGACTGTTCTTCAGGAGCTTCTCATCCAGTACAATATGATAGCGGATTTGGCCTTCATCCTGCAAACACACAATTAAATTCAGGGTTATGTAGCAGAACATGAAAAGTTACTAGGAATAGCATTTTCCAGAGGATATAAGGCAAACACAGATTGGCTGAATTTAAAGAGAAGCCTTTCCAGTAGGCAGGTTATTTCATGCTTCTTACTGTAGACACCATGCATTCCTGTCACAATAAAATTTTTATTGATCATGGAGGGTGAAAAGCTATTGAATAGTGAGGGCCAAGGTTTGCTTGACCCTGTAGCGTTCATTTTTGTGCTTAGGGTTGGCTGATAGATTCAGAGAAAAGTTAGATGATGTTTTAGGACTCTGAACTTCATGAGTTCATTTGACATCAAAAGTTGCATATTCATGTGTGCTTTTATAACCTTTCCATACCTATTCTTTCTTCCTTTGGGAATCCCTGAATGGTCTGTGGATGAATGTTGAGAGGACTATATATATATATAGATATATACATATATTATATATCTCTAAGGTAATTTTCAGTTAATAAAGAGTTAGAGCCACACTTGTTAATTGAAAAGTTTTCTATGCCTCATTGCTAGAGTGTATTAATTTGTCATTGAAAAGTGATGAAGTTATTCTCTGTACATCAAACATTTGTGAGGGCTTCCCAGAGCTTCTGCATCTTTTTCCAAAGCAGAAAACTTCCAGAGCTTACTAGGAGGAAGAAGCAGAAACAGGGTGTGTTTGTGAGAGGTTTATGGACATGAGACAAGCTGAGGCATTTGGAGAGTTTCAGGGCTCACTAGCTGACAGATATAGTGCTTCTGCAACTTTGTGTCTTTGCAATAAAAGGTACTTGTGGGAAATCCTGCTGCCTGCTGTCCCCTCGTTCTGAATGTTCATACTTCTCATTCTTCGGCTCCTTCAAAGTGCGTGAAAGCATGAAGCAGCTCCAGGTTGCAAGATTTGTGATGTAGCCTGGCTTTGCCAACAGAGTGAAATAGTGGCCTTGACATGTCTTAAGGTGGGCCTCATTCTATTTTGATTTCCACAGATTTGGTAAAGAAATATTTGCAGATGAGAAGGTGGGAAATAAGGTAGAGCTAATCTCCATCAGTGTCCAGCCCTATTTAATGCTCCTGCCTTGGATAAATTGGAGGAAAAGTTAACTCTCATCCATCTTGATTTCTGTCTTTAGTCACCAGTAGAGTTAGGACATCTTGTCTCATCAGAGCAAAGAAATGGGCTCTCCTCCCTGTGCCGAGCTCTTCCCTTTGCAGCAGAGTTCTCTCAAGTGTTTCACAAAGAGGTTAAGGCTCAGACAGGCTTAACCTTATGATTGTTTTCTGATTTTTTTTTTGGTCAGATTGCCATATCAGGCAAGGTTTGGGAGCAAGGCAAGGTTCCATCCTCCTCTTAGGAGGATGAAAGAAAGACCGGAGGAACACTGGTAAATAGTGGAAGTGAAAAGGATTTCTCTGTGTGTGTAACCAGAGAAATGGGATTGATGTCCTGTGCATCTCTCAAAGTTTGTTATAAATGCTTCTTGCAGTGATGCGGAAATGATGATGATGTGTCACAAAACACGTAAAATAGTGTTCAAAAGTCATTTGAGCAGACGTAGCTTGAGCACACGTGAATTCTTCTGGTGAGGCAGGAAGTGGGGCTTTTGCCACGGGTCTGCCATTGGTGGTAAATGCTTTGGGACTATTTAGTTGAACCTTGTGCTCCTCAGCTTCCTGGCTGCAAATGGAGACCATGCAAGTAGGGACAGAGTGTGGCAGGGTAAATATTTATGGAAGAGACAGGGAAGTATTAATGTCATTGAGCAAATCATGGGTAAAACTTCCTCTACAAGGTGTGGCTCTCCATATGTCCATTCCATAAAACTGTTTCAAATTGAAAAAAATATGAAGAAAGCCACTGGGATGATTCAGAAAAAGGATATCTTAACTTGAGAGGAGACTGACAGGCTTGAGAAGGTGGTTTTGCCTTGTAAATATGCCAGGGCACGAGTGCCAGAAAGAAAAAGTTGCTTCAGCTAAAGTATATTCCTGGTATAAGGATAAAGAGATATAAACTGGCCAGAGGTATGCTGTCAAAATAATATAAACCAGCTCAGGGCACGAGGACTGAGGTCAGCAGGGGAGGTGGGATGGATGCACCCAGGCTGGTGGGAGGAGCTGGTGGCCAGTCAGGCATGAGCCTGTTGTGGGGCTCCTGGGGAGTGGGCAGCAGCAATGGGCTTTGCCTGAGGAAATTTTTGTAGCCACAGAAATGTCAGAAATTTTTGTGAGCCCTGGGACTGACCAACTGTGTTTGTAACCTCGGATTAGACACCATATGTGGGAAGTAGCTGGGCAATAGTGTTCCTGCAGGAGTGACAAGGGCAAGCATCTGAATAGTTTTAAGAAAGAGTCAGAATATTTTGTGGCATAATTAATGATGGGATATTTAGTGATGTTGGGGGACTGGACTTGTTGACCTAGAAAACTCATTTTGGTGTTTTTCCTGGTCACTCCTGTACTGATCTTTGCATTAAAAAAACCACTCAAAATACCCCAAACCAAAAAAAGTCTACTGGTGACATGTCTTGAATATTATCAGCATGATTTTAATCTAGAGAAGGACAAAACCCAGAACAAATAGCTAGGTTCTTCCAGCACGCCAGGAAAATATAGGTAGACCTGTGCCTCCTCACCAACTTTGGTGTTAAAGAAAAAACCAAACTCAACAAAGCTCTCTTCCTATTTTTGTGTCCTCTTAATCCATCCACTTGAAATTGTGATGAAATACTGAGCTGTTAAGACAAACCTTGTGAGTAATACATACCAGAGTAGCAGACTTTTTATCCTTTAGGTAATTTTCTATGGCATCATTATCTGGGGCAAAGACTGTGTACATGTTTGCTGCTTCTATTTCATTTGCCAGGCTGTATTGCTGTTGTGAAACACATAGAAACAAATCATAATGGCCACTGATTGTCTGATATCAGTCCAAATGCAATCAAAGCAGAGAATTTCCTCTGTTCTTAAAACATTGTGAAAGAAATGGGAAAGCTTACAATGATGTAGCCCCTGAAAATGGAATAATCAGGCATTTGCTCCAGGCGGGCCAGCAGCCTCGGCATGACAGAGCTGTGGAGGGGGGTCAGAACCTGGAAAGGGAGCAGATATCCCACATCAGCGTGTGTGCACCTGCTGTGGATCAGATGCAGGACAAAATGCTGTTCTGTGCAAACACTTTTTTTTCCAAAGGCAGTTAATTATTTTGCACTGCCTGTGGCACAGAGGAACAAACCCTCCCTTGTGCAGCCGTGTACCTTGTCAATAACATGTATGACCCCATTTGTGGATGCGATGTCACCAGCCACAATGTGAGCGCCCTCCACGGTGAGGTTCTGAAAAAGGGCGAGGAGACAGGGTTTTCATTCACATCAAGGAGGTGGCGTTTTCCCAGCGGTTCATGCTATGAATTTCCACACCTTCCCAAATGCTTGCCTAGGGCTCCACCATGGCTCTGCTCACACCAGTCCACACCAGGGGCTGGTTACCCTCTGGGAATCATGCACAGGAGAGGGGGCTTTGGGGCTCTCTGCTGTTCCCTGCACACAGACCGGCAAAGCCATGGAGTTGCTTGCACTGGAGTGGTTACCTGGCGTAGGTGCACTCCCCCCACCCGCTGCAGGTGTGCCAATTCACATCAACTTGATTCTATGCAGCTTTAAAAGACCCCATTCATGATTTTTCCCTTGGGGCATGGAGATGGGGGGAACTTTCCCCTCCTTTAATGGGGATGAAGTGCTTAAATGTGCCTTGTGTATTTCCAGAAAATTTTCCTCAGAATACAGAGTTTACCTCATAGAAAGGCTGAGGGGAAAGGGCTGTCAGTTGTAGTTATTTACCTTTAAAAATATTTTCTTGTGATTTAGGACTATTGAGTTGCATATGTGGAGATGGGTACGTTCTCACTGCTTCCTCCTACCTTCCTGATTCTTTAAAATATGTTATTGGGTTTTCTTGATGCTCTTTGTCTTAATTTAGTTCACACAGGCTGCTCCAGGCAGAAACTGCCCTTTTGCTTGGTTACAAGATAGTCCAGTGTTTGAGGCAGCTACTGGGACATTAGGAATAAATAATATTGTGGACAAATTTCAGCTAGGTAAAGTGGTGGAGAAAATCAAGCTCAAGTTTCTCCCAGAGGGCCCAATATAATCGATCTATTCCCTTAATTTTATTATGTGGTCTTTTTTTAAATATAACATCTGTGTGGTTTTGTAATACAAGAAAGTCAGTGGCAGTGATGGTCAGGGTTTAGTGTATGAAATCAAAATGGTTTGCAGGTCATCTCACCCCATTTTCTTTTGACAAGTGTAGGAATTTGCTCTGTAGCGATGTTGGCAGCATGTCAGAGGACGATAGATTCTGGAAATCAGCAAAGCTGTAAGCTCCTGTCAGTACATGATACCTAAAGGAAATTAACTGGATTTGAAGGTTTGATATTTTCTCTCTCTTTCCCCCCCCGTCCCCAGATAAATATGCTTAGTGTGTCTAAAACCATGGTTTTAAATAGGAATTGTTTGTATTATACCTAGTTCAGCTGTGTTCTGATCTTAGCTTGGCCTTTAAACATTTCTGGTATAATACAAATAATGGTTTGTTTCCAGTGGACTTACTACAGAGATTTATACTGCTGTGACAAGAAGGGGAATCCTAAGTCCTTCCTTTAAAATCATAAAACCTGTCTTGCTCTAGTGGCTTCAAACCAAAGGCTTGTTTGACGTAAAAATAAAGAAATAATAAAAACCCCAACAACCTCCAAACAAATAACATACTTCAGTAGAGTTGGAATGTTACTTTTTGACATCCAAAAAGCTTTCTCTTCTTCATCCATGTTTTCAATTGCTTGCAGAGAAGGCACGAGGACAGTTAGATTAGAGGCAGTGGATAACACTGAGTTTATCTTGGCCTCCTGCATGAAAGTAAAGAGGGTAAAATGATTCATCCCCAGGACAGTCTATAAATAGCAGCTGGTGACTTCTTAGCAAGGTGGAGTATGTGACGTCCTTTGTGACCAGCCTGGAGAGGAAAAACTATTATACTGAGCAGTGACTTGAACAATAGTACTTCGAGCTGTACAAAAATGGTCAGTGAGTGTCTATTTTTTACACAATAGATTGCCAGCATTTAAGGGGCAGAAATAATGTTTGAGTCAGAATTGTTTTTTATTACGAAACACATATCTTGTCTCCTACAAAAGTTAGTCTGTCTCATGGATTTTGTATTATGCACTTGAATACTGAAAAATAAACAAGATGATGAATACTAGTAGTTACTGATAACTTCAAGTAACTTACTCTTTCAGAGCACTCCATGCTATTTAAAAGATAGAAGGACTATGGACTGTGTAATAAGAAACTCCCATGACACAATGTTCCCATTCCAAAGGGGACTATTTAACATGGCTGGGATTTTTCAAGATGTCCAGGACTTATTTGTGCCCACTAGGACTACAGTGGAGCTTGCTGCTGACAGCTCTAATTTTAGGTGGGGCTCATCAGCTCTGTAGTGTGCATGAATTGATTAATCTTCCCTATGTTTGTGTCTGCCTTAAGGATGGAGAAAGCCTCCACTGGAGAGGATTTTTCCAGTTGTGTGGATTTTTTGTTTTTGTGGAGTGAAAAAAGGAGAGCAAAAGATTTGAGCGTGATCTTGCTGTAGATGGGATTCTCCAAACTTTTCACAGGCTCCACAACTTGCCATTTTCAATGCTGCAAAACTCAAGGGAGCAATATGGATAGGTTGTTCCTTTTTGCAGCTGATATGCTGCCTGGGAGCTGGCTTGTTTTGGACAGTCCTTCATTACCCATATTGGGTTTTAAATCAAGAAGGGAATCAACTCCCTTAGATAGCTGGGAATTTTGTCTCTGTTAAGATCATCTTTCTTTCTACCCATCATCCCAGCCACCTTCCAAATATTTAAATATAGAAATAGCAACACATTCCCTCATCTCACCCTTCCTGACCAGCAAGAAAAATATTTGGTTATAAAAAGTGGTAAACATCACATTCCGGTTCAACTATGAAATTAAAAACCTCACAGATGGATCTACCTCCCTATTTTGCTCATGTTTGTAGTTACTGTTGTTTAGTTTGATACCATTTCTCTGAAGTGTAGCAGAAATTTCCATATCTCTGTTTCAATAGATTATACAGAATCTGCCCTCTAATTTTCCCCCTCATTATCTAAAGAGCTCACTAGCAGGTGAACAGCATTTCTTATTCTGTCCATTTCTTTAAATTCTTAAGTTTCTCTATACAGTATCCAGTGCTGCAGTCTGAGCTCAGGGCCAGGCAGATAACTGACTTGAATTAGCCACATTAGCTTCTCTTTCAAGCAGCTCCCTGAGGTGTTTGTTGTAATTGTGCGCTTTAATGATCTCCAAGCCATCTAACTTTGAAAAGCATGAAAGCAACTAATGTACTGTGATTTCTCCTTCTGATGCTTTTCATTAACACATCACTGTTCTTTTTTGTTTGCCTTCTATTTGCTATACACTTTCTATATTTAGTTTTTAAGCTCCTTGTGGGAGAAACAGGTTTTGATCTTTATTCCTACAGTGCCAATCACAGTGGGGTAGGACCTCTAATGTTACTGCTGCTCCAGTAATAGATGATAACATGAAAATAGAAAGTACATTGTGACAATCCATCTATCCAGAACTTTGGTTTGTAAAATTTAATTTGGTGTTTCTTCCATAATCTGGAGCCATACAAGTTAATCTCTTCCTTCAGTGAGGTTGTTCAGCTTGGAGAAGAGAAGACTCCAGGAAGAACTTTTTCAGCCTTTCAGTACTTAAAGGGAGCTTATAAGAAAGATAGGGCAGACTTTTTAGCAGGACCTTTTTCAAAAGAATAAGGGATAATGGTTTTAAACTGAAAGAAGGTCGATTTAGATTAGATATGAAGACTTTTTTTTTTTACGGTAAAGGTGGTGAAACACTGGGAGAGGTTAGATGGTTAGAGGTGGTGGATGCCCCATCCCTGGAAACATTCAAGTTGGGTTGGACAGGGCTCTGAGCAAACCTGACCTAGTTGAAGATGTCCCTGCTCGTGGCAGGGAGATGGACTAGATGGCCTTTAAAGGTCCCTTTCAACCCAGACCATTCTATGATTCACTGTGATTCCATGTACCTCGGTCAAGCCTGCCAGACTGAGTTTTTCCCCCCTCGCTTGCTGTGGCAGCAACGTGTTGATCACCCTGCATTTTCCTGCCATGGGCACAATGAAAATAGTGAGGGTCAGGCCTTTGTCTACTGAATGAGAGAAGTTGGAAGGAGCCACTTGGGGGCAGGTTCAGTCTCTGCTCACACCCTGCTGCTGTTCATCTGCACCACAGTGTATTTACACACAAAGCTAGTCAGGGCTTATGTGACCCCCTGCCTCAGAGAGCGGGCTTGTAACTAGCTCTGTGGAGCCTCCTTGCTGGCCTGAATTTGGATTCAGAATTTGTTTTTCAGGTAGAAATATGGAACCAGATGATCAACCCCTCCACGAGTGGTGGGATAGGCGCTCTGATGCCTCTCCAGAGCTGCAGTCTCTGTTCTCTGATGGCAATATTGCTGTGAGGTTCCCATTCCTAAAGGCTACAAGGCTTATGTATTTCTGCAAACTGGAACATACTAAAAAAATTAGCCATGGAGTGTACTTACATTAACCCACCGGTTAAATGCAGCTGCTTCTGACAGAGTAGATAGCTCCTGATTAGAAAGAGGAAGAGAGAGTAATGAGCAGCTAAGCTGTAATTAGCTGTACCAAAGTACTCTTGCCTGTGGTGTAATCCACTGTGTCTGGCCTGGCTGATGTGACACGGAGGATGAGGTTTTCAGTGTGTCTGAAAAGGGCAGACATCATTGTTTTTCTAATTCTAATACTTTCTGGTAATGGAAATGGTGAGTTACCAACTCTTGAAAATCAGGCCGGTGATTGCTCAGGTGTATTAAGTGTATCTGATCTCGGTATGTATTGTGTACTGACCCCAGGCTAAGTGTTATTTTCAGGGCTTCTAAACCTAAATATTTTCTTAACTCCATGCAAAATTAATTGAAATTTGTGTTGATTTGTTTGGTGTTTGTACAGCATCTTACATATCATGCTCCAAGTAGATAGCCTTTATTCTGCCACAGTACTTAGAACAGAGATAGATGATAATATGAGCAGGGGTGGCAGATAGTGCTGAAAGCCATGTAAGATTACTGCCAGTGGCTGAGGCAGAGGACACTTTCATTTTTCCTACGCTGTTAAATGCATATTTATTTCACCAATTTGCTTGCTTTTGTTTTATCTGCCTGTGGGTCAGCATGGTTTGTTTCAACATGACAAATTGATAATTTCCACTGAGAAAGACTTCAGGGCAGAATTTCAGAAGAGCTGACTGCTTGCTGCTTCCAACTGGGAGGTGAGTGCTTAGCACTTTTGCAGGTTTGGACTCTGAGATTGGCATTTTTAAATTTTTTTTTTAAGCAAGAAATATGCTCGGATTCCTTAAGCCACTTTCCAAGCTATGTTTTTAAACACAACAGATCATTTATGTATCAGGCAAGCATCTCCTGCTGGAAGACTGTTTGCAGATAGCACTGATGGGCATCATATTTTTCTAGCTGTTTATAAAGGCTTTGCTATCTCTCTGGTTAAGACCCAGCATAAGAACTGTGCAGTAGGTCCTGTGCTCAGAGAAAGTGACCATCCTACTTACATCTGCAGCATTTCCATAGCATATTGTACCATCTCCTTCGTAGCCCTTTGGACACACACACTTCCAGCCATGAGAAGACTCAAACTGACAAGTTGCCTTTGAACCAGAAAGACAGAGAATTTGTCAGATACTCAGGAGTACACTCAAGAGCAAGAATGGCCTGTAAAGCCTCTTACCGGAACCCATTTATATATACGAACATAAACTTACAAAGGATCTTTGTACCATCTTCCGTGGATGTCCTCAGTCTCCTACAGGACACACTCCATCAGCCCAGGGCACTAACTTCCTCACCTACCCACCCTGCACTAAGTCTGTAGGAATCCAAACTCTTGCTCCACCTTTCTTACTTCCTCCCTATGTAAACTGGACTCTATTCCTTCATCCAAATATGGCTGCTCCCCAGTGCTCCTCACTTTAGCTCTGTCCCTGTGCCCCCCCCCGGCACTAGTGTGGCTCTTGCAGGCACTACAGGACACATTAGAGCACATACAGCTACTGATTCAGCTGATAGATGCCCAGGGAGAGATGTGTGACTTGGGTAGACATCCCAACAGGCTGGTGCATTCAAGTTGTAGTTGCTGGTAGAGAAGCAGCATTTACTTATACCAGGCTCGAGATAATCCTTCTGTGCAGGCAGATTTGGGAGCAGCCCTTGCAGTCTGTCCTCAGCTCATGTACCATACTGACGTAGTTCACACAGCATTTTTGGTGCTTGCAGCAGTGCTTGGAAAGTGCTTTGTCAAACAGAAATTGCAGGCTTGAAATGGCAAGTAAATTCTATGGTGTGCGCAGGAGGGGAGGTGTGATATGTATCTGAACACTTTGTTCAGGGTATGATTAATTACTCACCAGATGATGGCATTTTCCATTTTGTTCCAGGCACGAGTTTATGGCTGTGCATTCAATTCCATTCCCCTGAAATCCATCCTTACACTTGCAGTCATTCTGTCATTTCAATGAAACACAGCAATTCATTAAAATGATTAAAATAGCGTGCACATTCTAGACATGGTGAATTAGTTTCTCTGTGTTTCTGTGTAGCTTAGCATTGACTTCAGTGGAATGATGCTGATTAATATCTCCAGAAGACCTTTATACCTGACATCTACTAATGTATTTACTAAAGAAGTATTTGCTGCCATAGCACCACCATGTAGGAAGGAGAGAGCACTGGGATAGGAGCTGAAGGAGACTGCTTTGGGTAGAGAGCACAGTGTGGAAATAACATTGTAGCTGGGAGGGAGGGGAGGATTTGGGGAAGAGAACAGGTAAGGAAGCAGAGCAAAAGCATTGAGGACTAGCACCTAAGATGGCAATGAATGTGAGAACCTACCTGACCCGGCCCAACATATATGCAGGTGGCATTTTCGTGGCACCCTGCCGTGATGGGTAGCAGGCAGTTGTTGATGGCTGAGCAGTCCCTTCCATCGCCTGTCCATCCTGCCTGGCAAACACATACGTGCTCTCCTGGGCCTGTCTGAATGCACTCGGCCTAGGGGGAGATGCAGAGGCGTCAGTTCAGGACAGTTAGGTGGCATCTGGCTTCAGGTGCAAGGCCTGTCTAAGCCACAGTGATCCTGCTATCTGGGGAAAGAGCCTGGAACTCCAATGAAAATTGTGACTTCTGCAAAAGTTTCTGGCCCCACCTTCCCCTCTGCCCACTTTTTCATGGTGTCAAGCTCTGTGGGGAAAGCACATACTTACATTGATATTGCAGCCACCAGGGTTTAAAGCAGCACAAGGATCAACTTTGCTGCAGCTCAAGCCATCTCCCTCATAGCCAGGTTTGCAAACACAGCTACAGAAACAAGAGGAGGAGGGAGGCGTTAAACGTGATAGGACAGCTCTAAAGTAAAGTGATTGTTTTCCACTGTAACATGCTATTTATAGGCAGCTTAAAATTGGTAACCTTGGATTCGTGATGCAAGTAGCCTAAGTACGTACATTATGTTTTTTTCCAAAATGTTGACTGGGTTAATTGAGTCAAATCAGGGATCCATTCTCTGTGTACGAGATGGGGAGTGAAATTAATTCTGAGCTGATATGATCATTGCAAAGTTGAGCTAATAGCTCTGAATTATTTATGAGCTGGCTACTTCTTTCTTTCAGTGATGCCGAAAATAGCTCTCTCCCTGAAATGTATGCAAGACAATGCAAGACAACTGTTTGCCTGGGTCCCCTCCCCCAGGATTAACTTATATTGGAGGGAATTACTTAAGCCCTCAAGTTTGACAGCATCCTCCATTCTGCTTTCTGCAGTGACTCATTATGAATACACTGCATCAAGAGGCAAACTTGCTGCATCCGAAGGTGAGCTTGAGGCAAGTGCAAGGCAGCTGTAGCAGTAACAGAGGTTTGTGACCAGTCCTGTCAGGACTGGGGAACCTGAGCTGAAGTCTGCAGGGCTGTGGCATGCAAAACTTGCCTGAGCTGACCAGAGTGAGACATCTATCCCCAAACTGCTTGAGAATTCCATTGTTTTTCAGCAAGGCTCAAACTTCTAAATCACTAAGGGATGGCTAGAAATAGGAGGATCCTTAGAACCTATGTAGATGTTGTCAGGAAGGTAAGAAGGATCAGATCGGTATGCATCTATCTTTCAGCGTTAAGCATAAGGTACAGGACAGGGTGTTGAGATCTCTTAATTACCATCTTGCAACTCAAGGTCAATGTGGTGCTTGATTATGCTTATTTGCTGCATAGCAGTATTGCAGTGGCTGATGTTTGTGTACTGCTGCCAGGGACTGTTTTGATCAAGCAAATGGCAAAGAGCTGCAGCATAGTTAATATTACTTTGATGAAAGTTACTGACTTACCTCACTGCGCCATCACTAATCTGACAGTCTGCATGTGCATGGCAGAGATGTAGGGAGGGCTCACAGGGAACAATCTGCTTATCACAGAGTTTCCCTGCGTATCCAATTCTGCATGATCCAGGAAGACAGATCCCATTGCTGTCTATTCGATTATCACACTTCCCATAAATGCAGAGGCACTCTATTAGAGATAAATTACAGTGTGCAATTCCATAGTGGTAAAAGGTGTTTATCCTTACATAGCATTTCTTATGAATCAGATCCTCCTATTTCTTCAAGAATCTAAACTTTTGTATTTTTTAAGTCTCACTTTGATGGGGGACTTACTGTCTATTAATCATATCCATGTCTTTTCAGGTGTGTTTTATGGGTAATTATTTAAAACCCGTTGTATCTTTACAGTGCACTTATCTATCAATGAATTTCAAAGTACTTCAGCGAAGTAGGAGCAAAATGCTATGTTTTAGGCTATTAAGTTTGAAGTTACTAGTTGCACAACTTTCGGTGTACTTTCAGTGATATGAGAAGCCTTCAAATACTGAACCCACAATCCTACAGATTGCACAGAGCTGGGCTGGTACACAGAGCAGCAGCACAGACCTACCAACACTTTACTGGGACTGGGCTGATTAATGCTGCTGGGAGGCACAGCAATGTGCCCAAAGGACACAGCAGGTAAACTCTGTGTATTCCAAAGCAGACCCAGTGGTGACTAGTTAAGCAAACACTTATTACTTCAGTGTGACTGAAGCTTAAGAAATTTTCTTATGGAATTTGCCTCTCAGCTTTTTTCCAGTTACCTCTGAACCTTCAAGTGAGCTGTGCTTCGTGAATGACAGGCTGTCTCATAGCAAAAAAGGCTATAAGTTATTTTATAGAGGGGGGATATATGTGTGTTTGATATTGTATATATTGTGGACTCTCAAATGTATTATGGTTTGACTTAGCAGGATTAAATCTGTCAGTATATGAAAGATGACTATAGAACTGAAAACTATTCAATAGATCAGAAATTATTCAGTAAGGATGATTATTAAGTGGCCCTAAATACAATCTGTTCATAGATCTGGTTGTTCTTAGATTACATATATTTGTCGTTGCTGGCAGAATCTGTTCTGTTGTGGGCAAGACCAGATGGGAACAGAATAGCAAAGATTTTCTTTTCTATTACTTATGTGAAGGACACAAAAATTAAAACAAGAGTAAATAAGTAAAAGGTAAGCTATGCCCCCTGCAAAAGTCCCAGTTATATCAACGAGAAGATTTACACTGACTCTGGGCTTATGGTGTGTCCCATAAGAAATGAAAGTACCCCAGAGACATCTTGCTCATCCACCACAGGGACTATTTAGTGATCAGTTAATTCCTACCTATGTAATATTCCAGGGATCCAAAAGAAATAGCCCAAGCTCTTACACTGAGGATGTGCTGCTGTACTTACCTTTGTCACACTGAGGTCCATATTTGCCAGGGTCCGAGCAGAACTGGCAGTGCGAGCCCTGAAAAGCCTCAGTGCAAATGCAAGTCCCATTTCCATCCAGGCCATCCATGCACTGTGATATGGAAGAGTGGTGATTGCTACATATAAATTAAAACAAATCTTTACCCTTACCCCAGAGAAGAGATTATATGCCTGTATATACTATGACTATGATAGACTCTCAGGAAATACCTCAGGTTTGATGACAAAGGTGTTTCAAAGCAAAAGCTTTCCTTATGCTTTTCCTTTGCTGCTATATATTCTACATTCCTTTACAATTTTAAGGTGAGAATAGTGAGCTGGGTCATTACTCTGTGCTGTGCAAACTAAAACAATGGGAATGGACCATCTAGTGTTGCCTGTGTGCTGTATGTTGGAACCTCAAAAATCTGCAATTTGGACATCTGAGAGGGGACCAATTTATTTTCCCTCCTCGGTATAACTGAACCTGAAATTCATGGCCATAAATGAAGGGCACAGTTCTTGTAGAGCCCAACATTCCAGTTCTGCAGAAGGGCTCCAGGGACTTTTGGGACACAGCCTGTCCTTCCTCCCTTGGAATGCAGGGTGCTGCCAGATGCTCTTCTTACCTGTCCATTTCCTGAGCAGGGTTTGGAGAAACCTCCTGGACACGGACTACAGTCAGGGCCAAAGAAGCCTTTGCAACACTTCGGTTCCTGTGAAATAAAGCAAATATCCTCTTTTACAGTGCCTTAGTGCAGAGGCAGTGCACAAAACCCAACTCTTCATTGTGTTTTGGCCCTCTGGCAAAGGCCCATAGGAATAACTGGCTCTGAAAAGGATTGTGTTGGACCAGAACCACCCCTGCGATGGCCTTGTTAAAACCAGGGAGGGTGCTGGCAGCCCAAGAAGGGGATGCACAGGCCACCAGATCCTTCCCTTGTTCTTATTGGACTCATCAGTGTTAGAAAACTCTGTCCTGTCCCCACGTACGAACATGTCTGTGTGTGTCTGCTTGTATTGTGTGCACTCTTATATTTGCCAGTGGGAGTCCAGTGCAACTGGGAGACAGGCAGTCTTTGCATCTGAGATACTGTGACAGCCAGACATGTTGCTTTGATCTTCCTCCTTCCCCTCTGCACCAGTGTGGGATTTAACCACCACACAGCCCTAAATGGCTTTTTCAGCTGCATCTTTTATTTTATTCATGAATTGGCCGCTTGGTTTGTTTATTTATCAAGGGCACAGAAAGTGCATTAGAAAAAACCTCATTTATGTGTGTGATTCAAGGGAAATAGGGATTAGCAAAAGGCTTTGAAAGCTTACAGTTTGTAGACTTATCTGCTTGTTACTAAGTGGCACTCTCAAAGTGCAGAAGCCTATTTAGGAGCCCCAGGAGCTGGAAAGGTGTAAGTACTTCTTAGAGACTAATGAATTCTGTGAGAACTAGGCTTGTCAAGCAGTAGCTGGACCACAGTTCTTGTGTTCCCCATTCATTGTTATCCAATATGATGTGAAGTCCTGGGACAAGAGTGGCTGGGACCAGGAGAGACCCAGCTGTTCTATTCTTCATGGGTGAAGCTGTATGGGGCAACAAACACATCTGGGCTTGGAGCCCTATGTGAAAACTCCTGCGGAGTATGAGTCCACAGGACTCATTATGTCAACAATGTGAGACAGCTAAAAAACCTCTCTGGAATTTGCCTGATATTTAGCTCTAAGATTTACAGCAGGTCCTCTCAGCCTGCTCTATAGAAGTGTATGGAAGCTACATGGGCATCTCCAAACACCTCTCAAATCCAAAAGGAAAGTTCAGAATGTATAAGGCAATATTTTGGAAAAAGAACCTTTCCTTAAGGAACCATAACTCTATACCTTTATTGTTACATTGCAGTCTCTAGCGCAGCCGATTTTTTGAAAGGTTGGATGTTCAATAATGCATCTCCGTTTTGAGAAAGGCTGGAATGTGCACAAAATGGAAGCATTAGTTATTTCTAAGCAATGTAACGTTCTGTGATACAGTCTTAATATCACCACATAATTTAACCTGAGAACAAAGCACCCTACTTTATTTTAAAATTTTATTAAATTATCTATTTTTTCCTAATATGAACTTCCTTTTTATTGTTACTGGATACTAACCTATAGGACTACTATCAGTGAATTTTTTATAACATGGGGAATAAAATTCCTGTGGTAGCTAGATTTTAATTTTGTATGTGGAGAACCGTAGCCAGATTTGCATCTCTTAGATGCAAAGCAGATGGAAGATTTTCAATCCTCACTGAACCTGTGTCTGCAGACTGTTACTTCTGGGACGAAGCTTAATCAAAAGGAAATTTTTAACAGATGTGAGGTCTATTTTAAACATATCCAGTTTGCTAATTCTCAAAGCATCATCATAGTAATTCTTATTCCTCACATCTCTCTTCTGCTGAAATAGAACTTACTTCACCTGAGAAACAAGTCAGAGCTTCTGTGAATTGTACGAGGGGTCTTGCAACAGCAAACAAAATAATGCTGGAATTACCTGATAATCCTGTCATTGCCAAAAAGACATTAAAGTACCATCTCTATTTGTATTTTATTCAGTCCCCTGTATTCATATCTAGTTCTTTTGATCACTACATTGGGAGAGCAGTAATCAACATAGGGGGATGCCTTTCCTCTGTGCATTTTGTACAACTGGTGAATCTGCCAGGAAATGTCACTTACAATGGGCTTTGAATCCTGTGGACAGTGAGCCAATGAATGCGATAAACAACCTGCACAGACACCCTAGATGGAAACAATAAGGATAGTAATTTGAAAAGTTGTTACACCAACTGCTGAGATACATATTTATGGATGATACACCCTGTAAATTTTAAGAATATCTGTTCTATGACTTTTAAGCATGATTTTGCACCCAAAGAGCAGCAGCAGGGCTATATCTGCTGTCTCTGACTTTTGTGGAGTGGTTATTCACTTCTGCCTTCCCCTTTCAATCTCCATTTGTCCTTCCTCTGCTCCCTTCTTTTAAAGAATATGAGGCTTCCTCAACAGGAACACAGGGACATGAATGTACTAGTGTCCTTTACTCAACTGAGTATAACAAAGAACTAATATTGTCTGAGAGTCTAGCGAAATCTGCACACTTAAATTCTATGAGAATTTTTTATTTCTTCCTGGAAGACCAAAAATTAGTTGAGTCTTTTATACAGACAGTGTGAACAGAAATTTGTCTTGTGTATAGGTGGTGAAGAGAAAAATAGTCTTCGCTCCCACATCATAGATCCTCTACTCCACTATGATCCAGTGATATATAGCTAATTTTATGTTTTCACCTTTTGGTTGCCTTTCCCACTAGCTAATTTATCACCATGTGATGGTGACAGTGACTGGCAATTACATCACTGAGGAGATATAAACTTCAGTGGCAGTTTTAAAGGTGAATCCTCTACAAGTTCAATATGCAGTAACTTCAGAGAGGTTGAGCCTTTCAGAGTGTGGATATGGAGTTTGTCAGAGCTGTGGTGCTTGTGACTACCAATGTCTTGTTTTTCAATCAAGTTAGCATAAAACCTAGAGCAAGCATCCAATGTGTTCCATCACTGTGCTTTGTAGTCGTTGGACAAGAGGCAATGAAGCTGAATTATGGCATTTTCCCCACAGGTTTCTCACTGGAGCTGTGGGGAAAGAATCAGGTATTGGTTTGGATTTAGCAGTCCCTCATGTTGTACAGCACTTACAGGAATAAAGGACCAGACTTACAAAAGCATTTGTGCATCAGACTGTTGCGGTATCGATGCCACTATTATGTTTTAAAGGTTTGTGAGCCAGATGTATTTTGGCAAATACATTTGGACATTACAAAAGCTTTTTTACAAGCTGCATAGTCATGCCTGAAGCTGACTTAGGCTCTTGTCTTCCTTTGTGCTTCTGAAAATCCCTGCAAGTGTGTCTGCTCCTTTAGAACTTAAAACTCCAGTTGATTGCTGTGGACAATGTTTCCCTCTGTTGGTGTTATTCTCCCTGCTGCTCAGTGCCATTTGGTGTCACCTATTTACTCCCTTTCTCCACCTGGAATGGCCTCAACCACTGACATGTACCTGCTCCCTCCTTTTCCTGAGGATGGGTGTCCTGTCTCTCTCTTCTGCCATGTCACTATGAAGGACAGAGAAAACTGTCTGCACTTCCATGCAAGGCCAGATCTGCCTATTTTCAGTGCTACATTAGGATACTGTCCTTGCACTGAAGTAATTGAAGCATAGACATATATTCCCCTCTGTCAAATCTGCCACAGGGGCCATGCTCTGGGAAGAGGTGGAGCAGAGAGCTGGGGTCAGCTACTACTTCGTTGTTCAGACCACCTCCTGTCTGAGGTCATCAGAATTGGCCACAGTCCACGTATCAGGCAGGTACTGCAGACCTGTTGTCCCTCCTGTGCTCTTTGTGACGTTAAGAATAAGCACTGCTGTCCTTCAATTAGACTCAGGTGAAGCTTTTAGAGTTCTGGTATGGTTATGTGGATATGGATATGGATGCCTTAGCCTAACGGTATCATCTTCAAGGATGTAAAATTCTTGTAAAGTGTGTATACCTACCAGTTCCTACAAGGTTTGTGCCTTTTAACTCTTCGAATACAAGCAATATATCTGAGGTGGTGTTACTCCTGTTTTCTGAGAGTGATGAAACTGCTTTGTGCAGTGCTGCCAAAGCCATTGCTCCCTTCTGGTGTTCTCCTGGCCAGCAATGTTCTACTTAAAGCCTTGAATAAGTGGTTGTACCTTAAACTACTCACAAAGCTTTCAAAGCTAACAGGAGTGCCTAACTTGAGTTTGGGGAATAATTTTTGTGACTGTTTGCTTTTTCTTTAAACAATTTTTTTCTGTGTTACTTTAGGATTGATTGATGCTGAACTTAATTTTTAAGTAGTTTTTTGGTTAGGAATTCAGATTACTGAAGTTTTCTGGGTGGGGATTGCTTTTTGTATCAGAGATTGCTGCTTGGAGCTCTGCCTGGTTTATGATTATATTGCACATGCAGCACTTTGTAGTTACCGCCAGAGGTAATAGATTGTTACTGTCAGTGTTTTCTTCATTGCATTTTGATGCTGTCCAGCTCTGCTGGGAACCTCTTTCAAGGCTGTGGTTCTGGACTGTTGTAAGTTAAGCCAGTAAATATTTTCCTTTTGTACCGGAACTGTTACTGGCCCAGACATGTGCTTGAACATGGTCCAGTAACAGCTCACTGGAGCCACGCTCACTGCAAGCGAAAAGCTCCGTCTGATACTCTGTTCTCTTACCAGAAATAGTATCTGAATGTTACCAAAAAAAGGCCTGTACTGTGTTACCTAACTTAGCAAGGTATGTCAAAATCCTCACTTTAAAATATGAAACAGTTTTGTTTCTGGAAGAAAGCAGGGCTAGGGGAAATTTTGGCTTCTGAAAATAACATATTCCTAATATACAAATATAAAATTAATTATTATGTTAATATTTTAATTTGCTGTCTCCTTTCCCTGCATATTTAGTAGAAGTGAAAATATTGATCTAGAGTAGTTTCCCTGAGAACATGACCCTGCTTCCATGTACTTGTATGTACAGGTGGAATTCAGGAACTGGAGGACAGAGTTGGATTGGAGAGACAACATTTTTCAAAGGGCTACTGCAACAACTAGTTTTTTTGAAATGGTGTAGAATATGTTCATATGAGTTCCCTGTTTGCAAATAATTTGCATCTGCACAATACTGCTAGGCTGGTGGCTGCATGTCATTGATACATTAATTTCCAAAAATACCCCTTTTTCATGAATAATATCAGAGAAAGCTATTAAAGAAGAAGCTAGAGTGCCTTGAACAGTTAAGAGCTACCAATTCATTGTGATTCTCTTACCTTTGTGACTTGACTTCTTGTCTCATCACACCGATGTGGTAGAATTGGAACAATTGTGGGTGGGATAAGAACTCCCTCAAGAGTATAAATACGACCATTTTTTGCAACAATATCTGTTTCTTCCACTTTTTCTCCACTCACCAAGACTTGTCCCTATGAAACAATAAATTATCATTAATAATGTTCATAGCTTCTCAATTTATGATAATTTAATTTAAAAAAATTAAATTACTTTCTATTCATGCTTTTTTTTAGATTGGCTATCTAATTTTTATCATGCTTGTTCATGCTAGAAGCACACATATATTGTACATTTTCTTGACTATTGATCTACAGCAGAGGTATCAAAAATTTTAGTATGAGTATGCACTGTTAGCCTGTGGTGACTGATAGACTGGCTAAAATGAGAAGACTATTGATGACTTCAGGCACCGATTTTAGAGGGCATAAGCATGCTTTAGTACTCTCTCTGGCAAAGGAGGAGGCAGAAAAGTGAGAGAGAATCCGGGATCTATGTAAATTTACATGAGAAAAAAAAAAGTATTCTTTCTGCATTTATTCCTGCAAGTGCTCTGCCTTCACAAGAATTTTCATAGCTGCAGCTCTGCTCCAGGACAGAACGAGGCTAACATAATAGATAAGTTTGGTTTTGCAAAAGTACTGAAAAATTAACGCCTTTAAAAATGTATTCACTCAGTACGTCAGAATCAGAAACTCTAACAGTAAAGAGAATTAAAGAATATCTTTGTGTGCACTGAGAAGTGTTTAAAATAACTAAAACATGTAACAGAATGATTTAAAATATTTTAAGTAGATTTTAAATTTTTAAAAAAATTATGCAGAGCATAAATGAGGATCATTCCTAGGCTGGGGCTAATCATAAGGGAAAAAACCCTGCAGGCTATCCTTATATACCAGTCATTTCCTCTGCATCCTTTATATTACTAATGGTAACAGCAGGTGGGAGTGGCAAGTTGAAAATTTCTGCCTCATTGTAGCAAGAAATTCCTCTGCTGATGTCCCCCTTTCCCTCTTTTTTTATTCCCCCTGCATGTTAACAGTTGCCTCAGTCAGAGTGAGTTGTTCACAGGTGAAAGCTGTGACTTACAGTGCTGGTCCTGTTAAAGTAAATGAACTGCTTTGCCATGCTTCTGATGTGCTCTATTGAGACAAGGCTGGCAACCTCGAGCTGAAATGAATATAAATTGATTGAAAGAAATGTAATAACATTACTTTTTTCAAATCCAGAAAGACCTTTGGGGTGAGAAAATGACCCTATTATCAATGTGGGCAGCCTTGCATTGACTAACCTGCTTGTATAACTAAGTTAGTGTCATTAAATTATGACTGAGCTTCCTGGTTGCTGTGTGTGAAGAGCTTGGTGCTCAAACGAATATTGATTTTTCTTCTAATTATAGCAACCAGTCTAAATAGAGTTAACACTTCTCCCTAAAAATAGCCCTCTTTGCATCCACAGACCACTGTAGAAATGGTGGTGCTGGTATCCCATGAAGGTACACTTGCACGAGAGGATCTCATGTCTCTGTTCTTTCTGATCCCAGTCTGTGCTGGGAGTGGCCTCTCCCTCAGATGGTCTGAATGGGACTCTTCAGTAAAAATACAATCATTTCTTTCCTTCCTCCCCCATGACAGTGACTGGGGTGGGGATGAAATTGCCCCTGGGAAAAACGGGGGGCTCGCTTAGAGTATGACAAAACCAGCTCTTTCTGAAAAACAGAAGACTAATTTTATCAGAATAGGCTGAGAGAGAGCTTGATTTAGATGACAGTAAGTACTTTTCCTGCTACTCGTACCTGCAGTCCTGACAATACCCCCCGACAGTGGTTCTTGCTCTTACACTCTGGGTCAGTAAAGCAGCTGCGCTCACCTCGGTATTGGAGACAATGTGGTATCGGACAAGCTCCAGCAGCTTCCATGAACCCTGCCAATGCAGAAAAGAGGCTGTTTTAGCCCAAATGGAATCACACAAACCCAGCCTGACCTGTTGAGAGGCCATGGTGAAGAGAACAGCACCACTGGCAGGTGCACGAGAAACCCCTTGTCAGTGGTGATGCTCAGCTTGTGGCATGTACCCTGACATTCCATATCCTCATTCCTACCTATTATTTTGATATGGGCCTTCCATGATTTGCATGTGTGTTTGAAGAGGCAGGAGGTGTCTGGGGGAGAGGACACCAATATGCACCTCCTGGGAACCCACCAGCAGTGTCTCCCATGCAGTGGGGCCCTTGTGGCATCTTGACTGTTCCCACCAAGGGTGACACCTTTCAGGAGAGGGTTTGGGGCTTTGCCATGTGGCTGTCTGGGCAAGAGCAGAGGACTGGGGGCCTGGTGTGGAGGATCATTGTCGCTATATGTGATGGGAGACCCCAAGTCCCCTTCCTCTCTAGATGTTGTCTTGATCTTTTAATTGTTAGAGATGGCTTTAAACCTTGGTCATAGGAGCTTAGTTTAGATGAACACTGGACAACATATGTATGCATCTCCTATCTGAGGAAGATTTGCACTATAGAAAGATTATACCTGTGCAGAAAGCAGGTAATCCAGAGCCTCAGCTTTCATATTACTCAAAGCCTCATTACTTGGAACAAAGACTGTGTAAGGCCTGTTGTCCTGCTGCAAATCCATTCCCAGGCCAGTTTTCTGTTTTGGTTTAAAAATAAAAGTGAAATTACATATTAATATTGAATAACACCTGAAATAGCTTTATGTAATTGCTTTTCTGTATCCTTACCTCTATCAAAGATGTAAATTGGCTGTATCTTCCATTATGTTGAAGTATTGACATAATGGTTTCCTGAAATAAGATTTGTTTTAGTTGGGAACGTGGAATAAATGCCAGTTCTTATAAGACACTTCTTGAGTTACTGTGCAAGTATCAGTTATTACAGATTTCGGTTTCCTTTTTGTTTGGGTGACTGGTGGTGCCTGGAAATGGCTTGTCTTGGTGCTATAGCAGAATATAGTTAGAGTTTGTCATTGTGTAGTGGTTTGAGCCAGGTTTTCCCCCTGAAGCTGAAAGTGGTAACCCCCAGGGGGTGGTGACCCTTGGGGTTTGACCCAATCCGTGCTCCTGCAAAATATAAACATATCTCTGGAGACTGGAAGAGAAGCAGTAGTACTTGGTGGTGAGAAGAAGAGGTGGCCATGTTGTAGAGGCCACGAGGAGAAGGGGCTCCGGCCCCTTGGGGGCCTCTGCCCCCCCCCCAGCCCCCGGTTGGGGGGCTGCAGGGACTCAGAATGGTGTTAAAGCTGGGCTGAGTGCCTGCGGCTAGGAGCTGGGGGAGTTTCTCCCCTGTAAGTAGCAGTGGGAGACGCTGGGAGCAGCAGCGGAGACAGCAGCGTACCGGAGCAGTGGCAGAAGGCCAAGCAGATAAGAAGCAACACAAGCCGGTATGCAGCTAAGGCAGACACAGAGGTGTCTGAGGAGAAGGAAAAGCAGCAACAAGACAAGAGACCCGAGCCAGCAGCAGGAAGAGAGTTTCGGAGGGTAAGAACTGGACAAACCAAAACCTCCAAACTCACTAGAGACCCCTCCGAGAAAGAGGAGGGGGTGGTGGACTGAGTGGAGTCCTAAAGTGCAGTATGCACTACAGAGAGGAGCTAAGAAGCTCCGGCCTCCTGAGAGCTCAGCCAGGATGGCCAAAGGAATGTGTGTGGAGGGGGTGACCTTGGGCTTTCTTCCCCCCTCCTTGCTGCAGCTTCAGAGAAGCTGGCAGCCATCTTTGAGGCAGAGCATGGGAGCTCTGCACAGAGGCTTGATTTCCCCTGAAGATACCAGACTGTCACGAAGACCCCCGGTGCTTCGTGATATGACCATGGTGTAGCGGCCGTGTCTGGGGTTACGCAGCCCATGGAAAGACCCCCTGTTTGAAGACGGGGGCCGAGAGAGGCTCCCTCGTGTGTGCTGGCAGAGAGCCAGCAACTACTACTGCTGCCTAGAAGAGAAGACACAGAAAGCCTACTGCCTAGAGAGAGAGAGAGACCTGCTGCTGACAGACTGGAAGAGGTCTTTTCTTCTTCTTCTCTCCTGGACTTTTATTTGGAGGGAGAAGAGATTTGGCCCATTGTAAATATTATTGTCATGGTAGAGATAGATATAGAGTTAAGATTGTATACAATGTATTATAGTATTTATTTGCTGTATAGTCTTTGTAATATATTCCTTCCCCCATATTGAGTCTCGTGTTTTTGTCTGGAAAACCCATCTCACATGGGGTTGAGATGTGGGTGGGGGGCTAGGAATCAGAATTAGATTTTGGGCCTGCTCAAAACCATGACACATTGTCCTGTGTAGTCACAGAAAAAACAGTATGCATATGGGGAAAGGGTTATTATCTCTTCATTCCCAGTGTGAAAGGGTGGAGGAATAAAATATTGGCAAAAATACTATATAAAGAAGTACACTTTTAAGGAAGTATGATAAGCATGTCACCAAAAACCCCAAAGTGTCCAAAATCACCAGGTTTTATAATATTAGCCTTTTGGGGGCAGGAATTGCAACTTTAAATACAAGTCTTGCCTGATATCTGTTCAGATGTCCCTTCTTTTAGTATGCTGTTCAGGAATTCAGTGAAATTCACTGATTATAACTGCCAGTTTTCCAAAGAACCATTCAAATGCAGTGAGTCCAAATCCTTCATGAAGTACCTTGGCAGAAGAGCATATGTCTGTTTGCTGTGGAAAATGTGTCATTACCTTTCACTTTGAATGTTGCTTCGCTGAGCTGATGCACGATGGCTCAGGAGAGTTTGTTTAGTTGCTGTCAGTCATCCTCCTTTGCATTCAATCAATGTGAAACTATTTTAAGTGGAAGTTTGACATTGCATGTATACAGCTTACTGCTCACCTCTTTGCTGCTTTCAAATGTTGGCTCCACATTGTCCATGGCTTTGTCAATAATGTGCAAAATTCCATTGGAAGCAATAATATTTCCCTGCAGAAGTTTCCCTTTCCTCCTTCCTCCTTGGATTCTTATTCTTAATTGATTATCCTGAAAGAAGCCAGGCAATGGATAATGAATTCTTTATTATGAAATGACAACAGAGTGAGTACACATGTTGAATGCAGTCTAAGATCCCATTACATTTCCAACACCTGAGAAATTTAAATCTGGGGAGGCTAAAGACTGCTTCCAATGCTTATCAAGGAAATGGAAAAAATTCCTTTGGATCAGGATCATGTTCTTTTTGTTCCAGGACAGCATGGTTCAGAACACAAACAGGGACAGGTCCTGTGGTGAAAGCAGTGTACCTGAAAAGGCGCTGATGACTGCTACTAATAAAAATCTGCCAGGAAATGATTTAAAATGTCATTGTACTGAAAAGATCAGCTCCTGTAATCTCAAGGGACTACAACCCATTTCCTTATATTATATGTATATTTAAAATAATAAAATGTTGCTGATTCTGCACTGTACTGAAGCCTGCAGGAAAAAAACAGGGCTCAGACAGCAATGGTATTTCCCTGTTAAAAACAGAGTGCGTACTCATCGAAGATAAAAAATAGATCTCTCTCCTCAGATGCCACTGATCTACTGCAAAACATGAGAAGTACTTGATTTCAGCCTCCACATAGGCCCAAGCCATTAAGAGACACTTAATGGGCCAAGACCAATAATTCTAGATTATAAAATCTAATATATTATCCATAGAGAAAAGTTTTTTTGAACTGTGACATCAGACTGCCCTGATGTTTACTGACATCAGATAAGCTGGGCTAATGATGAACTCTACTATTCATTTTTCATGGTTAATTGCCATGTACATTCTATTTATGCTGAAGACTTCTATTTCCTGCATTGTTTGAAGGCTGCTGATGCTCAGTGGAAGGTGGGTTCTGCAGTGCAGTCAGTATTTGCTCCATGTAAACAGTATACACAGGTTTCCAGCATAAATGCTGGGCTTCTCCCTCCCCATGTCACTTCTTCTTTCATTTAGGCTCTCTTAATGCTCCTCCTTCCCTTCTTCCCTCACCCCCCTCATTGGTCATGCCTGCAGATTTAAGATGACTTCATTTTAGCAAACAGTTTTAGAGCAGTCTGTCTTAGTCTGCTATGTCGCTCAGCAGTGAGACATGTCTAAAGGTAATTTTTGTTCTCGCTGGTTTTAGTGGGATCTTTGATGCCAGAAAGATTTCAAGTTTTACTTGAAGTCCTTGTAATGCATGGCCACAGTTGTGCTTTTTCATAATCCAGCAATTATCTTCCACCAGGTGTCTCACTGCAGAGAGAACTTTCCTACTCCTTGTTGAGGAAGCAGAGAGCAGTATTCTTGCTGTGGTAGGCTAAAAGGCCACTTACCTTTTCTCCCTTTGATATCTCTCCTGACTTGCCAGTCAAAGTATATATTACACTGGTATTATTCAAGCTACTTGTGTTAAGTTGACCAGCAATAACATGGAGTTTAGCGAAGTACTGGGCTTTCTGTTTATTATTCAGAAGATCCTTTATCTAGAAAAGCAGAGGAACAGAGATACATTTCAATGTAGGCTTCATAAAAAAAAAAAAAAGTCAAGGTGAATGCTTTTTTGTCCTCTCCAGCTGTTACATTCTGAAATTATGTGTTTTCCTCTGAAGTCAGGTGATGGAGTCTGAATAGAGACTTCTCTTGGTTTCAGTTCAGCTCACATTACACCCTTATGTCCCTGCATGAGCAGTAAGTGTCTCCAGAATTGTCCTGATGTCAGTGGAAGGTAATGGATGCTGACTACTTACATATCAGCCTCCTCTTTTTTTTTCCTCACTAAAGCCATTATTTTTTGTATCCCCCTTATGTAAAAGGTGACCTGCAGGCCTCCCTGCTGGCAATTCAGATCTTAATTCAGCCCCTGTCTCAACCGAGTGAAAAGACTTTAATCATAGACATGTAAGACAGTCCAAAACTTGGAAGCATGAGAGTGTTTTACCCTAATTCACCAAATTATTTTCTTTTTCTTTCAAGTAGGAACAATACAATCTCTGGCCCCTAGATATAAATGTGTCCAGAAGTGTACTAGAGCAAAGAGTTCTTCTGTATCTCTTCAATCAAAACACAACACAGATGAAAGATTTCTGAAGGAGCCAAATTCCCCCTAATGTAAATCCCTTTATCTTGTTTACTTACATTTGTACCTTTGAGCCCCTTGTTTGTTGGTACAAGCACGGTAAATGGTCCCAGAGTGCTCAGCGGCCATTCATAGGTATTTTCTTATGAAAAGAGGAAATAAAAAAGTTTAAATGCCTGTGAAAAGCTCATTGGACAAAGGGACTATGCAAAGTACTCAAGAGCAGAATAAGAAAGAATACTGTCTGTGGTTATTAAATGTTAATTTAAGATTCTGAATCCAAGTTATTAAAAGATAAGAGACAGATGGGATGTGAAATCCAGGTGCTGCTGCATATTTGACGCAGGATGAGGCAGAACATTCAGAATGCTTCTGTGGCATGCAGGCCAGGGCAATGAACATGAAACCAGCAGTTTCTTTGGAGAAGTGTCCTTACAGGAAGACAGCCTTCTGCTTTAAATCAATTCAGTCTCCATAGGGTGAGGGATAACCTGCTGGTGGTGCAAATATCAGCAAACCCAAAACTGGTAATCAAAACTGATGCACTGAAAGTTAATTAGAGTTTATTTACTACCCAGCGGCTTTTTCTTTGTCCAAGTCAGCAGCATGAGACCACTAGTTCTACAGCTGAAAGCATTAAATATTTCTAATATTCAGCTCTTTTTCTAGAGGTATAAAATCAGAACTGAAAAAATATTTACAGTCATTACTGGTGTGTTGTATCTCAAAATTAATAGGCTATCTTACAAAACATCTGTATATTCTTAGCTTTTGAAAGACACCAGTGTGTAGTGAATGTAATGTAAGATAACCTGTGTGGTCAATGTGTCTTTGTAGCTTCTGGCTAGTAAATCATACAGCATATTTATGTCCAAAACTTAACCAAAGAACATAAAATCTGGATTGTTAACAAATGGTGATACTCAGCACATTGGGCACTTTTCAAACACATAAGGAGAAATACACAAAGAAACTGCAGCTGAGCTCTCAGTGCTGAGGCAATGGGTATTGGTCTTCAGCGCTGAATGTGAAGGTTAGAGCCAGATTTTGCCCTTGGCCAGCTATGGGGGATTCTCATTCTCTTCTGGTTAGGAATTAATACTCTTCATTTTAGTTGCTGGGCTCTGTGAAAAGGATTGAGCAAATTATATTAAACAGAAGATTATTTTTTTTCATATTTACAAGTTTAACTCAAAGATCTAGCTCAGTTTTAGCAGTGTTTGTTCATAGCTCAAATGTTTGGCCGTGAAACAGATGATGACGAAGACAGTTATGCTGTTCACTTCACAAGGTGACTGCAGTAACTATGAAGAGCTGGAAGCTGTGAGCCCTGATAGGGGCTCCATCTCACCTCTTCAGGTAATTTGGAATGTGGAGACCACCCAGCTGTGGCTGAGGTGCTCTGCTGGGGGGTCCTAAGGGTGATGGAGACAATGGATGGGATCAGTCCCTTCATCTTGCCTGCGGCCTCTTTCCTGGTGAAAGCAATGCCGCTGCTGATGGCTAGGGACTGGGGAAGAGAGACCCAGCTGGGAATGACAGTGTTTTTGGTGGATTACTGTGTCTTGTTCTAGATCTAATCTCAATTGTCAAAATCAAGGGGGGCAGGGAAGAAGAAGTGGGATGATCCCACTTATTACACTACAGGACAAAATCCACTGGTGATATTAAATGATGTGTGAGGGGTTGAGGAAACAAGTTTAGCATTTCTGCGTGGGAGTTCTTGCACACTATGTGGCGTGATGAGCAAAGCAGCTTTAGATGGTCTGAGGACTTTGCAGAGAGTTCACATGCACTCTCTGCCATGCTGTTTGTGGCACCTTCCTATGGCAGGGGGGCTTGGGGAAGACAGGGCAAGATCAACCCACTGGGCAGGAGCTGCCTCTGCTTGTGTGGTTACTTACCCAGAAGCGATAGGGTGGATGTCAGCTTGCCCTGCCATCGTCCTCCCACTTCTGCATTCAGGTCTTGGAGGCGCTCCATGATGTTTCCATAGCACACAAAACCATTCCCCACAGAGCCCCCCTGGCATGTACACCTGTGAAGAGATTGTGACCTTAGCTGTGTGCTGGTGCCTTGTAGTGTCATAATAAACTCGCACCAGATGTTACCTATTGCTTCTCTGAAGACATTTTCAGGGAGCACCAATGCATTTTAGTTTAATCTTTGCTTCTGTATGCTGTGAAGTATGTCACTGTGCAGGGCAGCCTGATGGCTTCTTGCCTGACATGATGTTCTCCTGTCAGCTGGGTCAGGAGGGAGCAGTGTCTGTCTTGCCGGACCCCTTTGAACAGGGGCTATTTTATGTCCCTGGCTGCAGTGCAGCGTCTGGTCCCAAAATGTTGTGATTGCTGGAGCCCAGAAAGCTACTGAACCTGCCTGTTTGTGGGTGAGGAGTGAGTACAGAATAAATGTGTAGGGTGCTACCTTGGCAGCGGAGAAGCTGTTTTGTGAAGACCTCACTCATGATGTGGGATTTTGCAGGATTAATGGTAGTTAAAGGGGGAGATGGCAGCTCATCAGTCCTTGCAATAGCTCTATGGGTCTTGTAGAAAAAGCAGACAAGGTTGTCAATCTTTTCAACAAAGTAAAGTTGTGGTTTGTTACCCTGCCCTTTAAGAAATGCAACCATTTTGGGCAATAATACTTGTACTTTCAACATTATTTTTTTTTCCCTGAAGCTGTTGAAGCACAGAATCCCATGCTTTTTTAGATGTATATGTTGCGTTGTTGCTATCTCTGTACTGGAAATAACATCTAATATGTAACACCCTGGCTGTCCCCTGGGCATTCCAGCCTATGAGAGATACCGGTAAAGAATGCCTGACACTACTATGGGTGTCTAAAACAAATTTAGGTTGCAGTGCTTGAGAGATGGGCAGGCAATGCCTCAAGATGGGCTCAGTGTCCACTACATTTGAAGTAGTGCGTTGCAGTCAAGGCAAAATGTAAAGGAAACTTACGAAAGAACCACCACAAGTATCAGCCTTACATTTTCTGTCTTATAAGGGAGGGAATACTCCTTATGGAAATGCAATATTGTGGCCATGAAAGACCTCAGCTTCATGGGAGAAGTGGGGAAGAAATTGTTGGTTGTCGATGTGATTGACATACACTTGCTATTAGGTGCTGGTGGGCATAAATGGTTGTGCATTTTGAAAAGCAACTGGATCTCGGGTGTGCCTTGACCTTGTGTCAGCCTGACTGTTCATTAGGAGAGGTGGTTAATACTTTCTAAAACATCTGGACTCTTCAAACCTTGTCAATGTGAGGGGCCATTGATGCCTGATGGTTTTGCCAATCTGAGTTCCTTCTGTTGCAGTCTTCAGGAAATCAGCCCCTCCTTGCCTGCACTTGGGAGATTGGCTAGAGCTGTCACCTCAGTCATTTACTCATCCTTAGTGCTAAAATTAAAGCAGGCACACATCAACACACATAGAGAAAAAAACCCCGTAACTGTATTCAGGAAGCTAAACAGCTACATGGTATGTGTTGTCAAACACTGGCTTTTAATTGTGCCTTTCCTAATTAAGTCTGCAGTGTGTTCAGTATTCATATAAGCCCTACCCATAATGATTCATCTCTCTGGATATTTTTTCTAATGGCATCATTAGAGAAGGAACATTACTTTGTGTGAGCAAAAAATGTTCTTTATATAACTAATGACCTAATCATTTGCATGGGCTGGTGGTTAGAAACACATATCTGCCACTCACATCTGCCCCACAGCAGCATCAACCCGATGCCGAACCCTCTCCTGTTTGCCACATATGGTCTCTGCTGTAGCTGTATCTCTAGAGATAGCAATAGTATTTGAAAATCCCCAGAGTCCCTGCAATCTGAGGAGCTGCATACAGTCTCAAAGGGGTGCTGCATTTTGGGGCAAGAGGCTCAAGCTTTGATTCTTTCTGATTCTGGGTAAAAAGGGAGACTAAAAGCATCTTAAATGTTTAGAATGTGATTCTGATGGTGAGCCCTCTTAGTTTTAAGGGAATCTCTTGTGCAAAGAGAGTATGACTGTGGAGCCCAGATGGAAGGTTTAGGGGTGGGATAGAGGATCATCTGTTCCTTGGGAGCTGATCCCTTTCTTCTCTTGGGGTAAACATTGCTGTATTGATGTTGACAGCCCCCTTTCACTTCTGAGCAGAGAAGAAAAAACCTGAGCATTCAAAGAAGCTGAGAAATAGTTTAGTAGAAAAAAGGAACTATTGTTTAAATATTGCACAAATCAGATTAAGGTTTCAAAATAAAGCTCTCTTCTCTTTTTCATCAAATGTTCATAAAGAAGCAGATGGTTAAACAGAGTAATTTTTTTTGGCTATCATTTCCAGGGTCACAATGAACCGCAGAAATACCTACCTAGTTTGAAACTTCCTTTCTGAGGACAATACTGCTTATAACTGAGTGGGCATCCAAGTAACATAGTTTGGATTTGTATGCTGAAGGAAAGAGTTTAGCAATTACAGGTTAGCACCTATTGCATGGGATTGAACCCTTCAACCTGTCTGTTCCCTCACCCCTTCTGATGAAGTAATTTACTCTGTGTGTCAGGGTTTGGGAAAGACCAGCTGGGTGAATGACTAGATCTGTTTTGTCTTAGCTTTGTCTAGAGGAACTGCTTTGCAACTCAGAGTGCATATGGATTTACAGGTTTTGTTTTAGTTGCATGGCGTATGGGCTGGGTGCCTCTAAAGAGAAGCAGCTTTACAACAAACTCTGCTGGACTACCTAAGCTTAGCTGTTTGATGTTTTCATGGTATGTTGGACAGACAGTATAGGCAGGACTGAAAAAGATGGGAACTATTACTATTTCAGCTTACTCAGAGAAAGGGGAAGAAAACTTTTATCTCACTATAAGAGGAAACATCAGCTTTCTGTCTCCATTTTACCAAACCTCTATAATAGAGTTTTGGTTTATGAAGCTACTAATTTCTGCGTTGAAGACATAGAGTAAAAATAAGAGTGAGATTGAGAAAGAAAATAATAGAGTTTATCCGATGGAAAGGCATTTCTCCTCGGAAACCAGAGAGGTTATGATCTAATATGCAGTATAATTCTGCACTGGCTGAAGTTTCGTAGCTTCTAGGCAAGGCTGAACATGATTACTGTGCTGAAGTAGTGCTATAGAAAAGTGTCGGCACTCACTCAGGAAAGATGTATGTGGGAACATAAAACAGAGGCAGTTTTGATTTCCAAGGAGGTTGCTGTGTCATATTCACAAACTAAACGTTTGTTGTTTTGCAATCTTTGCCTGTATGAGAGATTTATTCCTGTACAAATCGTTTGATTCTGGAGTAAGTACAACTGTCTATATGGGGGAAGCTAATAGCATAACTGTATCATTAATAAAATCAAAATGCAAAACAATGGAAAGGAGGCATTGCAATTTTGTGGCCTCTGCTACAGTTTTGTGTTTTAGAAGAAGGAAAAAAAACAACAAAAAAAGCGCCCTCCCAAATACATTTAAAATCTGGGATGCAGCCAAAATACAGTCTGTCACTTATCAGAATTAATTTTGTTGTGCCCCCATTTTCCAATCAATGTTTTTCTTTGTAAAGTTCCTCTTTCATTAATGGATTGTCCTCAGTTGGAAACTATTCAATACAGTTTCAATTTTTTTGCCAAATAGGTAGTTTTAGTTTGATTTGAATCCCACTCCATTCTTCTGTACTTGTTTTTACCATTAAGTGTCATTGAATGAATGATGTGCAAAGCATTTGGATTATTTTTTTCCATTCCCCACTCAAAAATTTTTCATTTTTCCATTCTGAAATCCTCAAAACTTCCTCAGCTTTTGAAAATTCTCTTGCAACAGTGAAACAGTGATTAATTAGAGGAAAAAAAAGCTCCTGATTTGTGCGATGTGGAATTTTATTTTAAAGTTTCAACTCAAGTACTCTAAGTATAGTATGAGTATATACTAAGCAGTTTGAGTCACATACTATGATCTAGAACTGAACTAGGGGATATTCTAGATAAATTTGTTTGAAATGCACAATAGCTTACATAAAAGTGATGTAGATATTACACTGCAAGAGAAAGCTCTTTGATGATGCAAGAACTGGCAATAAAAATATTCTCCTGAGTGAATGCTTTCTGTCTACAGATCTATATGATAATTTGTTCCTAACTTACAATGAATGGCCTGTCTTGTCTTTCGCATTCAAACTCTCAGCTCCTGAAAACTAACATTTCAGGAACAACTCCTTATACCCAGTTCTTGCCATCACTGGCCTATAGAAACATGTAAACCAAATTCTGTGAGAATTGGCTTAACAAAGAGAGCTTTGTTAAGTTTAGTGTTAAAAATTGAATTTCTTCCTAACATCTGTGTAGCATACTTCTGTACAGGAAAACAAACTCTGCCAGAAGTTTTGCAGTTTCCCACCTGCTTGACTTGAGGTTTTGAGGAATCTTCTGAATTTGATGCTACTTTCACAGCATGGGGGTCAGATTCCCTAGTTGTATCTGTATTAGTATACTAAAAAGAGGGAGGGCTCTAGCACTGTTCCATGATAATTAATGCTGATTAATTTTTAGCATGCTGCCTGGCATGTTTCTGGCCCACACCAAGTAGCATTTTCCCAGGCAGTGCCCAGGCACAGTCAAAGGGATAGCATGTGCCAGGGACTGCTGCCAAGAGGCAGTTACTCTGTTTTGGAAGAGACTTCAGCTGTAAGACAGACAACGCTGCTTGCCCTCAGAAAGAGAAAAGAGGTTTTGGTCCTTTTTATTTACTAATGTAGAAATGACCTCTGAGTGCTATAAAAATAAAACTTAACAGGTATTACCAAATGGTCTGATGAAATCTAACACTGTGTTAATTGGCTGACCCTAACCCCATTAAATCTGGTGATTTGCCCTTGATAAAGAGGCCATTATTGATAACTTTAGGAGGTGTTCATCCACTGCATTTGTTTTAGCAACCCATTACTGGGGCAGGAGGGAGAAACTGTGTGAAACTTTAATAAGCAAAAAGACTCACGTAATCTGTCCTGGTGCAACTGTTAAGCATTTAGCTCTTTTATGGCAGGTGTTGTTTGTTTCACAGATGTCCATCCTGCTGCATCCTTTCCCAGGTACAAAGTTTCTATAATGTTCCTTGCATTCACAGTGGGACTAAATCAGAAGGATGTGAGAGGGGAGAGAAAAATTAGCCATGCACAAATTGTGGTTTTCGGCATACTTTCTGGAACTAGAGTTTGAAAACAATGAGACTTAGTTAATCACCTGGTGAGTTCAAATGCAAGTATAAAACTTACCCATATTTTTACAGCTCCTTTCTGGGTTTTATCCACTCCAGAAGACTACTGACTCTCATATAAATTTTCTTCAGATAAAGCACTGTAGATTCCCTTTTCTGACCAGAGAACATTTAGAATCAGTGTGGCTAGGCCAATTTTTTCACCTCTGGCACACCATTAACAAGTGAGGTGTATCATCACTGCCGCTGTACACACCAGCCTGTGGGTGTCAGCTATGTGCAGCTCATCGAGACATGAACATGAACTGCAGAACAACTCTGGGTGATTGAGTCCCTTTTTGGCTCTTCAGGGTTTCCAAGCAAACCTGGCATGGCCTTCTCAAGTCTTGCTTTTTTGACGATGTGAATTTTACACACTGAAATCTGAGCCAGTTCTCAACATCACGAATAACGTGCAGTCTATATAAAGTGCCACTCATTGATTGTTCCCAAAGACCCAGATTACTTCTTTCCTAAATAAACTAACTTCAGGCGTGTATCTGTGGTACCTGTGTACTAGTTCTACAAGCCCTCTGTGGTCAGAGAGACAAAATTTAAGTGGGAGAAGATTAATTTCAATGCCTCCATTTTGGGGAGGCAAATCAGAGCCAAAATACCCTCAGAAAAAAGAACACCATTGCCATTCCCATTTTCAGAGGGGGAAACATGATATATATACATTGAAAAGGGAGCTAAAGGGACTCACTCTTGGTCAATTTGGCTTATGCCAAATCTAAGAGTAGAGTTTGATCTCCTTGAGACCTGTTTCCATACCTGCATGGTTCCTTTTTTGGGACAAAGCATTATTTCTTCTTAGGCAGTTTCCATAGGAAACATCTGGGGCCCTCATTTAACACTGACCTTTCCTGGACTGTCATAGATGCAAATGGTGGACTGTGCCGGGCAGTTCCCATGTGCTGCTTGGCAAGGGTCTACAGGCAAGCAGATCTGACCATCCCCTCTGTAACCTTCCTGACAGGTACATTTGTGCTGATTTGGTCCGAGGTAAACACAGTCAGCATTCGGATCGCAGACCTTTTTGGAGCATGGGTTGATAGCTTATGAAAAAAAAATGAGGTAAATGAATTATTGCCCACAATTCTCAAATTGAAGACAAGGATTTAGCAGAGCACCTCTATGCCAAACAAAGCCTGGGTAGACTAAACTTTTCATAACAGCGAAGTCCAAAGTATGATGGCAGCATGAAGGCAGAAGGGAGGAATGCTAACATAGCAACCAACTGTTTGCTTCTAAACAGAAATGATCTCTTAACTTGGCAAATTGAGCTATAAACAGATTAAAACCTGTAACGTGCTCATTAAAATATCACAACTATTTCCTTGTTTGTAGTGGATTTTAACTAGAGAAGGTCAGGTAGGTGGTGCGAGGTCTGTACAAGCTTTGAGCACATGTTAGATCAGTTGGAAAATATTTCTCAAGACAATAGGCCTTCACTGTTTTCTTTCTGGTAATTAAACAATATAATGTCATCAGTTCAGCTATATGGAAAACTGGCCAGCAAGTACTTTGGTCGAGTCTTCAACACTGCTCTATTTTCAGGATTGCACTAGAAGACCATTAGTTATTTCCATGAACCATTTTTTTCGAGGCAATGGCATTGCTTGTTCTTTTTCAAAATCAAGCAGTGCTTGGAGAGCATCTTTGCACACCTTTGTGTCCAGTTTAGGTTATGGTTAAGCACACAGTGTAGCTAGAAGATGGCAGGCCATGAACTCACATAAAAAGTGATGCTTCTCACTGTTTTCCCCTCTTCCCTTTCTTACCTCTCAGCTGGGACTGAGAGAGTTGACAATGCTCAGCTTCATTTTTTCAAGCCTTCTCTTCTGTTCCAATGTGAAATCAAGCTCACACATATTCACATGCTCAAAATCAACCATAAACAATGCCACCTCCAAGCTGAGCCTGAGGCAGCCACCACTATCCTCACTTAAATACTTAGATTCTCTGGAGGAGCTGTTTGACCTTTGCTTCCTAACCAGTCAAATTTAAAACACACTCTCTTAAAACCACTTATCTAAAGGCACTGGGACAGAGCATCAGCATCCATGCAGGCTGCATCAATATAGACCCCAAGAGAGGGAGAGATAGTAACATCCTGCTTCTCTGCTGATTTCCGCATTTTCTTTGTGTCTTACTTGTCTGTGCTGCCTACTAGAAGAACCTCACATTCCCTGAGGAATGACCTGCAGATATCTTGCCCTTGGATGGTGTTCAAGCCTATGCAGAGAGGATGACACCGTAGTTAGGACCAAGAGGACCGAATGCAAGTATTCCCAGATAGAATAAAGAAGCGTTGCATTTGTGGCCTGATCCAAGCCAACATTTACTAAATAGTGCTTCCAGCATCAGATGAAGCAATTTTCTTTGTTGCAATTGGTCTAGAAGGAAGAGTTGGTGCTGTAAGACACAATGTATGTAGAAGAAGGAAAATCTGGACTCATAATACAGTAAATTCAGGCATTCAATGGCAAGTTGAGAAGTCTATAAAGACTCCCAAATTTTTCCTCTAGCTGAGATTCTTTAGCTTCATTTCATGAAAAATAGGAAAGCTAAAATGAGCCTTACTTGTCTGTAGAGTTTATGCTCAGTGATGGAGCTGAGCCGCTACATGATGGATGTTCAGTAAATATAAGTCCTTGGTCCCTGTTGTTGATATTTATGGAAGCAAGCTTTGAGGCTGAACTTTAGCAAGCAGGAGTAGACGGGAGTAGATTTGTAAGCACTGATGACCTCGTATGCACCCTGTGTATTTCAGGGGGCTTTCCTACTTTATTCTGGTTTCATGGACTGAAACTTGTTAGCAATTGAATGGATGTGATTCTGAAGGAGTCTAGTTTGTGCTTTGGGATATGAACCCATGAAACATTAGAGGGTGAGATTTGGCTCCAAAGCACATTCCATATATCTGAACTATAGTACTAATGATGTTGTATTCGAAGAACTAGGTAGACATGAAAATTACTCACGTTCACATCGTGTACTGTCCCCATGATAGTTGGGCAGACATGTGCATTCCAGTCGTCTTCCATCCTCACCTGAGGCAGTACATCTGGAGTTTGCAGGGCACTGTAAGGCCTCACATTCAGCTATTGCTGAGGAACAGAGGGTGATAAGTTAAACTATGCCTGCGCACTGTGTCAGGAGGCACTGCATTCTGCAGCAAACCACTTCAAAGTGTGCCTGATTCAGGCACCATCAATCCCATTGCTGTCATCTTTTTTTTCTGCTGACTGAAGTGGTGATGATGGTTATGGGAGTTACAGACAGGGTTTGAGGTTTGATGTTTGTTTGGTTGCTCTTGTGTGTCTAACCTGAAACTAATTTCACATTTGTCCCTACCAATTCTAACCGTATCAGAGATGTTGAATGTATCTTACGTAGGAAACAATCTACTTACGCTGATCACAGCTGAGCCCTTTGTATCCAGAGAAGCAAGTGCATCTTCCGTCCCCTGTAATTCCACTGTTGCATACTCCATGAACACAGTCGCAAACTATATGGAGACATGGATTTGCTTTACTGAATAATAATGGTGTTCAGAAAGGGATCGTTAGTGCTTACTCATAGCAAATAGTGTACTGGTCAATAACTTTGGCCAAACCAAGCTTTGACTCGAGTGTCTGAATTTCTAGGCTTCCATTAATGAGAAGATCAATATTTGCAGTTGCACATATCAGTAAATTTGTGCAAAAAAATTCAAAAATACTAATTTTTGAAGGCTCTTAATAGCCCGAGATCTGAAAATCTTCACAGAATACACACTATAAACACCAAATTGACTAGTTGCTAATGCCATAAAATTTGTAAAATTTGACATACACTCTGGAGCCAAAATGGGATATAACATGTTATATAGACCATTTTTATAACTGTTAACAAATTGCTTGAGTTTGCTTCAATTCTATTGGTGTCTCTCAAACACCTCAAGAAGAGATGAGTTTTGTGACTTTTTTTTCCATCCCTAAACAGAATTTATTTAGTTAAAAGCATAATTAATTACAGTGTAGGTCTCAGGCTTCTTTCCTTTTCCTATACTCTGTCATTCCTGGTTATAAACCCTGTGACAATAAGGACAAAAGATGCTGCATTCAGAGTCCAGGCAACTATGAAACCCTGCTGTAAGTGCTTTTTGAAGCCTTAGGTATACTCAAAAAGGTTTCTAGTTATAACTGTTTGAATTGTGGTAATGATGCTTTTTAAAAAGGCCATTTACAGTTACACTTGGAAAAGCCTATAAGATGTATAGAGTTGTATTGGTGACTTCATGTTTAAGCTGCAGTGAGGCAGCATATCCTCTTCCCCTTAAAAATATATCCTGTGTTCTTGCAAGTCACCTGCACTAATTAATTATTAACTTCTTACCTATATTTGTACTCACAATATAAAACCCAGGAATGTCTAAGGTATTACTGAAAAGCAATTAGCCACAAATGAAACATTGTTTATATTTTATTTATTCTAGAAAACTTGGAGGAACTCATACATCTGAAAGTTGAAGTGTAAAATGTTGCTTAAATTAATGTGCAGTTGAATCCTCTAGTAGCTTCTTGGAAAATAATTACCTGTATGTATTGAATTCATTCAAGTACCCTATATTCATGAAAATGTTGGCTCAGTTACATTTCTGTGTATCAACACTGTCATCCAGTGGACAGCCGGTGGAAAAAGGGGCCTTTGAGTCAGCAGTGGTGTAGGATTAGTGCAGAAAGGCGAATAGAGATTATTTAAATTGAGATAATTTGTAACTCTTTAGAAGTAACATTATGTAGATCTTGAGGGGAGAAAGGGAGTTTGACTTAGAGATAAACCAGCAACTATTACAATTTCAGAATGAGACAGTTTTAAAATTTTTTTTCAGGCAGTTTCCTAGTTTGTCAGTTTAATTTTCAGCAAGGGTCAGGAAGGTAAATAAAATACTAGAGATCATTAAGAAACAGGCAAGACTGGAAAATGTTATATAAATATATACAACTGTGATACCTATACATCATAAAAAATACACATAATTTTGGTCCCTACCTCAATGTTCCATTTCTCCTGATAGAAGTATGGCTAATCAATAAAATCATCAACTAGCTAAACCCCAAAATTAAACCAAACCCACCCTTTTTTATACTTTTGACAGAATAGTGGAGCTCCTTGGCACAGAATAGGGTGAAGAGCAAAAGCAAGTTAGATTCAGAAACAGTCTCTGGGTGCTTCTACTCTTTTCCTAGATATAAACTATTGGCCTCCAACACGGGATGCTAGGCTAGAAAGATTTTGGCCTCATTAAAAATGGCCTTCTTTGAGTCAGATATACTGATTTAAATGCCACATGAGCACTGCATGCCTTAATACAGATGGTTCAGTTTGTAGATATGCTTGAAAATCTACCAAACCACTGTAAGCCATGACATATTATGCAGTTGATATATTCCCATCCAATATTTTAAACACCATAACAACCTCCTGTATTTAGATCAAACAAATGCAAATCCGTAACTTAGGCTGAAAAATGTATAACGTGGTAACTGGCTAAAAGGGAGCCATACCTGTGGGAACACATGGATGATTCTAATCCTTAGTTTATTTGACTGTTGGCTCAAAGATATTCAAGACAAGATGCAGATGTTTTTGTAGCACTACACTGAGAGGCCTTTAGGCCCTCTATGCATTTCACTGTGATTTCTTAGTGTCTGAATACAGCTTTCATTCACCTTCTTTTATGTAATCAAATAAAGAAAACTCAAACTTACCTGATGTGCAGTCAGGACCAAATAAATTATCTTCAGCACATTTTTCACAGGCTGTCCCACCAAACCCTTTCTGTGAATTACACAACAGAAATCAAAATTTAAGTTTCTCATCTATTCAGTACAGATAGATACATGGTTAGCAGCCTGAAAACAACCTCTTTCACTGCCAAAAGAAAATAACATGAAAGTTCAATCAGCAAATAAAAAAATAACTACCATAATCTAGACATTGTCTTTTGAATAATCTTCCCCCCTCCACCTTTTTTAAAAATGATTTGTAGATCTTCAAATCAGATGTTCTGACTATCAAGTTAACAATAAACTGCAGTAATCACTCCTAATGCCCTAATCAGTCTTACAACTGTTAGGTTGCATTTTCTGACTATTTCTCTCTCTGTCTCTTTTTCACATGTCCCCAGAGGAAACATTTTTGATGTAAAGAAAAGATCAGCCAGTAGAGGGGGAGGTAGAAAAGATTAATTGGAGCTATTTTCTTAAAAAAATTCTTTTTGTCTGAAGTTAAGCACTATATATTGCACTCTCGGCAAAGGAACATTGTATTGAGAGTTCAGTCGCATGTGTAAGGACTTTCTAATTAGGAAAAAAAGTAGTAAGTAATAAGTAATAAGACACTCTAAAAAAATAGAGGAACTCAAAACACCTGTTCCGTGACGGCAAGATGAAAAAAGTTTTTAAGAATTTCACCTGAATATGCTCAAGAAATAATAGTGTGAAAATTATTGCAATCCAAGCAAAAAATGAACTCCAAGCTGATCTTCTCTGCTATTTCTGGAATACTTACCTTGAATGTATTTATACAGTGAAACATGCGTTATTTCTTAGCAGAGCTTACGTGCTATCATTGTATTTTTTTCATTTAAAAGAAAGGACATACCTGACAAGTGCATGTTCCATTTCCAGTTATACCCTGTGAGCACTGTCCTCTCCTGTTGCATGGTGATGCAGCTCCTCCTGGACATGCTAGACATGACAATGTTTAAGCCATCAGTCAGCTTGCTCTGACCCTTATGCTTCCCTTGCACAGTCTGGAAGCCTCAGAAGCTGCAGGGTTTTGGGCCAGACAGGGACTTTGGGTGACAGCTGCTGTTTTGCAACTGCCCAAATCTCCTCACTAGAATCTCAGCTTCAGCAGAGACCATCACCTTTTCTTGTCTGTAAACTTAAGCTAGTGACTACAGTCAAAGAATTGAACAAAAAATTAGTTTTCTTATTCTAAAGTACCATATGACTTTGTCCCTGAAAATCCATCTCTGCCTGCAGACACTCTAAGCTGTTAGCTTTTCTAATGCAAGTGGAGTTTGCCTGATCTTTCCTGTATGTTAATACAACTCTGACAGATTGAAAATTTGCTCTCAGAATTATATTTGATGCTAAGTTAGAGTTTAATAAGACTTACCCTTCTGCCCTCCAGATTACATTTGCTTTATGTGGAAAGTTTTTCCTTTTCCCTGCTACTTTCGTAGGACTGTGATAATTGATTCAAATGATCTTGGAATTTAGAACTTGGATATCTCACAAGCAAATTCCATCCAGTGGGCTGGGGTCACTATCAAAACTTGTGTGCCAAAGATGAGTTATGCTCTTCAGATCCTCTGGTGCTAAAACCATGATTACAGGCAGTGGTATGCCAGGTGGGACAGTGTGAACAAAAACCCTAGCCAGCAGGATTGAATAAGAAAAAATGACCATATTTCTAAATAAAAATAGTTTATTTTTTGTCTGAAATGTTTCAAAATTCAAATTTTAAAAGATTGTCTATAGGAACTGTATATTATAGTATCTTTTAGCCAAATAATTTTGTCAGGCTTTTTCTCCTGTAGGAATACTCTTATTTTTCATAGTTGTCCAGCCCCTCCTTGGAAATGATTTATTAACTCTCTTCTATAAGCCCTTCCTTCCTGTAACTAGAATTCCCATTAGGTACCATGATTCAGATACAGGTGGTGTCTAAGTGTATCAAACTCCTACTGGCCTCACAGATACTCTGCTGCACCTTAGTCGTAGATTTATTGCTTATAAAGAGCCTCAGAGTTTGTTCTGTGTGAGTGGAGCTGGGCAGCACCGGATTTATGCTCCCACTGCCTAACTTAATCCTGGTTTTGAGTGTTTAAGTAAGGTGGAAGTTTTAATAAAAATGAATTTGATTTGGACAGAGTGATGAGGAAATAAGTGGATGTGCCTATGCATACATCTAATTTCACTGAAAGCTTTGGCTTTGTACCAATCTGTTAATATTTCTTAGTTTATTCCTTAATGTAGTCTGTGAGGTCTATCGTATCCAGGTAAGCTTCTTGTGAAAAGCCAATAAATTTAAAGACAAACATTTTAGTGCAGTTTGTCTTGTACATGCTGAAATTATGTGTATTAAGAATTTAGGTGAAATAACCAGAATTGAGGTAAAGTAATACATGTGTATATATATATATATTTTAATCTTTAAAATTGCTTTTAGTGAATCTTGTTTTCTGGATACTGTATGATACCTAAATCTCATCTTTAGGACTTGTGCCAGTTGTTTAGTACTTGCAGGGCGTGGGAAAATGTTACCTGCACTGATGCTTTATTGAATGTGCAAAGATAGAGAAAACTCAGTTTGTGGTATAACTTCTAGGAAATGTTATGTTAAAATTGTTGACAAAATAGGCTTTTTTGCAGTTGGCATTCATCACACTTCCCCTTGTATTCACTGCATCTTGTCTCTTGTTTTGATACCATTACCAAGGAACAGCTTTATCAGAAGTTCAGCAAATTTACCAAATCGTTGTACAAATTTGGGCAGGCAGATAAAGTGCTTCTTGCAACCAGGGGACCACAGGAGGCAGTGCTGGGACACAGGAGCAATGCTGGGCACAGTCACCTGCTGCCACCCTCGGGAGAAGTGAGACCTTTGCTTTTATTGAGGATGTTTTTTGAAAAGCAGTGAGAAAAAGATGTTCTTGCTTATCTCTTACAGCAGTCAGAGTATAGAGGCCAAATCTTCTAATCTAGGCCAAAAGAGCTTAAACCTATCAGCCTTTTTTTTGCCTGATGCAGTTAAATTCAGCACCTCCCAAGTGTCATCAAATGCAGCCTCTTAAAATCCTTTGCTTCACCTGACTCCCTGCGAGGCTGAAGCAGTGGGTAGAACTTGTGAAGGTGTGTTTTGGACCATTTAATTGCGTAGAATTAAGTTTATTATTGTTCCTCTAGTTTTTTGGTTTTTTTTTTAACTTTTCACAATTTTTCCCCTCTAGTCTTACAGTTCTTTCTACTCAGTTGGTCATATCATACACCTTTCAGTTGTTACCCAGGCTTTTCTTTCGAGCCATGTAAATATTTGCCCAGAGTGGGAACCAGTGCTGGGGTAGGGAGTAGCTCCGGCTGCAGTCCATCAGTTACGGACAGGGGACATCTGAGATCCACCAGCTGTAGTGTCTGTGGTTGGGTGATACTGGCAGTGTTAAAAGGCCGTGATCTTTCCCCCTGGACCTTTCCCCACTTGGTACTTTTCCCTTTTGACTTTATGACTTTTTATAGAGGGGTTGGTGTGTGGCTGGATGGCTCGGTGTGCTTTGTGGGAGGGAAAGGGACAAGAGATCTTTCATTCACATTGTGCATTTCAGCATGTGCTATCATTTAAGGAAGTCAGAGTGTTATTTAAGACCTAGTTTTGTCCTTGCCATCAGATGCTAAACGTGAAGTAAACCCCTAGTCAGGGATTTTTCACTGGCCTCAGGAAGGGCTGTCTTTCCTCCAAACATTTCAAGTCATGCTGTATCCTACTAGAGAGATTGTGATAACATAGAGAGCTATTTTCTTCCTACAAATGACAGCAGAAACAATACTGAGACCTTGATTTCTTTCTTTTTGGGGTCAGGAAGTTTGTCCAAAGGAAGAGAGGGCTTCCTTGCCTCTGCACCCTCCTTCACACACTGTTACAGGCAGGGCTTCGAATCAGGGGCAGTGAATTCTGCTCCTCTCCAGAACTACTGATGTCCCTTGTGTGGCTTCCCAGGGCACTCTCAATATGGGATGATGAGCACTAAGGCTGCATTTGGCAGTGGGATGGTAAACTACCAACCTCAAGTGGTTATGTTCAGAAGAACACATGACCACGTACTATGCACTCAGATATTTGCTTGTGTTTTCTATTGCAATAGCTAAAAGTTGGAGTTGGACTGTTTTGCTTTAGTAGATAAATAACTGCTTAAATAATAGCTCGGGCTAAAATGATATTTTTTTAATCTACTTTGTGGACAAAAGGACTTCACAGACATTGAAACAGACCTTGACGCCATTAACTAAAGGAGGAAACACTTTGACTGGGCAGAGAAACTTCCTCTGTGGGTCTTGATGCCTATCTTGGTAGCCAGAGATTTGATGCACTTGTGGAGATGCTGAAAGGCTTTTCCTGAGGAGGGGGTAGCTTATTACCCCTGCTTCAGTAATGGCCTTCAGATTCGCTGGCAGTTGAAGAAACTATTTCAAGTTGAGCTAAAAGAAAAGACCCTCCCTGCATCAGAAAGTAGAGAACTAAAGAGGTTTGGAAATATTTCAGACACAGGTGAAGGTGGTTTTGACCTAAAATGAAACATTTAAACTTGTGGTTTGAAAATCTTATCTTTTAAAATATGTTGTGGAGATCCTCCCAAATGAAATAATTTTGCAGGCATTGACTAAAATGATTTGTTTTGAAAATCTCAAAACCACAGAGGTTTCCTGAGGTTTTTTAAGTTTCCTATTTTTTTTCTTTTTAAATGCAGCTTTGAATATCTGTTTCTCTTTAAATCCTCTAAGTTTTAGCTGAAAACTGCTGTTTACTTCTATAACAAGCTCTGAGGACCAAACTTCTTATAGCAATAGGTTCTGAAAAGAACGAAAGTCACTGCTTTATTTCTGTTCAAACTATATATTTAAAAAAAACCCCAACCAAACCAAAACAACTTACTCATGCAGTCTGGGCCCCAGTGTCCCTGGCAGCACTCAGGTTGTTCAAATTCCTTCACACAATGATGCCGACATCCCGGAAAAGAAAGTGTGTGTGTTTTAATTTCCAGATAATACCTGAGGAGAAGTTGGAACTGCTTTAAAGTACTTAAAAGCCTCCCATGGGGGAAAATAAAATTCTTAACTTCCTCTTCTCCTTTCAGTGTCAGACAAGCACTTTAAGCTTAGTTGCACTGATCTGCCTTTTTTTCTTCATTAAAACATACGTTGAATGTAAGGGCCTAAAAAGATCCTTGGATCCTGTTTCTTTTGAATAGTATATTTATCTTCCCCCCCGACATAAATACAGCACTTTTCCGTAAGTTTTGATTTGAAATAGTATTTTAAAAATAATTTAATATCAAAGTTATTTAAATGCTAAGTAAACTCAAAATAGTTGCATTTTCTCTAAAATACTGCTTTTCTTTTTTTTTTCAACCTGAAAGGCGAGATTTCAAATTTACTTTGAGATTTTTTCCCTGTCCTTCACCCCCTCACCTCCCCAACTTAGCAGTTTTAAAAATCTATTATTTATATGATAATATATGATCAGAATAATGCATAAGTGTAATTTGATACTATATATATTTTTAATATATTTTTGTATCATTCATGTCAAGTATGAAGAAAAAACAAGGAAGAGATTATATGATATCACTCAAAAGAAAATCCAATAACCATTAATAGCAATATTTATTTTCCTGTTATACCATTTGCTGATTAAGTTTAAGCATCAAGTACTCTGAATGAAGCTTGAGTTCTGGAGCTGATGAAGCCAATAGCAAATGTTCTATAATGAAATTGCATAGACTAGAGCATTTGTGACATGAATTAACATTTTCTAATTCATTAGGAAGAGTATTAACGGAGAAAAGCTCTGACAGAAGAGATACCTGCAGTCTGGTATCCCAGTCCCATTGGTAATTTTGGTGTAACCAGCAGGGCACTGGGTGTCAAGGTTTAAAGAGCAAGGTACACATTCAGTTTTCATTCTAATGAGCAGCTTTTGATCACATTGCTTCTTCATCTGTAATAGGAGAAGAATAATTAAAAAGAAGGACAAACTCTGCCCCCAGTGACATTTCTGAAAAAATTTACCTCAGGTTTGCTCTCACTCCCAGACACAAGCTCTTTCCTGTTCAGCAGGAGCTCCTGTTTTGGAGCTAAGCTATGTCATAGACCACATATTAGGGCTTTGCAGTAGCCTCGTCTGCACAAAATATGTCCAACCACGGAAGGATAAACCCTTCTAAGGGTAATATTTTTCCTAAGAGTGCTTTATCAACAAATGCTAAGTTCATCAGACTTAACAGTCAGGTTACTGAGACAACACAAGCCTAGGGAGTGTTAGTTCCAAAGCTGCCGACAAGTGCCTTCTCTATTCAATGGCAAAATTAAACAAGGTGTGGAGTAGGTTTCTCATGGCTCTGAGAACACAGAGAGCACAGCACAAGCCTGTGGAGCAATGTTCCTCTCAAAAGTGGACTTCCTGTTATCAGCACCACTGTATTGGACCAAAGGGCTGGGGAAACCTGGCTATAGTGCTATAACTTAAATGCCAAAGGCTTGTGCCCCTTGCTGTTGCGGTCCTAGTTTCAAGAATACAGATCTGACAAATGACTCAAGAAGGTGACAAAAGGAGAAAAGTCTTAGGGTATTGTCACAGCAGTGGCATTATATTTTGGGGTTGTAGAAATCATAGCTGTGAAAATGTCTATATACCCGATATAGTGTCTGTTTCCTACCATTTAAACAGTCAACCTATTTTAAAGCAGCAAGTCTTTGATGAGCTGCACCCAATGTCAGCTTCATCTTCTTTCTTCCTGCTATTTGTAGAAGTAAGTTTACAATTCACAAATGGTGAGAAATGACCTAATGCAGGGTATGATTTTTAAAAACCAGCAAAATAACCCTGTGCAGTCCAGATAGTACTGGACCTTCTGGGTGCATGTGGGATGCTGATGCCTCTTTGCAGAAGCACACAATTGGTCTAGGTGGGTACACTGGCACTTTGGTCTTTCTACATGCCTATTGCCTGGTAGTCCTGGATGAAGCCCTCACCCCTATGGTTTCTCCTCTTGAGAGATGAACACTTCAGTAGCAAAACTCGTGAGTATGTATCACAGACATGATGAGGAGATTGTGTTTCATAACCTCTGAGGGACTACACTTGATTGTCATCATCCAGTTCTAAGTATATTTCAACATCCATTTAGTTGTCAAATTTTAGTCTATAAATGCGCTGTTTAAATCTAAACAGTGGGTAGTGCTCAAGTGTTTGGATAGTGAAGCCCCTTGCTGTGTAGATGCATTTCAGGTATCTTTGAAGTAAAAATGTGACCTTTTTCCGGATGTGGGTATGATGTGGACACAGCTTGATCAGACACTTGGTAAAGTAGTGGTAAAGAACCAAGCAGCACAAATGCACAGCTCATGCACATGAAATCCTATGAGCATTTCCACTGGGTGGTATCATTACTGATAATGCTGAAGAATCGTAAAATCTGGAGTGCTGGTTGATTTTTCTGAGTCTTTTACCAAGTATGCTACTGAAGCCCTGCTCCTTGCACTTGCTTGGTGTAAGCCTGAGGCTGGATAATCTGCTAGGCCTGTAGGGTATTCAGGTCCAGAAGCAGAAAAGCTGTTGGCATTAGTGTTTGAAATGATTTTATTGCAGAAGTTGTCATCAAAAAGAAGGAACCCCACAAATTTTCATTTTTGAAACAAGAAGATTCAAAGGGATTTTTGAAAAGGTAAAATCTAAATAAAAATTACTTATACCCTTTCCCTATGACCAGCTCTACAACACTATTTAGGAATGGTGGTGTTATTTCAGCTTTCTCCCCTTTCCTCATTTTCCCTTTTTGTTTTAGGGAAAATCAAAGAAAGCTGAATTTGTAGTGGTTTTTTTTCTTTTTTTAGAGATAGAATAAATTTAACACATTTCCTAGCACTTTTTGTACATTTCAAAATATCTTTCAGTTTAAAAAACCCAACCCACCAACCATCAACAACAAAACACCTGAAGTGCCTTCCCCTCCTCCAATTATCTCTGCCCTTCTATTTCCTCTTCTACAAGTGTTTTTATTTCAGAATGCAGTAAGTTAAAGTCTCGTGATGTGAGACAGTTTAGAGGACTGCATGTCTCACTGTTGAACTCCTGGTTTAGATTTGTGACCCAATGCTTCCTGCCTCTCTACGAGGGTGATGGAAACATACGTTGTGATATTTCACAGATTCATAGGATTTGTACGTGACAAACATACCACTTCCCCAAAAGACTACAGATCTTAAGTTTATAACTTTGTACAATTACTTTCAATAACTCAATTCCTTAGATTTTTTCCCTTACTTATCTGAAACAGCTTTCTCTTCTTGTAGTTAGTAGAGTGGATAACTTTCACTATAGAAAAATTACTGCTTTCATCTTCTGACTTATCAGGAATCCTAAGAATTTTCTTTTGATAAATGCATCAGCTACAGTCTTTTGCCACATTTCCCATTTTTCAGAGACTTTTTCAGTGTACTCATAACATTTCATTTGAGCTGAATTCTCATGGGGAGTAAACAGATGCATTTCTGTTATTTCAGAGGACTGAATTACAGAGCTCGTGGTTTATAATTCAGTGTCATATACATCAATGTTTGTTGAAGTGGGTTTTTCTTCTATAGGATACAGTATCTGATAACTGCTCTCTCTATAACAGAGTAATACAGACATATAATAATCCATTACTTAAGTAAAAAACTGTTTCTTACCTCATCTTGGACTTGTGATGACGAACACAGTTTCATTGCAACCAAAAAAGCAAAAAAGAATAAAAAACCTGGATTTTTTCCCATTGTGAAAAATTGGATTCTTGTTCTTTTAGAATCTTCCAAACATGAAAACTCAAATTCAGATATAAATTGATTGTTCTTCAGAGGTGCTATTTCTTCTGCATTCTTAGGTAAATAGTTTAACAGGACTCTTGTGTTCCCCAATGTAAATGAGTGTGGGATTTGGCATGCAGAGCTTGCCCAGCCAGGAGAGATTCCAAAATGCAGGGTATTAGCTGAAAGTTTTCACTGGAAAGCTGAATAAAGCCTTCCTAACTGAATGACAGGATATCCTGACAGGGCTCTGGTCATTTATTCCTCTCTCTGAAACTGTTGACAGTACAAAATGAAGGACACTGAACTGTTATGACAGAAGATGATTTCTTCTTTTAGGTGGGCATTGATAGCGGACTGGAGTAACTACTGTGCTTGTTATCATTCGTTTGTTTAACTGATCTAAAGGAGAGCAGTGGATCTCTGAAGTTGTCTTATCAGCCATGTAATTAGCCTTCTGTAAGGGTGCGTCCCCTGAACGTGGTTTTGGGACAAATACTAGTGACTTTATCTCAGGAGACCAAATGAACATCTTCCAGCTTTGGTTAGCTGGATAAAAAGGGGCACTTTTTCTCCCATTTTTGCTTTTTTTTATTAAATAATTTTGACTCATTTTCTGGAGCAAAGCAGAAGAAAATTAACTCAGATATGTTATTGGATATGGTTAGGAGGGATGAGTATACAGACAATTTGATTTGTCAAAAGCAAGACTGTTCTTTCTTCTCAGAGCTCTTCAGCTCTTTTCTGGCACTACTCTTTGCTGCTGCTCTGGTCACTCTTGTGAGGGCAGACTCTCTTGTGTCTTAAATACCTGATAACTTGGATGCCTTCGGGTTGTCACCTTTTCTTGGTGCCCCTGACCTCATAATTTTTTTAGTAATTTGAAGACACTCCAAAAGGCTGCCTTAATACAAAGTTGTCTTTTGTAACATCTTTAATTTTGTGTTGTTTTCCTAAAGAAAGAAGTGTGATATACACATAATATAATGTACAAATTAATCTACTTTTGTTATATGTTCTAACAGAATGTTGCAAAATTGCTGATGGGAGATGGCAGGGCAAGATGTTTCCTGTGGACTCATCAGATCCTTTCCTTTCTGCTATACGATGAGGAAAGTAAATAATTTCTTGTTTATGCAGACATGATAGCAGCCAGGGGTTGTGATGTACATGCTGACAATATGTATGTCCCTGAGAAGGACTGTTTCTCTTTTATGAGGTCAAGGCCTTTTATGCTGCTTTGACCTTGCATACAATGTACAATCTGGCGTGGCGGAAGGAATGGGTCAGGTTTTCCTCCAAGAGCACAATCCTGGAGGATCTTCTCTTCCGTGTGGTGATAGCTCACGGCCACATCCCATTCTCTGTGGGATGTTTGGGAGCGAAATTTGTCCTCCCTCTGCTGCAACTGTGCCTTGTTGGAGCATGGACAGAGTGTCTGACTGGGAAGGGTCTGTGCTACCTGGGTAAAACACGTTTGCCTGGTCCCTGTGTGGGTGATGGCAGCAGCTGACAGCTTCTTCGGCAGCTTGAGGTCAGATGGGTTTCTTGCCTCTGTTACCACTTCAGACAGTACAGCGATGAAAGGAGCTGTAAATCTAGCACGTCCCTTTCCTGTCCTGTAGATCGAGATAAAGAGCAACAACATCAGCTCTCTTGTTATCTGCTCTTGCCTCCCGTATAGGCATTTGTGTGAAGTAAACTCTTTTTCCCTTTCCTTCCTCTCCCTTGTCAGAGCATGGCCTCCCCACTAACTGCCATGATGGCCACTTTCCTTGCTCCAGAGGAACCAGACACCCTTTCCTCCTTTTGGTGGTGGGCATTTTCCTTGTTCATGGAGGTTAAATGCAGGCTGTGCCAGACTCTAACTATAACTCTGTGTGGCTGGCTCCTGCCCTACTTTGGGCAGAAATATAGGCTAATAGGTCCCCTTTCACACAGGACAGGGCTCCCTGGGCCTCGGAGTATGGGAAGGTGGGACCTCAGTGTTTAAAGCAGCCTGTGCAGTGTGGCAGTGTCCCTCCCCAGCCAGGGAGCTGGCACACTGCCTTGCTTGGGAGGAGGCTGTCCTGGCCTGAGGAACCAGCAGCCATGCTGGTGTTGTGTGCTGGCATGCTGTTGGCATGGGCAGGAAGCCCTGACTGCCAGGTTTTGCCCTTTGCTTTTGGAAACATGTTAGTGGTGTTCTCGGCAGGCTGGAACCTGAGTCCTTCCTCCTCTTGTGCCTGGCCCACAGAATGCTGAGGAGTCCCCTGAGATCCCCAGTGGGGATTTCGTCAATGTTCTGCCCTGCATGTTGGCACAACTGTGCCAACTTTTGTCTTTGGCCATCCTCCAACTCCTTCTCTTGATGTGTTTGCATCCTGTCCTGGCCTTGCAGCCCATATATTTCTGGGGCTGTCCTCCTCCATGGTCGTGGTGGCAAGCTACCCCATCCTCGTTATCTTGCTGCTTATATAGCTTGCTGAGACCTTTATGCTCTTGCATTCCCTGTTCTTACTTTTTCCTGGCTTTAGCCAGGATATCTTATTTTAGCTTTGTGCTGTATCTCATTCTGTGTCCAGTTGGAATTGTGGAGAGGTCTTGGATATCTTTGGTTTCTGCAAGAAGATGAAAATTTTGGAAACCTTAGATGACAAATATCAAAATACAAATGTCTTTGTGGAGTTTGTTTCCTTGGAATTTTTATTTATTTATTTTTTTAAAATCATATTGATACAATTGAGGGAAGTGAGAGCAAGGAATGCGGAAGTGACAGTGACTGTGGTCATGGATACACCTGAAAGCTGGGATCAATTTGACATGGAGGAGCCCAGCCAGCTGTCCCTGGGGATGTTCCAACGAATTGGATGTTCTGTGTTTCAGCTGCTAGTCACCCTTGTACCTCTGAAAACATTCAAGGTGCAAGCAACCTGGTGAAAAAATTTAGGAAGAGTCACTATGTATGCTGTAATTCTGCAACTGCACATGCTGTGGCATATCCTTGTGTGTGTCACAACTTACCTTTGCTCTGCTATTGCATTCCTAGACTGGGTGCTCCTACTTCAAGTAGATGTGAATTGGTTGCCCTTTTACTTTCTTCTTCCACCTACTGCCTCTCTTCAAGTTACTCTTATTTCTGTGCCGAAAACGTCAACCAACCAGAGAAAACATGATGCTTCATTTATGTAGATGTTTTTGAAGACGATGTTTGTGCTACAACTTATTTCAGTGTTACAATGAGGCTCTTTTTCACAGCCAGGCACTGGTTTATGAGGTCAGTTTAAAAGTAAAAAAAAAATAGTGGAGAGACAGGTATACATGATGGTTGCAGCACTTGCTTTCCTCTACACAGTTTTGATGATCACACAATTTCTTGCATTTAAAAATTTTTTATTCGATTATTGACTGCGCAACTTGCGTTGTATATTGTTCCCCTTAACTCTCAGAATTTAAAGCTCTCTCAACCAGAGATGGCTGAACAGCATATGATGAACTCTCAGAGACTCACACAAAGCTCAGCTATTTCACAATCATATGGCAAAAGCATCATCTCAGAGGAAGAAATAAAAAAGAAATAAGACTGTTTCAAAACAAAGCACTCGTTGCAGTCTGAGCATTTGTGAGCTATGTGTGATAAAAGCTGGTACTGCTTTCCTGGAATGTCCCACTCTACTTGCAACTTAGCTCCTCTCCCAGGGGTACAGCCTGGTTAGTGAGATCTTAGAGAGTGTCAAGGGTGAGGGCAGTATTGAGCTAAATTTAATATTCTTACTTACTAATTTGGAAGTAAGCAGCAGAAAATAAATGAATTACTGTTTTTTTACTGTATGTGGCTTCTGTTTTAGAGCCAGTCACAGCAGGAAAACTCTCACAGGGGTGTTTGAGGCTCCACATGTCTGAGGGAAGTCACTTTGCTCTTTGTTTAGAAACTGGCTAAAGCACCTTGCAGCCGGGTAGGGAAAGATAAAATGTGTTCATAAGAAGAAAGTTTCCTAGGGGGAGGGAGGCTTTGGCTCTGCCAAGAGAAACGTCTGAATGCTAATTGTAGGTGGGAGGAAGGGGGGTACAAACCATCAAGTTGCCTAGGAGGAGGCTTGGGGAAAGGAGGGGGGAATATTTGGGAAATACTGCATTTGATTAACACAGACTTAATTGGAACATAACAAAGAGATTAAAAAAAAAAAGGTTTGGCAAGTTAAATCTTTCCAGTGGAAGCCAACGGTGGCCTATGGAGAGCCTGAATGGGCAATGTGGAAAATGCCAGGGGTGTGTAATTTTATCTGTGGGGTTATGACAGCCATCATTTTGAAACATGGTGACTATCAGAACTAATTAATTCTCCAAGCCCACAGGATGCATTAAGATGGAGCTGCAGCTGGTATGCTGAGGAATGTTGTGCACCCGGCAGAGGCCATCGCTTTTATCAATGTTAATGAGGGAGAAGGCACAGACAGCTGATCTAAACCCGAATGTGTTCATGATGCATACAGCTGATGGCAATGCAGACTGCCAGTCAAGGGGTGGTCTTAGCCATAGATTAGATCCTCATAGTGGCCTCTTCAGCTTTCTTTCTTTCCCTTCCTTTTTTTTTTCTTTCTTTTTTTTTTTTGTGTTCTCAAAAGAGTCTTTCAGCTGGTGCAATTGTAAACAAAAGGCATTCTAGCCAAAGCTGTGGCAGAGAGGGCTTTGCTAAGGAGACATGAGTAGAGTAGTGTACGCGGCACTAACTTGGACAATGTTATTTACTACAAATTTTAAGGGGAGTGTTGGGTGGGGGAGCTGTAAGGCTGAGCTTATAATCAGAATCATGCTCTAAAGAGAAAGACCACAATATCAGGGCCCACTCAGAGGTACCTCTGCCACCCTTTCATGTTATAATTGCAAGTTGTTTAAAAAAATGAAAGTCATCCTCAAGCAATAGGTAAGGCCCCAAGTCTTGTAGGTCCAGTAGGATACAGGATGTATAAATAAGTCCCTGATTTGTTGGACAGTGTTCCCCATGTACAGCCATGAGACAGATGTACAAGGGGATGAAGCTATAGGGTTCCTGGGAGGCAGGGTTCCTGCCTCCACTGCTA